TTCTCTGTGCTGAATTGTAAACCGAACCATGCAGATCTAATTATGCTGCACATTCAAGACTTTCAGGTCTTGGATTTCAGGCCCGTCTTGTAGAAATTACAACACTTTTTCTACAAAGTACCCCTCATTTGGGGCAGCATAACATTTAGGGCAACTGGCTTTGCAAGCTGTGTCAGAAGCCAAGCTAATGAAAAAAAAAAAGTTATCATGAAGCAGCAGCTTAATAAATCACAAACAGAATAGAACCTTTCGAAAAATGTGTTTAACCTCTGTTATAAAATTGAGCTGTGTGTAATTCACTAGTGAGTACGTTATAACCAGCATCCTCCCCCACAATCGGAGCCACCCCTCCACCAGGTAGTTGTCAGTGGACCACAAGCACCCCCCCCATCACCCGAGTGTCCTGGACATGCGGCCGCAGATCAGATGACACGACAACAAAGCCCATCATCGAATTGCTGCCAAGGGTGTCCTGGTGCCAAGAGCCCATATGGACACCCTCATGCTTGAACATGGCGTTTGTTATGGACAATCCGTGCCGAGCACAGAAGTCCAACAACAGAAAAACGCTCGGGTTCAGACCGCGAGGGCCATTCCTCCCAATCACACCCTTCCAGGTCTCACTGTCATTTCCCACATGAGTAGTGAAGCATGTCCACTTCCTCCTGGTTCCTCTCACTGAGGGCAACTCGAGAATAAAAGAGTTCCCAACCCCTCTTGAGGAGACCGGTTACAGAACCAGAGCTGTGTGTCGAGGTGAGTCCGACTATTTCTAGTCGAAACCTTACAGCCTTGCACCCCAACTCAAGCTCCTTCCCCATCAGAGAGGTGGCATTCCACATCCTGAGAGCCAGCTTCTGTAGCCCAGTTTTAAACCCCGCTTTTGGCTTCCACTCATGCTTCATTGCACCCAACCTTGGCCCTTATCACTGGTAGTGAGCCAATCAGGGCCCCGGCAACCCGCATCCGGGGGAGGGAACACTGATTCCTGTTTTTCCTTATAAGGAATCTTTGGGCTGCTGATCCCTCGTCTAAGGCCAGTTTGCCTTGGATGTCCCTGCCTTAGGTGGCTTAAAGCCCTAGACAACAGAGTTCCTAGGACCACTGAGACACTCAAACCACGATAAGGTGGCTACACTGGGAGGGGGCCCCAAACAATATGGTGCTCTGAAATGAGGGCAACTACGTAAAAAATAATTTAAATAAAACCTGGAATTTTTATGCGCAGAAGGGAGAACTTAAAGAAAACTCTGACTTTGTCTGGAACAAACAAACTGGAACTTTCAGGCATTAGAAACAATAGCAACATCTGCCGCATGCAGATGTTACAGCTGTGAGGCGTCAGATTTTTAGGATGAACGTGATTACAAATAAAAAGATATTGCGTATTTGAGTATATATTTGAAAGAATAAGTCCTTGTGTTGTAGGTGGCCTGCGACTTGCTGCGGAGGATCATTCGCATCTTGTACCTGAGCAAGAGGCTGCAGGGCCAGCTGCAGGGCGGCAGCAGGGAGATCACCAAGGCTGCTCAGAGCCTCAACGAACTGGGTAAGGACCACTATCCCGATCCATGTCTCCTGCTCACCACCATGTTTAATGTAATGTAATGTACCGTGTAATCGTCTTCACGTTCAGAAAGATCCTCTGATTGAATTCTAAGCCTTGTCAACAAGACACTTCCTGGTTTCATTTGGGGGTAAAAAAAATGTCCCACAAGAGTAGTGACTTATTTCAGTTGGCAAAACACAATTCTTTTTCCATTTCTGGCCCCTTTCCTACACTTCCCAGTGCTCTGGAAGAATGGATGACTGTCGCAAGCATCTATCTCATTGTCCGACCAGGGAGACGGATGAGTTTTTATTATTTATTCATTGTATTAATGGAACAGCAGACACGAGGTGAGATGTGCGGCAGCTGCTAATGTATGAGGAGCAGCGGCGTGTCACAGCAGAGGGTCGGGTGTGTGCGTGGGTGCGCGGGATCTCGGGAGGAGGCGCGTTGGTCTGGCAGCGCCAGTGCAGACAGAACCGTTGACCTTTAAATCAGAGCCTGAGGCCTGTTGTGTCATGTGAAGGGTGTGCAGCGGCGTGCTCTGTGACGGCTCAACGCGTTCAACACTATCCAGAAGTTCAACGAGACTCAGACATAAACACACAAAACCGCCTCGCCAACTGCCATACTTTTGCCAGTGTTTGATGATCCCTCAGACTCACATGGAGACTTACTTCCATTTAGTCGCCTTTTATGTAGGAAGCCCCACTGAAAGGCTTCCTAACAGTGTGTAGTCAGGCTAAATCTCAGCTTGACTACACAATTTTTGAGAGTATTCCATCATGCATGCCACGGTGCCTTGTTATGTAAGCCAAAGAATGAATGGCATTTCATTGACTGTTTGTTTTTGTTGTATTTTCCTGCTAGGAAAACAGTCACAAGTTAACTCAAAAGACCTCTTACACACACACACGCACACACAGCATTTGTGTACCATTGACAGTCTTCTCTCTGGTCACCCTACGTGGTGTGATGCTCTGGTTTGGCTCTTTCTTTTAAAAAAAAAAGAAAGAAAGAAAGAATAAACATATCTAGAGTAGGTGTCGCGCTTTATCGTGCCCTCATTTCACCGGTCACTTGAATGCTAGCCCGTCACGAAACACCCAGGGTCAGTTGGACGCCGCCGCCCATCGTTGAGGTTTTGTTCAGAGCCAGAGCAGCTCGGCCCTGTGAGCCAACGCAACAAAATCTTATCTGGCGCATGCTTTACTCTTGAGCGTGGCTTTTTTTTTCTAGGCTCGTAAGTGCTTTAAGTTGTATTGTTTTTGCTATATCGCAGATATTTTAAACTTAAAGATGAAAAAAATACAAGTTCCTTCAACCCAGCCACCTTGTTTCAGTTTCTGGAACGATTCACATGTTTGAATAAAACTGTTGTGAGATTATGGACTTTTATTTAGTTTTTTTACTCCAGCGTTCAATCTGGAGAGAGGGGGGGTGATCCTTGATAATGTTAATGATGGAGGTCCCAGCCCGATCTGATCCAGCCCTCTCCGAGTCCTTGTTTTCTCTCAGAATTGTTGACCTTGGCTAACAATAGTCTCGCATGGTGGAGAGGCGAGAAGGCCGGACGTGTGACTTAGTTGTCAGCAAAAGAAAAGTGATACTGACGCCCTGCCTGTCTCCGTTCGCTCTCCATGTGCCCCACTTCCTCTGGCTTATCACAGGGCAGTAGGTGAAACGGAGCAGGTTCAGAGGGACAAGTGTTTTCAGCACCATTTGAGTACATCTCATACCACAAGCACAGATGAACAAACGTCCAGGTTAACATAAATTCCACAGGCCTCTTCAGGCCTTTAAATGAAGTAATTTTCTCTGGGCACTTTACTTTATGGATTCCGCTGATTTTGCTGTTTTGCATTTTGTTCCAGTTCCCATAATGTGATTTTAGAATCCCTTCCGATGGCGTTTTCCAGCCCTTGTCCTCAAGGCTCACAGCCCGGCATGTTTCCCATGTGTCCTTTTTCCATCACACCTAATCCAAAGAAATGGGGCAACTCGAGAGCTTCTTAAGCTCCACTCTTTCACAGTATGAGACTGATGAATCCCGAGACTGTCATCTTGGTATACTAGTGTACCGTACGAGTGTATTGGGAGAAGAAGGAAAAAAAAAAACGCTTTTTCCTGATACTCAGGAAGCCAGCTGCTCTGCGTCCACTTGCATCCGCTTGCTTAACCTGAAATGTAAATCTGAGCTCATCATGCCACACGACCCTGTCCTTTCTCTAATAACCGTTGATCAAGGTTTTCTTCTGCCCACGTATCCTCCTTAAGACAATTACTCACTACAGATTGTAATGTAGATCTAAAAAAATAAAAGAATGATTTATATGCTAATTAACTAAAGGTTTTGCCTGTTTTACCTGACAATGTGAACAGTAAGAGCTGGTTCATTCTGCAATATGACTATTATCAAGTTTGATATCAGAAAAAGGTATCTGAACATGAGAATCAGTCCACTGTCTCTGCTCACATGAGAGGAGGGTGACCTGACATTTGCTTGAATAGAATTGAATTTGTGGTTACATGGTCAGGAGGCAGCCTTGGCTTTATTACTTGTTGTGCGAGTGGTTGTTGTTAATGTGTTTAAGTGATTGTTTGCCATTTAAAATACAAATGGTTTGATCAGGCCCATCCAAGGACCAAAGTGTTATGTGGTAAGATTCTTTAGTGAGGTGTTGGTTCCTTTTTTTTTTTTTTCTCAAGCAGCAAATTATTAGGACAGAAACTGCTATTTCTGATAATCTGATAGGAATCTGACTCTGAAAGATAAATTCATAAATAGGAGAAGATCAGTTGGATGTCAGATGTTTATGGTAAGAAAAACAATCGTCAGTGTGCCTTGAATCAGGCTCCTAAAAGTAGCTTTCTCATTGCGCTAATATTCACTGTGCTAATGTCGCTGACAGATTCTATCACACACTGGTCTCTGTCCCCCAATCAGCTGGAAATGAGTGTTCAGAAAAATTAAACACGTGCCTTAAGTGCTGTAAAGCAATGGGTTCAGGGTATTGTAATGAAATTGGAACAGAAATCAGTGCTTTTTCTGTAAATTGCTAGCTGAAAGTAACCTAAAAAAATAGAGAGAGATACCGTCTTCTTTTTTCCTGCTATCAGGAGTTGCTTGTTGTAGCACTTGACGTAGAGTTAAGTGCACTATAATCCCATTCATAGAATTTTTATTTTAAACCTAAAACTTTAAATCTTCAGCCTTGATCCCCGTATCTACATTTCAATTACTGTACAACTTTTTTTCCCCTTTATTTTCTCTATTTGTTCAATTTGGTCATCTTTAAATTAATATCTAGTGCTTTACATTATAAATATCTTAATAAAGTTTCACTCCTTTATTTGCTTTAGTTGTTTTGTTTTAATGTAATATGAACCAACAGGTCTCCCATTACTTTAGAAACACTTTGACCGTGACATTAGAAAAAACTGAATAAGCGAGAACAGATCAATCTTCACAGAAAAGCTTGCTGCAGATGGTCGGGATGACACGTTCTCTGCCTTTTGCATATTTATTAAAAAATGGTACAATGGTACAATATTAAAGTGTTCGATGACCACACACACACGTCTCATGTTACATTACATTAACCAGAGAACATCACGTGCTGCTTCTGCTTGGATACAGAGTTGTGAATGAGCTGTCCTCAGTGGCAATCAACAATAAATTAAACCCCTTCATATACTTTCCCCCCGTCTTTTTTTTTTTTTTTTGCTTTAGTAAAGAAATCCATTTCAAATACAGTTATTGAACGGATTTTTTTTGCCAGTTTAAAGTTTCACTTTTTGATGTGATGTGGGCATTTGGAGACTCCTTTCCCCATTATTTTCTTTGTTCTCTGGGAAAGTGTTTTCTTTCGATGCTAGCCATTTGGTTTTTTGTTTAGTCATCCTCCAAATGTGTATGCTGTCCATTGTTTAATGGGCTTTGTTTAGTACTCCTGTGTTTGACCGAGCAGCGATCAATCACTTCCCTTGAAAAAAACACAACTTTTAGCCATTTTTCTCCATCGACTGCAGCTTCACGCTTCTGTTTGAAGACTGTTTTCCAAATATTTACACCAGAGTTCATCCTTTCATTCTACATCCTGCGAGCACAGACATTTTTGTCTGGCCTCTGTGTCCTCGAAGGTGACTTTCTTGTTTCTTTTTGGGTCGATCCACGAGTTATGAATGACCACGTTGTTCGGCGTGGGTTCGGCCTCCACCACAGAGACCACCCTCTTCTTCATCTTGCTCTTCAGCACTTTCTGGAACTTCTGCCTGGTGAAAGCGTAGAGGAGCGGATGGAAGATGGTGGTTCCGTACGCCATCACCAGGAAGCCCAGCCGGAGGCGAACGGTCAGGTCGCTGGGTCCGGTGCTGAGGATGGTGGTGTTTAACACGGTTATAGGAGTCCAGCAAAGAAGAAAAGTGGAGATGATCAGAAGAGACATCCTGAAGACTCGCTTCTGCCTCTCCCTCCTCTCCCGATGGCGCTTGACCGCTCGTCTCAAAGCTATTATGACAGACACAGATGCTCGCATGCCTAAAGGTGCATTCCCGCCCGTCCGGACAGCTGTGCTGCTCTGCGACACATCTGTTGACTCCGCTTGCGTGGCAGTGCTCAAGGAGATGGTGTTTTTGCTCTTTTGCTTCTTCTTAGGCAAGTTGTGTTGAAAGCGCGTTCCGATGCGAATGTTAAGCGCCTGGAGGATCTTGTAGTAAGTCACCAGCATCACCACGGCCGTGAAAAAGAATATGGGGATCTGCGCCAGCAGGTGATAGTACAAACCCGGCTCCGTGTAATACTCGTTTAAATGAACCTCCGTCCGGTTCGCGAGATCCGAGCCGGAGCCGGCGAAGAAGCCCACCTCCATGAACGGAACCAAGAAACTGAAAAAGGACAATGTCCATATGGACCCCAGCAGGACCACAGCGCGGCCCATTGTGAGCACGCGGTTCGCCGGCCGCACCGAGATGTCGTAGCGGTCCACAGTGATGGCCAGGACGTTGGCAGCTGTAGCTACACTCGCGAAGGAGACGGACGCCTCGTGGAAGCAGGAGATCATGGCGGTGTCGGCCTCCACCGACAGCAGGACCACCACGGTCGTCAGCGGGATGCAGCACACACACACCTGGAGACAAACAGGAAAACAGCCTGTGTCCCAAAAGCAGTACGTTTATTTAATCTCCTGCAGGGCAGTTTAGAACCAGAGGCTGAAAGGAAATATGACCATCATGCGTCCCCCCCCCCGCTTTTTTTTTTAATTCTATGCTCCTTCCAAGCCGTCAACTGGTCAGAAAGAAGAAAATTCAAATGGATTTAAAAGGATTTAGTCAGATGGGATTCTTACTGACCTTCTTATGTTTTACATTAAAAAAGAGCTTTTGATGTTAAATTTCTGGCTGACACAGGCCTTATTTGCTTTGTTCTGTGGTTTTTATTAATTGTGAGTATCATGCAAATTGTTCTCATTAGCTTTATGAAACATTGTTACCAGAGTTCTGGACAATGACCCAGTCTTCACACTTTGAAGACAGCAAATTGGCGCCCGTTGGGAATGATAGCATTCCTTATCGAAAACGGAAGAAAAGGACTCACCAACACATCCACCACGTGCAGGTTCATGGTGATGATGTTGGAAACGGAGCTGATGAGATTCTGCTTCATACAGTAGAGGACCAGCACAGTGAGGTTGGAGCTCAGGCCCAGCACCATCTCCAAAACCAGGAAGCCCGTCAGAGAAACCTTCCATCAGAAAGAGAACACGGTGGAGTTGGTGCCCCGTCACTGACGCGTTAGCTTACGTCATGCCGGGACCGGTCTACATTACGTGGATGAGAATGCAGAATACCTGGAAGCTGACAGGGTATATGGCCTCGAACTGGGTCGTGTCAGGGTCGTAGAGGTCGGGCGTGTCGAGCACCGTCATGTTGCTCATGGTCGCGACAGAGATCAGCTCTGTGGATGTGTGCATTATCCTGATGGCAGGAAGAGGGCTGGAGATGAGTACGCAAAGAAGAATCGGTCATTGTTTTTTTACTGTACTAGATTTTCTATCCCCCCTTTTTTTTTTTATAATAATCTTTGAATCCGTATAAATGCATTTGATTAAGCTAGGAATGTCCAAAAGAGATTGACTTAACAGAGGTGATTAAAGAACTAAATAAACTAACATCAGAATATTAGCATTCTTGCATCTTCTGGATTCAGAGGTTCGAACGAAATGGTTCGCTGTTGGTCGTTCTACTTGGCAACAATTTGTTTTCCTGGAAATATTAGCGATATTGATTGCATAACGAGGCTTATGACTGAAAGGCTCTGGCCCTGACGCAGTTCGGTCATGCATTTGGCAGATTAAACTTCAGATTTCGTGCTGAAAATGAAAGAGAAAGTTTCCATCAACAGCAGGGCTCCCGTTGCCGTAGTACTAAGATATTGTGCTGAACCCAAAGCCCGCATTGATGGGACAGTGTGTAATGATACAGAACTGCTCTGAGCTCTGGAGAATGCAAGGATGTGGGGACAATACCACACATTGTTCTATGTGTTGGTTCTGTTCTGGTTTTTGCTTGTGGAGTGTCATACACTGATGCCAGGCTTTGACTCACCACTCTCTGCCATCAGTATCCTCTCCTGCTCAGCAGGGAGCAAAGAAGTCGCAAGGAACTTGCCGGAGCATGTCAAATTATTCCACCATATTGTGACTTGAAAAGGTCAATCTTTACTCCATCCAACTTATTTTCAGCATTTACTCCTTTAATAAAGGATTAAAAAAGAAAAACCCGATGGGCTGTGAGGCGTCCTCCCCCCGCTGACCTGTAGTTTTTAGGGGTACTGGCAAAGGGAGAAATGTGTTTGTGAAGCAGCAAACACTCACCCTCATGGGGAGGACGCATGTGGTTTGCAGCATCAGTGCAGTGCACTGAGATCAATGGTGTCTTTCACGCCAAGCTTTTTGTCTTTTCATTGTTCGTTGTGCTCGAAACTGCGGCCTCCAGTGTCATCCCCGTTTGAAAACGCCGAACAGTCCCGCTCTTTTCACCAGTCCCTAATGGGTAGGTGCGGGGGCGTCTTGTCACTTTGGAGATACGAGGCTCCTGATACAGTCCACAACGACCTCTTCCAGACAGCCCCGCACTGGCAGTTTAACTTTAAGAGAAAAATGGGAAAACGTGTCGCTCCAGTGGACTCGGCCCACTTAAACCCCTCCTGGGTGGAAAGAGGAGTTGGAGTCTCATCTAAGGTCAGACACTCAGCGCTCTGAGATTGAGCCCTTCACTCCTGGATGAGCACAGCTCTTGTCAAAGCGAATCTTCCGGCGAGAATGGCGTCCCGTCCCTCTGCTGTCATCACCTTCCTCACCGCGCTCCTTCTCTGTTACATCCTAAAAGGCAAACAACATGCAGGATGAGAGATAGTTTTTTACAGAAATGATATGCTAGGATGAAATGGGCAACCTTGAAATTGTCTTTGCTTCCCCCCTGTGATCTGCACACGGCATCACATGTCCACCATCTCGCTCTTTTGGTGCTAATTAGGCGCCTGGTTCTGAATGTTTGCCGTCTTGTTCCTGTGAGCTGTCTGTTAAATCGGTTTTCACGTTTCTCATCATAAGTTGTTTGGGCAAATGAGCACTGATTTACCAAGAAATGTTTCACTGCCCTCTCACAGGACCGTATGAAAAGTTTAGTGTCACCACCACTGTAGTTGTATATTTGGACAGTGTTTTTCATTAACGAAAAACCTCTTCTTCAAGATAAATTCTGTTTTATTAATGGACAACTGACCTTGACCCACTTCTATACCCGAGTGAAACACTCAGGCAGGATTCAGCGTCCTTAGCTTTCGCTTTTTCTTGGCACGGATCTTCCATTTAAAGGCCAAGACACCCCACGGAGTGACTCACCACCAGCTTAGAATGTGGCACATGGTGTGAACATGACAGTCCACTATCAGTTTTTCGCAAGTGTGTTCATTTTGCTCGGATTATTATCTGTCCTCACTCGCTCTCTGTCTTGAAAGTAATAACTTCTAAACCCAAAAAGAGAGAGATGACCCAAATGAGCGTCCTGATGCTTTGGAAGCAGGGATAGCCTGAGTTGACGTCGCATTTTTTACTTATCTTGCAGTTTTATTATTTATTAGCCTATTTTCATATTACACTTTTAGTAGAGTAGAATTTTCGTACAGCTCTTGTGCAACAGTGGTCTATATGCGTTGCGGCTGTCCAGATGCTCCCAGATTTTTTTATCTTTATGAACGTTTTTTGGTTGAATTAAGATTTCAACAATGCTACAAACAGGAAAAATCCAAATGCTGCAAGGCAGAAACAGAGAAATGAAAGATGAATGCTCATTTTTAGGTGAATTCCAGCAACACAGTAGTGGGAAACGGTCATATTTACCACTTAGCTTTGTCACTTTATTCCTGTATTATAGCTAGTCTGCTGTCAAATGCCAGATCAGGGTATTTTTTTGTTAATTTACTTCACACAGAATCAGTTCATACAATTTTGATTGTATGATTTGTAACGGTCTCTGATATCAGGTGAGAAATCCTCCAATCTGTTTTCGAGGATTGCCATACCATATATTACATTGCTGTTTGTCACTTTCCACTTTGCTTAAAGAGCATGTGAGTCAGCTTTACAGCTTTTAGCGAGGAGGGCGCAGTGTCATGACGATAAGACATGGAGCATGCCAACCATGTTGACCGGCTGTAACTTTAAACTCACAAAGCATGGATCTAAACCTCATGAGCCGACCGCATCTAATCTGCTGGAAATCCTCCAGCTGTCAACATGCCTACCATTCTCTGGCAAGTGGCCCTGGCCCGCAGTGCCATAAGGTAGAGCTCGAGCTTAAGTCTTAATTATTTCAAGCAGTTAATGAACCAATTACTTAAAATAATTAATTAACATTGAGATTGCTTGGAGGATTTTAGCTGACTGCCAACAGACAGAACAAAAAAACAGAAAATATCTCTGTTCTGGTCTATAAAAGAAACGTCAATTTTAAAAGCAACTCTTGTTTTTTGTACAGAGGAAAACTTGATCAAGGATTTGATTAACTTCCCAGGGACGTGCCTGCGTTCGTCATTAAATTGTGGCGACTTGCGGTCTGTTTTTAGAGCGGATCTCGGCGTATAGTAAATTCTTTGTTTTCCTTTTCGTCCTCTGTGTGAGCGCTCTCTGCCTTTCGCGGGAGCTGTCCCAAAGCAGAAGAAAAGCCCCGAACTCGGCATGCCCTTTTATCCTCTCTCTTTTGATAAGCCGCTCTTCCACTCAAAAAAGAAAAGAAAAAAATCACAGCTGGAAGATTGTGACTCACGAGCTCGACAACGTGTCAGCGTGATGGGCGCTTCTCAAAAGCTGAGGATGTTGATTTCATCGCGCCCCTGCTGAACATATTGCCTCTGCGTGTCAGCAGCAGGTTTAGTGTAGATTGTGCCGTGCGTTAGTTTACCTCCAATCAGAGACGATTCCTCCAGGATCCTGGAGTCTGGCAGAGTGAATTTTCTTTTTCTCTCGCCTTTTTTTCAGGCTCCCTCCTAGAAGAGCCTCGTAGTATCTGCCTCCAAAGGTTGCATAGTGGCTGCAGGTGATGATGAAAGTGAGTGGCAGAGGTTTATGTCAGCAGTCCAGCCATGACGGACACGTGCGGCAGATTGTTCAATCCTCTCAGCGGGTGAAATTGTCTGTGGGGAAACCGAAAGAAAAAGAGAAAAAACGTTCTGCTGCCGAAGCCGCTCCGTCTCCCCATCTCTTCCCTCTGTTCTGCTCGTCTCTCTGTATCTGCCTCCAGTAACCCTTCCTACTCATCCAACGCTCCCTCCTCCCGCTTCACCCCGCTCAGACATCGCTCTCTGATTCTGGTTATTGCCTCACACCTCAGCTTGACTAATCGCACTTACAAAGCTGGTTCGATCGCCTGCTCATACTAGTACTCCTTTACTGTGTAAAACGTGTTGATTCTCCAGTTATAAATCTGTTAACCAGTCTTTAAGGTTGCTCTGTGTTCAGTTTTCAGGAACAACATAAGCGCCCTGCATCTTTAAGTCGCTGCCCCTTTCACTTTGCTATGACCCATTCCCCTCTTATGTTTATTTGCTCCTGTTAAGAGCTCAGGTAGAAAATAGTGTCCATGACAATACCAATGCCAACATCTGTTCCGTCAGGACTTTGGCCACTCCTCCACCGTTTGTGTTTGCATAGCACCTGCCGGATGGCGCGCACTGGTTTTCTCCCAACCTGGCCACCATTTGAGCAGATGTAGAGTTCCCCTTATTGCCTGCCGAGTGTACTTGGAGGGAAGCTGAGAGAACTAATTAGGTCTTCTTGGCATTGGCATGGAAACGCCAGACAAAGCAAATCCCGACTGATGGGTAAGAATTTAGATCGGAGCGGTCTGTTGTCTTCCAGTCTTTTATTTTTTTCTCCAAAAATGTTAGAACAGCAGAGATTTTACAATAATTGCTTCATAAGAATAATTCAAAGGAAGCGTGTTTACCCCCTGATTTGGCCTGGGAATTGATTGTAAATTTCAAATAAGAGTAGATGGAGTGGGGGTGAACGGACTCCCTGTCTGTCTCTCACACACACACACACACAAAAGTAACACACACACAACATTTCTGTTAAATAACTGTTAATAAACATTTAGGAGTCTTAAGAATTGTAAAAAATAATTAATGCTCATTAAACAATTAAGAATATAAGTCACAGTGTTCAGTGGCTAAAAAAACAGAGATGGTAGCAGACTCGTGAGCAAACCTGAGTAAGGCAGACGACCCGGACACGGGCTTACCAAGGAAAAAAATAGCAAAATATGTGAACAAATAGAGCAGAAGACAGCAAGGCATTTTTGATGAGTGAAAGCCCTGCCGTTCCAGCTGGCCATTTGGCCGCTTGTTGTTCCCCTTGTTGAATCAGATTTCAAATGTGTATTCTTTCAGTTTCTGAATGAGCCTTTTTAAATAAATCAGAAAAACCCTCTTGTGACGACATCACCACTAATAAATATTATCAAGCACTGGCAGTCACATCTGTGGTGACCGACAGCTACTGACTGGACTTAAAGGACGTGTTGGAAAAATTCCAATTATCTGCTTAAAGGTGACTTCGACCTTAATGTAAAAAAACATCCTTACAAGGAAAAGCCTAAAAAAATTTGGTGGAGAGGTGTAACTGAGATAGCCAATTCTGTAATGAGTTGAGACCGTGTCACTGTAACCATCCAACAAATGGGAATTTGTGTCTAAGCCCCAAAACAAGACGAAACAAAATTGGGGGGGAAAAAAAACAATCAGACATTTTTTGTAACGGATCCTAGTTTTGATGTTTTTCTTTTGAGTGGTTTCTTTCTTGAGTAGTTTCCTTCAATATGGAGGATCCTCAGTTTGTTTTGGTCGCTGCAAAAACTGTCAAGCCCGTCAAAAACTTCCCATGGCAGGTAATCAGCATGACTGAATTCAAGCTATTAGAAATAGAGCCTTCGTACCTCAGGGACATTTAGAAACTGGTCCATTCATGCAACCTAAGTAGGTTACACACAGTGATCATCTGAAGGGTACACCCTCGTTCTACTCCTCCTCCAGCAGTTTGGTAGTTTAGTTGCAGTGCTCCAGTTCCCTGACATCTGTCACAAAAGTGGAGCTTCATTATTGACTGGGGCCTTTGGTGGATATCTGTGTGCGTGTGTCTGCGTATGTCCCTGCTCTGTTCACAGCACTTGTTTCCTGTCATTTGTGTTTTGGATGTGATTTGCTGTGAGGTAGAATCTGTGTTTTGTTTTTTTGGGGTGTTTTTTTTTGGGTGGACGTTGTATAATTAGATATTCTGCATTTGACTTGTGCTTCAAGGCTAATCCCACTAGCAGACTGTATCAAACAACTGGTGCCCTGCCAAAACATTAGGGATGCAGTCTGTCCTCAGAAATCTTTGTTCCTGGAGTCTGGTTATCTACACATAGCCTTCAATCACTGTTTGGCCATAAGGATGTATTGTTCCAAGGAAGCTCACCTCCAAACTGAGAAAAGAATGCACACTGTTTGTAAATAGCACGCATATGAATATACATGTTTAATTTATTTAGATGTTTCATACTTTTTTACAATCGGACAATATATATATATTTTTTTAAAACATTTTTTATGCCCTTCTCATTATTATTAGACGTCATGCTTATGATGTGGCAGCCTGGCAGTTCCTCCTTTATTTGGGGTTAGTTTTTCAGACCCTTGTTTTTGACTTTTGTCATTTCTGCTTCACATCAAAACTAAAGGACCAACAACAGCACCGACATAGCCAAGAGCAGCCCACATCTCAGACTGTTGCATATTCATTAGACAAAAACGCTGCAGCACGTAGACTTGGGTCAGCAAGCATTCAAATGTTAATTTTGCTCTTGTGGAGCCGAAGGATTATTCTTGCAGATGTTTAGTTTCTATGGTAAAACGACATTATTCAGTCGGTCAGTGTTCCGGTGTCCTTCAGAGGCTGAACAAGGTTTTCAGGATGGAGGTGGTCATTGGTCCGATCTATCTTGTTCTGGATAGACAATAACATGTGAAGAGTCTCTGTGTGCAGTGTATCTGTGTGGTTATTCAGAGATAACAAAAAAAATGTTAAAAAAAAATGTATTTATAACCAACTAACTAATGAATAAATAAAAATAGGCAGCTCTTGGTTCTCAAACAGCCCAATTTAGATGTAAGATGGTCCATTAGTTTGAACTAATTTGATTGTCACATTCTTGCTATTATAGAAAAAGTACAGAGTGTAGTTAAAAGTAGGGAGTGGGGAGCCGTTAGATTTGGGACAATTGTCCAGCAAAGCTCCTCTGGTTAGCAGCCACGTTTTAAATGGTCTTTTTTAATCGTCCACTTCACCATTTCTCGTGTTCTTTGTTGGCTATTGCTAGCCAAACAGTGATTATGCACGTTTTTATTCTGTAGCTTGGTTTACAGGTAGATCACACAGATGAACATCCACCAAACTGAAGTTTATACCGCCCCCTGCAGGACTTTTCAAATGGCCATATTTCTAACCTCATAGAATAATCTTCAGAAGAATAATATTAATACAAACATAAACCTGGAAATGAAACTTTGGAACGGTGTTAGAAATTTTCACCATGAAAAATCTTTAAAATGTTTTTTGTTTTTCTTCACGGGATACATGTGGTTATCTGTAAGCTTCATCTCATCGTCCTTGGACCGAATTCCCCCAGAATCTAAAGCAGAGCGCATCTGTGCCAGGGCGCAACTAGCCCCAGTAAACAACAATGTTGTATCTACTGGGCTGCGTTGTCTCGATTAGTGTATGTGAGTGAAGGGAGGCTATTTTCAAAGCACCTCAGGCCATATCTTAACAAGCCAATCGGCCGGGGCTCAGCTGCTCCGTCCTGGTCTCTGCCAGGGTTTGTTCTTGGGCTGAGGCTCTGAGCGGATTTCTCCGTCTGTTTCAGCCCTCCACCTGCCTGATAATTCTCTCTTTGGGAGGAAGAGCAAACAGCCTGCAGTTCCGTGCAAATAGTGCATCAGAAATGGTTTGTTAGTGTCCCCCGTTCCCTATTCTGTTGTGTGACAAAAAAGACAAAAAGTTTGGGAAAATTAAACCCAGGATTTGGAACAAAAATAGTCCAGAGAAATAGATTGTATTTTGATTAAATGATCTTTTGCAGCTAAAACGTCACAAACTGATAGAATGACCCAACAAGTGATATGATTTTGCTTTTCCAAGAGAACCCCCTCTCTCATAACAAAGTAATCATTAATACTTGCCTTTAGCTCTCCTCTCCTCTAAACTGCTCCCCCCATTTTCTTGTTTCTTGTCTAAATTGTGCTTAATTCTATTCTAACCCGTGTTGCTACGGGATGCTAAAGCATCTGCTAAATCCATTAATGTCATAATTTTAGAGAATCCTTTTTTGTTTTTAGAAAGGTAACTGGTATGCTGAAGTGTTTCATTTTCTATTTTTGGTTTTTATTGTTGGTTAAAAAAATTTTTTGATTTCAAAGTAAATGTCATGGGTTTGATTTATATTCATTTAGAGGATCAGATCACCCTCAGACCATCTTTTTTAATGACCAGAAACGACTTACCCAGAAAAAACGAAAGGTACAGTTTTATTTATTTATTTGTACATGAGGCTATACTTTTAGAACTCTTTGTCACCGATTAGTTCGACTCATTTGAATGACAAGACACATTTTGAAATGTAGTTTACCTGTTTTGAGGTTGTGGTGTGAGGAAAAAAATCTAAATCTAATTTTTATCACACTATTCCTTTATCCTGATGAGTATTTATTTTCAAAAAGTCAAATCTGCTTTTTTATTTTGCTTTTGACCATCGTCATTTCAAGCACCAAGTTAATTAGCTTTGGGATTCAGCTATATGAGGTTTTTTATGTGTTTATAAAGCTCTCTCCGTTTGTTTGTTTTGTACTTTGCAGACTACCTGTCTCAGGGTGTGGATCTGAGCGGCATCGAGGTGATAGAGAACGACTTGCTGCTGATCAGCAGAGCCAGGCTGGAGGTGGAGAACCAGGCCAAGAGGTTGCTGGAACAAGGGATGGAGATCCAGGTACATAACGTGCAAACAAAAAAAATTATACTGCTGTTTGCTGTTGTTTTTGTTCACTGAAAAAAAATACAAGCACTTGACATTTAAATGACACGGTAATAAGTAGAATAACGCCTCCCATGAAAGTATCTGGTTGGGATTCAGACCAATTAGCCATGCTTCCACGGCATAATGCTTCATGGGCAGAAAAGGAGTGATTGGGAACACAAATTGAGGCAAATCAGCACAATTCTCATAGAATATCGAGACTATGAAGTAAGAGTAAAATCTTCATGAGTGCCTTGGCCACTGCTTCAGTTATGGAGTGCATGTAAGTGGGAGAGAATGTGGTCAACCCCCAGAAAATATCCTGAGTTGCAATCAGGAAAAGTCAAGTCTGACTGTAAAAATAGGAACCATGTTAAAGATTATTTGTTAACTATTACAAAATAATTAGCAAATAATAAAGTATACCACTATCAGTAGCTGTATAGCAGGAATTCAGAGCTAGACAAAATGGTAAAATTGGAACCAATTAAAGATGCTTAAGATCTTCAAAAAACACAGAATGACACGATTCCTTTTCATGATGGCCTCTATTCGATGTCTCGTTTTAAATTGAGAATTCCTTTGTTCCACACACAAACTGGCAGCTCCTTCCACAAGAGAGAGAGATCTGGACACAAGGTATAGAACACAATGGTTTGGGTGGAGAAAGGATGAAAAATGTATATTTATTTAACTGGGGGATGTTAGCGGTGGTCGGTTTGGAGAGGTATCCTCACTGTGTGAACCCATTATGCTGTCTGCAGATTATTAGGAGGATTATTACATTATTGGGGTCAACAGGACGCTTTTATCCTTAAGTGTCCCACCTTAGTTCATCGGCAGAATAACTCAGCTTTTGGGTTCATGTGAGTGGACACAGATCTGAGGATATTTACAGTGGCCTAAGAGCAGGTTTTCTTATGAACACACCTATTTGCTCTAAGTCTGGCGTCTATGGTAGAAAAGATCTAAATAATCTTCAATTCCAGCTAGAAAACACAACTAAGGTTTTGATCAGATGGGCCACTCCCAAAAGTTCCCAGGTGGGGCTTTCCGCTTTCAAGGACTGGACCAGACACTCCAAGGTTCTTTGAACTGAAGTCTTTAGGCGACCCAATGCAGTAAGGAAGCCTCCAATGTTTGACAAAAGACTTTCATACAGATCGGCTCAGCGCCTCACCCTTTCCAGTTGGTGCCTTTCAGCTTCACACTTGAGCTTGGGCTCCCCGTAACCAGTTAAGCGCCCCCGTCCCTACGACTCCCTACGATATTTTAGGACTCTCTTCGGCCCAGGAGGAAAGAGCAATTGCTCACTGATCCAGAAGATCGGCGGTTGGACTCAATAGTCCCGGCATCGTCTGCAGAGTGTGTTTTTTTTTATCTTCTTCTGTGGAGTACATGTGAGACGAGAGGCACATGGAAGCCTCACGGCTCTTCATCTGCCTCCGAGTGTCATCTTCTCTTTGCTGTCACATCAAAGTAAAACCCTGTGTGTGCGCGCATATGAGAGCCTGTTCAATGTCCACGATGACATGTCGCCTCTGTCCAGAGGAAAGCTCCATCCTTCTCTATCCTAGCAGTTGGACCTTCAAGTGTTGCAACTTAATTTCTGAAGACAACCCCTTTGTGTGCTCTACTTTGACAATGTGCTCTGATTTCATTTTTCTTTTTTCATAATTATGTATTACACACATAAAGATGCAGCAGATGAGAAGATATAGAGGTCTTTCTCTATAGTATGAAGTCATAAGTGAGTCTTATTTCAACTTGTTAGATTAGGCAAGTGTTTAATGTGATATAAAGATCATGGGAATAAGTGCTGTTTCCTGCATGTGTTGAACAGCTTAATCCTTGGATGGGTGCTGTTCCCAGTTCCTCTTTCTCTTTGGATGGAACCTTCTGGCCACTTGTTTTGGGGATTTAGTCGAGCATTTACTGGTGAACAATTTGGAGACATTTGTTACTAGCATTCATGTACACATTGTGGTTTTAATCTAAGATGGAAATTAAATTAAGGAAAAAGCAAAGAAACCTGAAATTGTGTAATTCAAATCGGAGCTAAGCTAATATTTTCAGGTTAACTAAAACTAAGCATATAGTATTCTAGATATGGAGAGCTTTGTAGGGGAAACCCCTTTAAATCAAAATGTTTTTTTTCAGTTCTTTTGGATCATATTGGAGTGAAGTGAATAGTGAATACTCACCTCATCAGGCCCTCCAAACAGACTGTTGTTGTTGTTTGACCAAATTCTATTTTTATATATTTCACATTCTGGGATATTTGTCCAGAATTCTGTTAAAAAAAACATGATATGTCTACTTTTATCCATGAAAGGGCTGCCACACTCGAGGAAAAACACACAAATAGACCCAAGTGCAAATTTAGGATTGGCCTTAAAGTTTGTGCGATCGATTCTTGCTACCACTTGTAGCAATAAACATTTTCTCCTCAAACACAAGCGCACACACCTCTGTCTCCCCTGTGTATTCCACCCCTCAGTGGAAGTATTTTGGTCCCGCGCTCTGCTGGAATAGTCACTGCGTAATGTGGTGAGAGCATATGGGGCTCCAGGGAAACACATGCACTTCTATCCTCACTTTTTCTGTCGGTCCGGGCACGCTAATGTGAGCGTTGCATAAGCAGTTTGATGTCTTTTCTAGCTTACGTGGGAGCCACTTACACCTCAGTTCTCTGGTTTTTGTCAGCTGAGGCCCTGAATCCCATCTGCTGAGTGGGAGCTCAACTGACCCACTAAGCTAATGTTCTACTCCTCTGGTCCCCTCTCCTCCACCCCTTTCCTCACATAATTGAAACAGATAGTTAACCCTTTTTGGGCTGCGATAATCAGGGTAATATCATTATGTGGAGGATGAAGAATGGGGACCATAGCTCAGCATCGCATAAACTGAGAGCAGAGGAACATGCTAGCAACTCTGTTGTTCACTATGAAACACGGCTGAACCTTTTGTTCACGAGCACCCAAAAATAAATGAACAAGTCACAACTTGTGTGTAGCAACTGTTTCTTGATGAACAGTAACGAGTCCTACAGCGAGTGCAATATCTGTGATTGTTGCTTGGCAACCTTGGGCGATGACAGAGTGTTGGAAGTCATTACCCTTTTTTTTTTTCCCCCCACCAATTTGGAGATTTAGCGCCGACTTTCAGTTTCAACATTTGTCCCTGCCTTATTACATTTCTATTTATGCTTGCATCCATCGTCATAAAATGCAGCTTTACTCAGTCAAATCATGTCCATTTAATCTATTTCAAAACCCTCATCTGCCCCCCTGTGATATTCAATGCAAACACTTTATATCATGAGTGTCTTGTTCATATCTTAAAAAGAAAAAAATCTATTCTTAAATTGGACAGCTTGTATAGACAGTTTTTTTTTGTATTCGCATTCGATTGAAACCATAAATTTGGATTTGAACTCTCTTCCTCCTGCTGCGACAGCCACCTCAAAGTATCCTTCAGCATTGTAACATGATGCCATTTAAAAATGACACCACTGAGCATGTCGTCTCTTCGTTTTCAAGCAGCTCAGCACTTCTCCTGCCGTAAACCAGAGATTCTGGACTGAAACGAATCAACATCTTGGTTTCGGATATGAACAGTTAAATGAATCAAACATTGATAACACCAAAGGGTTTTTGGTATCCATTTATTCTCATGGCACGGAAAACTGGTTTAGCTAAAAACGACTGTACTGGTCTGTACGGGAACATGAAGCAGGATGCATCTTGGCTTGTGGTTGGAACTACCAGACCCGTTTTGGTGATTTCATTCTAAGAAGAAACAGCCACGAGCACTAACTGAAAACGACACTCCTCTGTCTCTCTGTTCACCCGTGCTCCACCTCACTCACGTGGACCAGAACCCTACCCAGGTCGGCACCGCGTTGCAGGTCTTCTACAACCTGGGCAGTCTCAGAGAGACCATCAGCTCCGTGGTGGGGGGCTACCGGACCACCATAAAGGACAACATCACCAGAGCTCTCGACATCAAAGGCCTGACGCAGCCAGCTAACCCAAAAGGTAAGCCCCGCTCAGGATGACGTTCTTCAGGGATCTTTGCCTCAGCAGAGCCGCATAAACGTGTATATTGTCCTCATTCCAGGGAGATGAAAGACGGTTATTTCATAGGATGACCTAGTTAAAGAACTGGCTCGATCCAAAATAGATTATTATTCCATGGCCATAGAGAATTGTCACTTGTGGCTTGAAAGAATGCGTCACTGATCCGGTTTGACATTGTGGCTCTCTGTAGAGGCCTTTTCCACGTATATGTTCCATTATTTACGACCATCTATTCTTTTTTTAGCATTATAAGAAAGTATTTGTAAAAAATGTTGTATAAGCAGAAGCCTTTTGCCAAATGTGCAAAAGTAAACCTCCGCAAATCTTTTTCTCCTCTTTAACAGGCTTTTTTGAATTATTAGAAGCCTTTACTAGTTGGAAATCTAACTTTACGTAGTACAATTCAAAGTTTTATTCAAATTTTCATTCAGGTGCCCCTGGCAGAGCCGTGCTGCCAACTCCCGGGAACACTGCAGCCTTCCGTGCGGCTCTCTGGACCAACATGGAGAAACTCATGGACCAGATATGTGCTGCATGCAGACAGGTAAGCCTTATCAGCTCCTTCCTGACCCCCCTCCATCCTGGTCTTTGGCCTCAAGTCAGATCTTCTTTGTTAAAAATGTTTCAGGTGCAGCACTTGCAGAAGGTTCTGATGAAGAAGAGAGATCCTGTCAGTCACGTGTGCTTCATCGATGAGATCATCAAGGTGGGTGAATGTCCACTCTTGCAACGGTATATGAAACAAGGCCAATAATCTCTAATCGTGTTGCGTTTTGAATGTGTTTTTAGTGTTCTGGAAAAACGAAGTGCAGAATATTCCCGAATTGGATATCTGACACGGTTGTTTCTGGTCATAGTTTGTTTTACTAAACTGTGTTGTTTTTCTTTCTCACAACGAGCTGTAAAAATCTGTTTATCCTTTAATTCTGACATTTTTATGGCAGCTTTTGCCCGTCGAGCCTCATTCAGGGCTGTGTATGTTGCAAGTAGCTGTCCATATGGGAGGATGTCTTTTGGATTCAAAAGAATGATTCTGTTGCGTAATGCTTAGATTGTGCTGATGTCCTCTCTCTTGTTCTCCTCACAGATTTTTTTTTGCTACTTGCCTGCTAGCAAAATACAGTGAAACCAAACAGTAGGCAATAGAAAGCCAGATTAAATGATGTCACTATTCATTTAGAGGCCTTACCAGAGGTTGTTATCGGGGTTTTTAACACCATTGTTTGGTAAGTTATAAAAGGTTTAAACAATACTTTTTTTCTAAAGGAAATGCATACCCAGTAGACTCAAAAACAAAAGTGGGGGGAAAAACAACACCTCATCCCAAGGCACTTTCACAAAAAGTGGGTCCAATTCAGGCCAATCTTCCATTCTGAGTGTGATTTTTTTTTTTTTTTTTTTGTCATCCAGAGGAAACCTTTGACAGTACCAGACTCAGAAATACTTTAATACTTTAATAATCCCTGAAAGAGCAGGAAAGACAAACAAAATACACACCAACAGCAGCTCAGGGATATCTGCATAAGGGGAGAAACACAAGTTACTACAAAAATGTCTCACCCACATGGAGAAACGGGGAGAAAAAAGGAAGTAAAAAAGGCGCATCATATAAGGTCCTCTAGCAGTCTAGGCCTATGGCAGAATAACTATAGAGTGTTTAGGGGTCACTCGAGCCATCCCTAAACTGTAAACCCTCTAAAAAAGGAATGTTTTTAGCTGAATCTTAAAGGTAAAGACGGTAAGATAAGAGAGGGGGCTGATAACTAAAGGCTCTGCCACCCATTTCCCTTTTGCAAATTCTTAAAAACTAGAATTTTTTTTTTAAATACAATTATCCTACATCAGACCTTACCCATGTTTGGAGATGATGCTGGAGTCTATTCAAGATGAAGTTAGAATGTAACTGGTCAGAATATCCTTATTTTGATTGTGTTTTCAATTTCTTTGTGAAAAAGTAATAAATTGACAATAAATTGAATATCAACATGCAACCAAGTAAGCCTGTAGAATTTAAAACATATTACAGATTAAAGGTATGGATTTAGCCCCAAATAACTATTGTGAGAGCGATGATGTATACAATTAATCTCAGTGTGCAAAATTGAGGTAGAATTCTCCCCCGCTGAAGCTCAGTAAAGCAACAGAGAACAAACACCCAAGAGTATATACACTGTCAAAAACCCTACGTCCAGGGGGAAAGTCCTGGGGAAATGAGAGTGGTGAAGAGGCAGAAGGCTTTCAGCTCCATGAGTAATAGTAGTTATAGTATTAGTGATAAAAGCCGCGGTCATTGACACGTTACAGTGACCATCAGCGGTTTTATACTGTCTTACCTCCACAGCTAAACCGAGTCGTAGGAATCGGCATGAGGCGGTTACTATGGAAACAAAGCTCTCACCAATTACCCAGAGATGGAGGTGTGATTGGGAGACCTAATGACATGTCTAAATGCAAGGCTCCTCAGAAGAGCAGCTGCACCGTCGTCCTCTCCGTGCTGGACACGAGGGCCACGTTTCCACAGAAACGTCAACACACCAGTAGGCAGCAGTTTGTAAAGTTATCACCGCTCCTCAACGTGAAAATCACACCACCCACCCGCCATCTCATTGTCAGTCAGACCTGCATAATATCAGGGAAAACTGGAAATGTGCAGGGTCTTTTTTTTAAAATGTAAAATAGATTAAGATTAAAGTTTTGGAGCCTCTGTCTAGACGGCTATATAAGCAAACTCCTTCAAAACTGAGTGTGAACTGTTGTGGGTATATCTCATCAAAGTGCTGGTAGGGCTTCTAACTTTGAACGAGTTCTTTTAGCTTCAAGACCCAAAGCTCTGGTTTCTCGTTGAGAACCTAAGAAGCGCTTATGTCTGGTGCTGAGGGCGGAAGTATGTAGACCAACTCAAATTTACTGACTAAAGAAAAAATATCCAGAGCAAGACGACATTTTTCCTGATCAATTCAACAGTATCGCAAAACATTTCACCTCATTGTTGTTGTGAACACACACAAGATTAACGTTAGATGTTGATTGCATATTTGTAGAATCCTCGGAAAATATCCACTTTGCATCGGCGCTCATAAACACTGTTTGGCGTTCGGAAACGCCGGCCAGATTTTCAGCGAGCGTTCGCAAACACCAACTGTTGTTTAGAACAACATCAACACACTACACTGGTGATCAAATAGTTTCCCCAGACTGTGTTTTTTCTGGAGCCGTCCCCATTTAGCTCTCAGCGGGAGACATCATGCAAGTGTGAGCTCAGAATAATTCAGCCTGGCTATTAACCCACTCTGAGGCATAAGATGGCGTGTCCAATCCCTGCCGCCTGCCGCTTGGTTGTGTTTTGGCGTTTCAGCTGATTTATGAAAAATAAAAAAAGACAAAAAAGAAAAGAAAAGGTGGGGGTGGACCTCAGTGAATTTAGGGTTGGCTTTCGGTCTGATTCATTAAGAACGCCACGGTATCTCAAGCCCTCACTTGAGGTTTGGAGGTGTTGAATGCATATAGATGGCACCAGGGAAATCTAAAGGGATCCTCTTTCTTCTCTTAGGTTCGACTAAATTTAGTTGATTAAGGTTCGCAGTTTTAGTTTTTTCCAGACTGTTGCGTTTGGGATCATTGTCCGGTTTTCCCAGTTTCACACAAACGTGACAGTGGGATGTAGTGTAGAATGCAGAGGATGAGGTTGTCTTAATGACGGCAAGTTGCCCAAGTCCCGTGGCAGCAGAACAAGCCCCGACCATCAGCCCTCCTCCACCGTGCTGACAGCTGGTAGGAGGTGTTTGTGCTGATACGCTGCCTTTGTTTTTTCTAGAAACGTGCTGTTGTGGATTCTTGCTAAACATCTCCATTTTGGTTTGCTCTTGTGTTTTTTTTTTAAGATGCAACTTTGCAATGCAAATGCTTTTGCCTGTGGTCAGTCCAACAAGCCATCAATCGTTTTTTACTCTCATATACTTCAACATTTAACATGCCGAGGGGTGGAGAGCAACCACGATAGATACTTTGTTCTTCTCTGTAGCAGAAAACATCCATCGTTATTGATAAAAGTATTTGAGTGTTGGCACTTGGCTGCTATGTACCCTCTTAAATAAGTGTTTCACACAATGTCAAATGTTATATGTGGGACTTTCCTCCTGAAAATGTCTCTTTTCTAGACATTTTCAGATTTTCTGATTAGATTTAGGGGATTTTTATTATGGCTGTAAGACAAATGTACTTTACATTATATAATTTTTTCCCTTTCCTTTTTTATTAATTTTTTTACCTGAGTGCCAATACACTAAATGCCCAGTGAGCTAAACATAAACATACCTTTATTAGTTTTTTTTGTGAATTAAAATGAAAATTATTTGAAAATGTAAAAATCCTATGCATAGAAATGTATTGAATTCTCCGCAGAGTAAATTAGTTGGAGCTCGGTGCTTATTTAGAGTGTATGCTTAGCTTTAGAATGCCGTTGCTGAGTTCATGGACAGTAATTATGGAGTACTTTTTGTTGGCTTGAGCAGAGTGCAGACGTGGGTCATGTTGTTTGCTGAGTGAATCGTGATGTTTCTGGACTTTTTGGACTTTAACAGAAAAGGAGCCAGAGAAGTGATGCTAGTACTCGAGAAATGTTTATCTTCCCTGCTTGTTCTAATTAGCACTGCAGCATTTTTTGAGCAGTGTGAAGGTTTTCAGAGATTTTTAAGGACATCCCAGAAATAGAACATTTAAACGGTCACAAAGTAACAAAGGCACGGGAACTGTGGAATGATGTGTACAGCGAATAGGGTTAGGAAAATAGAATAAAAGCAGGATTGAAAGTCAGTGCATTTACAAAAAAGGCTGTTTTATTTTCGATGTTTGCACATGGGGTCATCGTTCTTGTTGACCCAGTGTGGGTGCGTCAGGTGTGTAACGAGGCCGCCAGATAATGTGTGCATTTGTTTTCTGCCCCTTTGACGACAGGACGGTCAGCCTGATATCCTCTACACCTTCTGGACTGACGTAACGAGCACGCTCAGCGACGAGTTTCACAAAGCTACCGAAGGTAAGCCCGCCGCTCGCCCCGCCTCACGCTGAACCTGCCGCGTTCAGGGGAGCGTAAGAGTGACACGGAGGAGATGACCCTCGGGTTAACGAGGACCTTCATATGCAAAGAGACGTGACTGTTCTCTGGCTACGCGTCCAAAAAGAAATCCCTTCTGTAAGAATATAAACCCTTCAGTCTTAAAATGACTCTGTATGTATCATATGGGGTATATTCATCGGATGTAACCATGGCAACGCAGCTCTGTAGGGGAGAGCATTGTGAACTTAAGCAGCTCGCATGTGCGTCCCACATGTCTGCGGAGCTCGTTTTGTTATGGTATTCATCCGTTTTGGTTTCTCTCTAAGAACTTATTTCCAAACTCAGACCGGACCAATTTTCTGTTGATTTTATATTTCATTGGTCCAGACACAAAAAGGTACCCCGCGGGGATCAAAGCATCCTTTGTATCTTCTGCACACTGCCATTAAGATCAACAGCAGCACAAACAACCAGTGGGAGGCTTTGTGTACTGAGCCGTAATATCCATAATGATCAGGCTGTAGCGGGAGCTTAGTTTGCAGCTAGAAATCAATTGAGCTGGGGGTGATGAACATTTGATGGAGTGCTCAGAGAACTCGGCATTCTTGGACGGTGGAACTAATTTGTCCGGAATATGCGATGAAAAAACACAAAACGATAAGTGAATAAAAAGAGGAACATGAACCAAAAGCTACAGGAATGTAGCAAAACAAATGGAAATGAGAAAGAATGCTTTACTTCTCAGGTAAGGAATATCCAACAGCAGATTGTGGCAGATCACAGAGCATTTAGTGCCTAACATCTGGCTAAACAGCTGCTGTCACAGGTGGACTCGAGCATGTTTGATAGTTATTTATTTATATATATATATATATATATATATATAAGAAAGAGATAAAAAAAAAGAAAAAAGAATATAGAGACATAACATAGTAAACAATTGAAACCTCTGGGATTTCACTTCAAAAACAGTTTTCTTTGCCTCGTTTGGTGTCTTTTTTCTTAGTACAACCACAAATCTGAGACTCTATTAACACAATGAACCTAGAATCACACAAAATGCAAGGAAAAACACGTTTAACAAACCTTTTTCATAATATAGAAAGAAAGTGTTTAAAGTTAGAGACAACTTTTTACATTAAAATATGTACGGTAGGTAATACCTCAGGTATTTTTCTATTAAACAATTTTTTACAAATCACTATGGTTCTGACTGACAAACAAAAGACAGCTAAAACTACACACTTTTTACAGACAAAATGCAAATCGCAAAACTTTATTAATGGATTATTAATAGATTTTTTTTCATAAATTTTTTGTGAATTCACTAATCACCTTAGAGGGTTTTTATATGAATAATTTTTTCAAAAGGTTTTTTTTTTAAATTGTAAAATGTATTATCAATGTTGTTCAAGGGGCAAATAGTCTCTGAAACCCAAAACTGTTCATTCAGATGGCCCTGCTTGGCTGCTACCCTCCAGGCTTCTACACATTTTGATTAATTTAGCTTTATCGAAAAAGTCAAAGACAATACCCATCCTTTAGTTTACTGCATACAATTGAACCCACCTCATATTCAAGGCAACAAATAAGATGAGCAGTCATGAATACCATTAGAAAAATAAAATAAAATTGTGAAGCCCCGAAACAAGCTAACAGGATAGTTCACAGAACCTCTCTGCTCAAGAAATGTAAATATCAGCCGCTACAGCCTCAAGGAGCTTAGGAAGGCGTGCGTGTTGGCCTGTAGAGCTCTCCGAAAAACCTAAAGTCTGGGTCTGCCACCTCTCTGGAAACCCACCGATCATTTTTATGTATCCTCTCAAGGTGAGTTTCAGCCGACCGACTCTGAGAATGGTGATGTTAACCTAAAAGGATCAGGGAGGATTTTTTGCTCTTTTGAGGAACAGCATAATTTAAAGTGGCTTCGCATTGGTAGGTTGTGCTTTTAACCTCACCAATTATCTATCCATTGTCCCTCCATATCGCTACAGCCTGTCGGCAGTTGGATATTAGATAGAGCCTCAAAACACACACGCACACACACACACGCACACACACACAGTTGGTTACGATAGGATGGTTAAATGGAAGGTGGGTGTATGTGTGAATCTTTTGAAGAGGAGGACTCAGAAAAAGACTTAATTATTCCAACACTGGCCTCTCTCTCTTTCTGCTTTACTGATGCACAACCACACACACACACACACACACACACACACACACCCGCACACAAGTCACACAGAGGCGTTTCATCACAGAGTGGTCTGATTGAATGGAATAACAAAGTGAGAACAGAGGAGGAGGTTTTGGCTGTTTGCTCAACTTACTTGGCTGTGTGTGGAAGTGCGTTCTTCTGTAGAGACACTCAGAAATAAGAAGAATACTTACGCAGAGGCTTGTTAATCTTTGCCATCTTTTCTTCCTTCTTGCTGGCAAACCTTTTCAATGCTTCACCCGGTCAACCAAGGTAGGGCTAAATGGATCCTCTTCTTATCTTATGTCCCCGAGTTAAGTTATCAGGTGTCTCATACCTCAGGTCATAGACTCCCAGTGTCATCACAAACATTTAAAAACAAATTAAAAAGCTGCCCAGATCTTCAGCAGAGCACCAGATCAATGAATTTGTAGGGAAAAAAGTTCCACCCACCTTTCAAGAGCCCACAGGCCTTTACATGGATTAGTCTTTTTAAGTCTGGTTTTGGACACTTCTCCTTTGATTCTGGCAATGTTTTCTAGATGGTACAAGCTGCTGGTGGTGGTTTAATGTGAATATTTTCAGTCATTCAAGTATCTGCCATTCTAAGAGCTTGAGGAAAGGGCAATCGGACCTCTTTTTGGGTCCTGAAAAGGTTTCACCAATTTGAATGTCAATTGAAGACAGTTTGGTCGATCTTCGGTCAGGAGTTCAGACGGTAAAAAACTCCCCACCATTTAGTTTAGGCTGAAGAAGCCTTTTGCAAGCGAAGTGAAATGTCTACAAGATCCCCAAAGGAGTCCAGCTGCCTATTCATCAGAATTATAGATTCTAAAACAATATTTACAGGTAGAATTGGATTTATTTTAGGTTAGATTTTTTTTTTAGATTTTTAATTTTTTTTAAAAGTAATCTCACTGTGTTTTTTTCTGATTTGATGTAAATGAATTACACAAATGTTTTACTGTGGATCTATTGTGAGATCATGCAGCGCACCCCACAGAAGTCAATTAAATTAAATTCAGTTTAAAATATGTAAGGCACCTTTGTGAGATATGGTCCAAATTCAGATGCAATCCGATTCACTTTAAATAATCAGAATCCTGTCAAACCTTTTCAATTCCAAATGAGCAGTAAGCCAGTTAAAAAAAAGAAAAAGGTCCTCTGGAAAAGGAAAGCAAGAGATGCGCCATAAGGCAGTGGAAAGAAAAAACTTGATTTTAAGAGACACATTGAATAGAACCAGTGAAGGTTGAGATGGGGGCTTGGGATACAGAGGACACAAGGAGAGTTAAGCAGAATTGGTGGTCCATTAGCAACCTCGGCCTTTTTCCTTGCTTTCAGGGTTACCCGAGTCATGCCTAACAGTAAGCTTGGTCAAAAACGTAAAGTTTGAAGCTTAATCTTAAAGGTAGAGAGGGTGTCAGCTTTCTAGATGTCTGCTGGCAGCCGGTTCCACAGAAACGGGCCTGATGACTACAGGCCTCCCATTCTAGTTCTCCTTGAACCGTGATTTGTCATTTGTGTGTTTGTGTTGAACACACGCCGCGTGGACTGTTTATCTCCAGCATTAGACCCATGTTGAATCATTCGTTCCCCCCTGTTTTCAGTTTACATGCTAAGCTGATCTAACTGGATGGGGGGTGATAAGCAAACACCAGACTGGTTTTGATCTTCTCATGTCTCTCGGAGAGATTTAGTTTTGAAATCAAATCAAGACCCTGTCTTTTTGAATAAAATTCTGTTCACCAATCTAAAGTGCTGAAAGCTCTGTGCGTTTTTTTTTTCCTTTGCCTCTTTGTGTGTAGCCTCGTCCTTCCTGAAGCAGGCGTTCGAAGGGGAGTATCCCAAACTGCTTCGGCTCTACAACGACCTGTGGCGCCGGCTGCAGCAGTACAGCAGCAGCCTGCAGGGGGCGCTGGCCAGCAGCGGAGGGCTGGACGCCTCCCTGGACCTCACCGCCGCAGACGCCGACGGCCAGGACCTCTTCACGCACGGCAAGCAGGACTACAAGTGAGTCCCGGACCGAGTTCATAATGAGCCTGCATGGAACGTGCTTCTCAAAAGTCAATAACGGCTGTCATCTCAAGGGTGCCACATCAAAAAAAATCTCACCAGTTGTCCAGGATCCCTCAAGCAGTATGAATTTAAACATTTACAATGTTGCTTTTTTTCCCTTATTCATTTACTTTCACTATGATGACGTTGGCACTGCAGCATGTCCCATTAATCTCCTGAGACCTGAGCTTTTATTTGGTGTGCATACTTATTTTTCAAGATATCGGGTTTTAGTAGGACCTAATAAGTTTAATAACTAGGTTTTGTGATGGTACAGGTAGTTTTTCTTCAGTGGGTTTATCTTTATATTTGAGATGTTTGTTTATATATTTAATTAAATGTTTTTGGTTGCGACGTGCCACATGAATTATTTATAACATTTTTATTACACAATAAGAACATGATTGGTTGAAAATATGATAAAACATTTTACTTTACATTTCACTCAGTCTTGTCGGTGTCTACTATGTGTCTAGTGTGAGGCCAAGAGGTCAAAGTCGAAAGAAAAAAATAAGTATCATGGTAAAGAGGGGCATTTGAGGACACAAAGTCCATACATTTCTGCAAGCTAATGCTAAATGCTATTTAGGAAACATGCTTACATTTTAACTTTGTGAGGACCACTGATGGGAGGAAACCATTTTCTGTGTCACTTCCCTACTTTCTTTGGACCGTTTCTAGCTGTTTGGGGGGACCAACTTATTGAAGAGACAGTTTAGGTTTTTTTCATTTGGTTTCTGTTGCATTTACAGGATCAGTTTTGTGGTATCAGTATCACTAATATCCGTCCCTGTAAGTGTGGGCTAAGGGCATCAGTGGTACATGTCGGTGCTGATTTTAAATTGTATACGCTTGTGTGTGTGTGTGTGTGTGTGTGTGTGTGTACAGCCCAGAAATGGCTCTGAAAGCCTCTCTGCATCCGTATGAGGCCGCCTACCTCTCCAAGTCCCTCTCTCGCCTATTTGATCCCATAAACCTGGTGTTTCCGATGGGAGGCCGCAACCCCCCCTCCAACGACGAGCTGGACAGCATCATCAAGACCATCAGCAGGTGAGTGGAGTACAGCCAAGTTATTTTATTTATTTATCTATCTATTTATTAACAGCTTTGTCTGCCAGCCACCACATTAGCATAAAAAAATCCACAGGGCTTTTCATTATCCGTCAGACTAAAATATGTTGCAGCCTGATTTAAAAAGTAGATAAATAAAGCAAATCAAACCTCAGCTAATCAACAGAACTGCGTTCAGTAGGAGAAGTAATTCGTACTTCCTGCAGTGATGAAAGGAGCGACATGGTTGTAACTTAGTACGAACACTAACTGTCAATAAGATTTGGATAATGGATATTATGGCACCCAGCGCTGTTTTTTTTTCTCCTCTTTTGTTAACTTATTCATTAGTTAAACTAAGTGTATTCAAAACATTTATTTTGAATTTTATGATTTATATACTGTTAATATTTTAATATTTGGTAAATCCTAACGTCATCTCAAAATAAAACTTACTCAAAATAAAAAATACTTGATGACAAAAAATACAAAAAAAGGATTGTCTTTTCTTACTAATGCTGGACCAGTACCTGCCAAATTAATGTCAGTATTAAATGTTTTTGTGGGGAAATCTACAAAGTAGTTCCTCAACCCCATTAAAATATAAAGAATTATGATCTATACACTGTGTACTGAACTGTACCGGTATACGTTGCGTGGCAGTGGGCCCCAAGAAACTTCAGACTGAACACACAGCCTTTCATAGTTGGCGTTTGGAAAAAGAACCTCGTCATAAACAGATGGCAGCTCTAAGTAATTTAAAAGACAGACGGCAGGTTGACACTGCAGACAGCTCTTTTAGTTTCACGTGTCGACTGAATGCCTTAAAAGTTTCTACATTCTTCTGGAAATGTATACTTAGATTGTTTTCCCCCCTAATTGTATTCCCAAAGTTTCCCCGAAAAACACAAATGGCTCATGAGTCACAAACCAACACATGTAAAGGATACTAAAGTCTTTTTTTTCCATACAAATGACATTCATTTTGCTTGGTAAACTGAAAAAAGCTTTTTTTTCCCTAATATGTGATCTTCATTGTCAGCTATTGGTTTCTTCATTTATCATTATTTTTTTAAACCTTTTGTTTGTTGTGTGCGTTTTGTTTGCAGTGAGCTGAACGTGGCATCGGTGGACCCGAACCTGTCTCTTGCTGTGGCGAAGAACGCCGCCAAGACCATCCAGCTCTTCTGCGTTAAGTCGGAACAGCTGGTGAGCAGAGAGCCGTCAGCACGTGTGTGTGTGTGCGTGTGTGGCTGAAAACATCTGGAAACACATGATGTGTCGACATGACGCTTGCTAAAACACTGATCACCACCTCGCTTGCCTTTCTATAGTTGTCCACCCAAGGCGAAGCCAGTCAGGTGATCGGTCCATTAACAGAGGGCCAGCGGAGGAATGTCGCCGTGGTCAACTCCCTGTACCGCCTGCAACAGGCTGTTGCCAAGGTAACAATAAGCAAATCTTACATTTTTATTCAAATCAACACTTCAGTTCAGTGGGGATAAAAATGTTCTGCCCTCCGACTGAATTGTCACAAAATTGACTCTAGCTTTAGCCTGACCAAGTGGATGGATGCCTTAAATGTTTTTGTGGGTTTATTTGAATAAAGCTTTATTAGGTCATGGACAGTGCAAATGATAGTAACAGGTGAGGCATTTAGAAAATGGTAAAAGTCGCTTGACCATATGACAACCTCACCGATGCGTCACAAGTCATCTGAATATTCAAGCAGGACTGGTTCACCGGAGGACAGAAACTCTAGAACTATATTTGTCCATATTAACTCCCCCTTTTTCCCCCTCACCCTTTGTGTTGTTTGTAGATAATTTCAGGTTTGGGGTCATGTCCCCCAGCTGCTGTCGAGGCCCTGTCTTCATCTTTGGAGGTAACTCAGTGTTTTAAAGTGCATTCAGGGCTTTTTTTTGCCTGATCCCAGATGTCATTTGAGGCTGAAAGCGTTTCACAGTGGCAGTAGAAGGAAAGACGTTCTGCTGGGTATGTTTAAAAAAAAACAAAACAATAAAAAAACAGCCTTTCATTAAAACAGTAAAAAAGTTGTACCATAGCAGTAGATTTGATCATCTTTTAGTCAGCCTGATGGTTGTCCTTTTACAGATTTGGCCATCATTGAGACCAATCAGACATAAAATCTAGCCATTTAGTCTATATAAAAATGTATTTAAATCCTAAAATCCTGCAAAATAAGGCTTGTATTGGCGTCATTAGCGTCGATGTTAACAAAACCAGGGGCGTGCAGTGGTTTTCATTGTGTTGACCACAATTTTCCAGCATTCTTTGATTTTTTTACATTTTTTAATTTACAAACAGCAGCTGTCAAAAAGCACCAGGATTTAAAAAAAAAAAATCCTTTTGTTGGCTCTCTTGGAGTCTCCGGCCCTGATGCTGCTGCTGCTCCAACAGATGGCTGGTACAAAAAAACTGAGCTCCGCCGCTTTCGCGTCTGGCCGCAGCTTTAGGATGTGTTAACACACAGATCTCGGGAGGTATTGTGCAGCAAACTGAGCGTTTTTTTTCCCCTCCCCCTCCAGTGGAGTCTGCCGATAAATGAACTGTCAGCATGAATCGAGATCAGACTATCTGATTAGCTCTCTTTGATAAAATTTAACAAAATAGAAACGGTTGAGTGTGAGTGTGTGAGAACTTTATTTTTTAAGTTTCTGCCCCCCCCCACAACGCCGTTTCGCTTTTGGCCTAGAAGAAAAAGGGATCAGAATCCAGAAGCTCAGCTGCCTCCAGCAGAGCCCGATGCCTCCCCGTATGCTAAATGAGGATCACAAATACATCTCCGCATCACCTGAACGCATGCGTTGCCGCGGCAACCCTCCAGGCCTCTTGACGAGAGCCCTCCGAGCCTCCGGGGGTCTGGCGAGGCGGGCTCACCCTCCCTCTGCGTCTCGTTCCCCAGGCGGTGCAGGTCCTGATGAGCGGCGCCGTGCAGCCCCTGCTGCAGTCGGTGGGCGACTCCATAGAGGCCATCATCATCACGCTTCATCAGGAAGACTTCGCCGGGTCAGTCGCCTCTCCTTTTTCCCCGAATTTTATTTTTATTTTTTATTTATTCGTTTATTTGATAGGGGGGGGGTTTCATGAAACATGTCACACACCGCAACATTTTAGCTGAGGCTAATTCTCAACGCCTGTCCCCAGTTAGGCTTTTACACAAAACACAGTGACTGTACACAAGGCACAACAGAACAAATGACACACTAAACATCACAGATACAAGATCAGGTCAGTTAGATTATTAATGTTCACATGTCTGACCTCTCAATAAAATGTCTTTAAGTTTATGTTTAAATAATAAGTTCAAACTGAATAAGTCAGAGTGAGAACCGCCTCAGCGTTAGGTATGGGACCCGAATGTAACCCTGCCAGCCCATTCTAAGCTCTCTTTCCTTCAAATACTGAGTTTCTTTACTACAAAATGTCTTGGAAATTCTTTAAATTCTTTAAAAAAGGTCTCGTTTCCTTGAATATTTACAACTGAGGCGGTTGGTGTGCCACAAGGAGCAGCAGGGGCCTCGCCGATGTCAAACTGAAAGAAACCAGCACTGACCTGTTCTGGTCAGCGTGGTCGTTCCATTTTAATGCAATTGCGTGTCCACGTGTGTGTGTGTTTATGCGTGTGTGTGTTTCTGTGTGTGTGTTCCAGGCCTCTGTCCGCCCCCGACAAGCCGGACGTGCCGTGCTCCCTGTACATGAAGGAGCTGCAGGGTTTCATCGGCCGCGTGATGGCCGACTACTTCCGACACTTCCAGTGCGTGGACTTCGTCTACCAGAGCACCGAGTCCATCGCCCGGAGGGCCATCCAGCTCTTCCTCCGCCACGCCAGCCTGCTGCGGCCGCTGGGGGAGGGCGGCAAGATGAGACTGGCCGCCGACTTCGCACAGGTCAGCGGAGCCCGTCCGAGCCGGCTTAGGGTCAGACCTCGGGGGGTTATCCTTTTGACTTTGGTTTGTGCGATTTCCTGGTTTCAGATGGAGTTGGCGGTGGCTCCTCTGTGCAGACGGGTGTCCGATCTGGGGAAGCCGTACAGGATGCTGCGCTCCTTTAGGTTCGTTGGCTTTTTTGTTTGGTGATGAAACATCCGTTAAGGCCACAAGCTTCGAACGAATCACGACTCATGTGACCTGTAAAGGCGAGTTCCAACATGAGCTTTTGCGTTTCAGGCCTCTGCTGTTTCAGACCAGTGAGCTGGTCGCCAACAGCCCAGCCGTGGGCGACCTGATCCCCTACAGCACCCTGATCCACTTCCTCTTCACGAGAGCCCCGCCTGAACTCAAATCTCCTCACCAGGTCAGTATACACACACACACACACACACAAGACCTCACTTTGTTGGTTAAAAACTAAATATGGTCCTCACTCTGATACAAAAACAAGGACACACACACACAAGACCTCACTTTGTTGGTTAAAAACTACACGTGGTCCTTAGTCAGATAGATAAACAAGGACACACGGACACACACACACACACACACACACACACACACACACAAGACCTCACTTTGTTGGTTAAAAACCAGATATGGACTTCACTCTGATACAGAAACAAGGACACACACACACAGGACCTCACTTTGTTGGTTAAAAACTAGATATGCTCCTCACACTGATACAGAAACAAGGACACACACACACCCACACACACACACACAAGACCTCACTTTGTTGGTTAAAAACTAGATATGCTCCTCACTCTGATACAGAAACAAGGACACACACACACACACACACAGTATGAGCACTACTGACTAGCATTGGTGCTGATGATGTCAGAATAAACGTTGGCTTTCCCCCCCCCCACAGAGAGCGGAGTGGTCCGTCGCCCGTTACTCCCAGTGGCTGGATGATCACCCGTCCGAGAGAGACCGACTCACCCTCATCAGGTTAGCCGTTTGACCGCTCTCCTCCCGGGGAGCGGATCCGTGGGTAGTGATCAGCCTCTGGTGGCAAACGCTCACCGTCTCGCCTTCTGCTGCCACCTCATATTTCTGAGTCTAAGTCACACATGGATCCTCTTTAGTCCACTCCAGATGGCTTCACTTCATGTCAGCACACAGTGGAACCTGCCGTTCCGACACTCCCACACACGGCAAGCAGAGTTCAGACATGATTTTCCTTTGCCTTTATTGAAAACTCCATCCTGCAGAAGAAGTCACTATCCTAGGTTTATGAACCTATTCCCCAAGGGGGAGACATTTGAAACCAAAAGGCATGATTATATGAGATTGTTGCTAATTATTCATTCTTCTCGCACAGCTTCCACTCTTGCTAATGACCCAGTTGAACACACTCATTTAAATTTTCATGAACTGGTGGGATTCCTGCGTCCTGTGCGCTCTGATCACTGCCTGTCCTTCCTCTCAGGGGCGCTCTGGAGGCCTACGTGCAGTCGGTGAGGGCTCGGCAGGGGAAGGAATTCGCCCCCATCTACCCAGTCATGCTCCAACTCTTACAGAGAGCCAGCAGTGTCGGACAGGAAGCCAAAACTTGAAAAAAAAAAAAGACCCATCTGCTGGTGATACTGTTCCATCATCCAGCTCTTTGCACACAAGATGAAGCCTCCTTCCCCGAGAGAGGACCAGATGAAGTTATACAGATTTCTTCCTCGTCCAAGTCTGATTCAAGTGACTTTGTTGAATACTTAATTTCAATCAAGAGGTACCTGTTTGAGTCTCCAATGAAAATGTAACTAATAAAGGTTGCGTACAGAAGCTGGTTATCTTTTTTTATTCTGTTTTAGAAGTTGAGCTTCCTGAACTTGTGACACGAAAATAAATGAAGGAATCAATTTTAACATTTATTACTCATTAGAAGCAGATGAATGGATCAAACACAAACACGTGGTTATATTCAGATGGGCCATTTCCACTGGTTGGGTGGAGGCTCCTCTATCAGCGGCTCCCAGGGCTTCCAGTCAGACATCTTCCTGGACAGAGCCAGCTCGCATTCCGCCTGCACATAGGACAGAGTCAGTCTTCTTCATCTAAACACAACTACCCTAACCCTAATCCCTGATAAAGAGTGGGTGAGAAAAGGTGTGTGAATTGCCACGGGAACGTGAAGCTTACCTGGAAAATGACTTCTTCGATCTGACCGCAGTTTATTTTCTTCTCCAACTTGTCAACATCTGGCTCCTGTGAACACAGAATGTGTCGACTTGAGTGAGAACACTTGCTCCTTAAACATTAGTGACCAGCAAGGAGTGGATCCCTCAGCTTTCTACGGACCGATTTCACGTGGTTGAACCTCTCGTTGACCAGCTGCTCTGTGTACTTTCTGTAGGCCGCGTCCTGTGGCATCGTCTGCAGCGACGTCAGGATCTTTGAGTAGAGAATCCTCAGACGCTGTGTGAGACAGCAGATCAGTTCAGTGAATGCCATCAGAAACCGAGTAAATGTAACCAATAACATTCTTTTGAGGTTCCAATCTCCAACAGAGTACAGCCCCTCACCTCATGTGGGTTATGGGACACTGCCAGGCCAACCAGGCCGGTCGTCTGCAAAGACAAACGCACGTTAGTTAGCCAGGTATAGCTACAGAAACTGTTAAAACCTCCGTATTACTAAGACAATATCACATTTTTAAATCTAATCTAAACGTATGACGTGGAAGCTTTTGTGTCAGTACAGTTTTTCATAGATTGCTCTGGTTTCAAGTCCTGACACCCTAAAACAAACATTGGCTGGTCTTAAGGTATCACCCCTTCACTAATAGAAGAAGAAACATCAATATAGGACTGTGCGGCGACATAGGACTATACTGAGACTCTTTAGGAAATTTCTGGTGTTCAAATGGCTCATTAGTGACGTTTCAAGGAAGGTCCGACTTGAAACTGAAGCCAGAACACTTAAATTCAGTTTCGGGCTAGTCTTGAAAGATCAATCTTAATTAAAGCATGTACGTACACAAACAATAATAAAGTAGTCATAATGGGGCTTTATTGGGAAGTTCGTTTTCGTTGGGGATTTGCTGTACAGTGTTGTTAGGTAGTTTACTTATGTAATGTAGCAGCTACATAAGAACGGTTGGTTTTATGAATTGCAATTGAAGACATCGTGGAATCGCTGTCACAGCCTACAAATTCAGGAACGTAATAAGCATATGAGGAGATTAAGTGGTTGCTAAATACTTCTCAATAACGTGAGGTGAACTTCCAGGGACGTCTCTTAGCTTGTTAGCAAAACAGCTATTGACTGGCAAGCAGCGCGTATCAATTTACGAAGTGCAGACGTTAATTTGGCAGTTTAAACGTAACCTCGGCTTCTCTTGTTTTCTTTGACGCCTTCTTTAATTTCTAACTCTAGAAAAACATGACCTCTATACGTACCTTCTTCAGTAGCCCGGCCATTCTTCGTAGCGGACACAGAGCCCGTTCACTATTTCCGGCAGCTAAATATGACGTCAGAGGGCCATTAATGCCCCTAGGAACGTTATAGGTCTAAGCATTTTACGTATAACAAATTGACCATTTTTTCTTTTCTTTTTTTTTTGGACAGCAAAATATTTAAGATGTCCTATATTTGAGAAGTAGAAAAAGACGTTCTCTGGCGTCACGCAGTAAAACAAGCAGGGATAACGTCAGCCCTGCTTTAATATTAATTCGAGCACACAAAAAAATCTTATCTAAGGTAGGAAGCATTATTTATGTTTTTAAATGCAAAAGTTTATTTAACCATTAAAATTTTTTGAACGTAGGATTCTCTAACCCTGAGACAGCTGTACACCCGAACCTGAGTCAGGAGAAGGTTCCGGGGCAGTGGAAGTCGTCCTGTTGGTTTTCAGTCCCCAAAAAGCCGAGGCCTTCCGATCCGGCAGACTTATGGACCAGTCGCTCTCATATCCCATGCGATGAAGGTCCTGGAGAGACTGGTTTTGGCCCAGCTGAGGATGCTGCAGGACCCTGCCAGCCCCCTTTAGGAGGGACAGTCTGATGTGGTGGTCAGTGATACAGGAGCTCCACATGGGTACTGAGCTTTCTCCTTTCCTCTTCCCCTTAAACACCACGGACTTCCAGTAAAACACTCAGTCAAGTCATGCAGTTTTCTGATGATTGTTAGGGTGTATAATAGAGGGATACTACGGGGAGTAAAGGGCACTGGTGGACATCTTTGTGAAGTGGACTGAGCAGAACCACCTGAGGTTGAACGTGAATGGGACCAGAGAGATGGCGACTTGAGCAAAAAGAGGACACCTTCAAAGCCACTACAGATCAGGGGGGAAGCTGGTGGAGGACTATAAACATCTGGGAGTGGTGATCAGCCATAGAGTCCAGCACCTTTCATACTTATTTTTGCTGTTTAAAAGATAAAAATCTAAACAAGTCCATTTCCACTCAAAAATCTGTGCAAGTTTAACCAATCCTGTAACACAGCTGGTGTCCTTCAGCGTCCACTCTCATTCAAAACTCCAGCTTTCTGTACCTGAATGAAAGTAAAAATGTTTTGCGCACATCTTAATAAAATCAAGCAAGACGGCATTGGAAAATAAGAAAACCATAGGAGGACATTCCCATCCAGGTGATTTATAATTCACTGAAATTCAGACAGTGTTCAGCTTTTCTACATTAATTCATTCTAAACAAGACAGTGACTTAAACCTGGTCGTTACAGTGTGACTAGCTGCTCCTGTTCCTCCAGTCAGCGTCCTGTGGCTGGTCCTATTCTTAAACCTGTGTGTGAAGCAGCCTGGTCGGACCCGGGTTTCGGACGTCGGTGTGTGAAGGCCCAGATGCTGCCGAACAGTTTGGTGATATAACATCTGAGCGAATCAAACTACGTACACGTGTGCACCGTTTTCTGTTCCCAAACATCTATTTTAACAATGTCTGAGAGGAAGGACGCCTATCTACAATACAGTGAAAAAAAAAAAGTATAAAAATATATTACAAATCTCAAGTATTTACAACGACTGCTTTGCACTACAGTTACAGCTGTCAGTTTTCAGTCTAGTTGTGTTACCCTAAAACAAGCAACATCTCTACACATCCTCAGTAAACTCAGCAACTAATGCAAAAAAAATCAACCAAAAAAAAGGCTGGAGGCATAAGAAAGCCTGGAGAAAATAAGAGACTGGACTCCCTAAGAATCCTCTGATGGGAGGGCTGGAGAGAGCCAATCACAAAAGGAGGAGGTCTTCTAGCAGGAAGTGGCCGGCGGTGTTCACCAGGAGCTGATCAGAAGAACATCCTGAAGGAGAATTAAAGGTTCAGATTTGGGTTTCCTAACATCGAAAAGCACCTTTACACAGTGACATACACACACACACACCTGTAAATGCTGGGGTCCAGGAGGACAGCCGTGTCTGTGGGCAGCTGGGAGAGGTGAACCACTTTGGTCTTCAGCTGCAGCCGGTCGCCCTCGTTCACCCACACATCCGGTAGTCTGGCACAGAGAAACGCACGTCTCTGATCCTATCTAGCTGAGGAATGACGGCTGCGTGGGGGAACATCTGACCCCCGGCTCGGAGCACAACGTTAAAAATAAAAAAAGAAACAAAAAATGCGGCAGATCGCATCGTGTTTGTGTTGACGACCTCGTCTGTAAACTTCTCTTTTTCAGACTGCTTTGATGATAAAAAGTGGAACAGAGATGAAGCCGTACTCTCTCCCCTCAGCTCAATCAAAGCTATCAAGATGAAAACGAAACTCTTCCTCACCCTGTCCTCTCCTTCCGACTCTATTGGCCCACATTAGGCACACCATGCCTTAAGTCTAAATAGGAATCTTCTCTTGCTACTTTTAAGAATATTATTCTTATTTTCTTGCTTTTTGCAATACTCAACTACTTTTGAAATTACATTTCTTACACTGTGAATATCTAGTCTGTCGTGTATGTCTAGTCCCTGGTATGTGTATATTATCCTTTAAGTTGTACAGATTTAAGTCTCTTCATGAGTTCTTTTTAGTTATTTAAGGCATTTCTGAGTAAATTGACTGTCATTTAGTGTGAGAACTGTTGTTAGCATAAGTCTGACCTATTACTGTGACAATTCTTTTACTGTTCAATGTTAGGAATGTCTCGTCACCACCCGGGTTTGTGAGGAACCTAATTTTGACTCTTTTATAAGTCCAGGTAATGAAACAGGCAATCAACCGGACTTTGTGGTTATGGAAAACACACACACACAAACACACTCACATGTCTTCGGGTGTCCAGTGCAGCAGGACCTTCACTTTCCCGGAGTCCTCTTTCCTCCTGGCTATTACCTGAACACAACAACAGGGACGGAACGTCAAGGCGGCCATTTTTTCTCCGCTGTGTGTGCGGTCCGGGGGTGTGTGTGTGAGCCCACCTGGCTGTGGAACACCACGCTGTGCCCGTTGCCCAGGCTTTCGATGTGCGTGGCCAGGTTGAGGCAGATGGCTCGGTGGCGGATGGCGTCCATGGTCTGGGCGTCGAAGAAGTCGTGAGGCCGGGCTGGAAACACAACATATGTATATTTTTTACGGTCTTTTTTTTGTTTTCTAAGACCCCGGGCTTTGTGGCTTTTGTGCGTCTGAGCGGGGATACGTACGCAGCGAGCGGCGGTACTTGTTCCGGAGCTTCCTCCTCTTGCTGAGGCCGGCCTTGGACGGAGACTCCTCCTTCACCTTGCCCTGGCTGGACGCCTTGGACGAACCCTGGGAGCTGAAGTGGGTGGGGACGTGGCGGGCCAGCCCCCCCTGCGAGGCGAAGGTGGCGTTGCAGCCGCCCACCACGCACTGCGGGGACACAGAGGGTTGGACGGCGGGAGCGGAGCGGGCGGGTGAGGTGCGGTGTGGGGGGGGGGAGCGGCCCGTACCTTGAAGGGCTTGTCCCCGCTGTGGCTCAGCATGTGCCTCTGCAGCCAGCTCTGGCTGGTGGACGGCGTGTTGTACACCTTGCAGCCTTTCCACAGACAAACAAACACCTGCGGGGGGGGCACCATTGCGGTAAACAGGGGATTCAGACTATCATTACATCGTAATTATTTGAGCAAACTATGACAAACTTCCATACTTAGAAAGTACAAATTTACTCTATTTGCCAACAAACACCTGTCCAGGTTCCTCTAGTTTTTTTCTTTAGGAAACATATTTTTATTAAGATATACTATTTTTTTCAAGCTTTTCTCCTAACGTTGCAACAATCTATTTACTGTATTGATATTAAGAAGTATCAGAAATATAAAAAAACCCCAAAACTTTGTGTTTCATACCAATTAATTGTTGATTTTTTCTTAACCAATTAAACATATTTTGATTTTAATAATGTCTTATCCACACTGTTTATTTAAGTTTTCCTGACGGGAAACCCCTTGCCGCCCCTCCCAGTTTCTTTAATTGCACTAAATAATAAGAAATATATAAAAAGATGACTTAACATTGTGATTAATACATTAAATATGTTGGCAGGATTAGCAGAGATTTGACACAGCTGGTCCTGAAAACGGTTTCCAGCAAGGAAATGAGTTTGTATTATTTACACTTTTGATAACTTTGTATTTTACGAAAGAGAGAAATCCTTTAACTGTGTAAGATATTCAAATTTAATAATTTTATCCTATCTAAGTCCTCGATGATGCCATTAAGACAGACATCTTTTGAAAAGATATTTAGAAATATTTATGTTAAATGTTTAACTTCAGAAAACATCTAAAAAGCTACCATTACTGTTCTGACCATTGTGGGGAACCTAAACACCTGACACACACACACACACATAGACAGACACTGACCCCTCCTCTCTGGCCGTCCACGTGCGTGGCTCGGATGTGCTCGGCCAGGTCGGGGCTGCTGGAGAACAGCAGCTGGCAGTGGTCCCAGCAGCAGGTGTAGCTCAGGGGCTTCCCCCCCGTCGCCGCCGAGCCGCCCCCCGCCGTCCCACCGCCGCCGTTGAGCATGGCCGGGGTGGAGCGCCCGCTGGACGCCGTGCTGTCCATGTCCATTAAGGTGGAGCTGATGCTGAATCAGAAAAAAAACATTCAAAGACAGGAGATGAGATTAAGATGGAACACGATGCAGAGGGAAGGTGGGGGTCCTCTTCAGAAATGGAGGACTTGATATCCAGAAGAATCCTTAAGGAAGACGCCAACTGAACCAGGAAGTGGGGGGGTGAATGTGCCCCTGAGGAAAGGAATGATCGTATTGACCAACTATGGAACAAGAGGGCAGAACAAAGGTGAATCTTTGACAAAAGATCCACCTCAAAGATCCAAAGAGAGTCTGACTGGTCAGCTGTTCACCTCATAAGATGAGCAGTCCTACCCTGAGGTTGCGATGCCCATGGAGGACTTAAACTCTGGGTGTGATGTGGCCTTGATTTGCCGCTGTCCGCTGATCATTATGGGAGATATCTGTTGGTTCTTACTTCTGCTGAGAGAATCTGAACCGTCAGACATCTCGTGTTCGGGCACGATCTTATCAGTCTCGGCAGAGTGTCGGTTTTGCCCCGTCTCGGTGGCGGGGGACTGAACCTCATCAGATTAGAGGACTTCCAGTAACCAGAGCGCAAACAGGCTAGCGGGCGGGGGGGCGGAGCTTCGAGAAGCGCCGTGGGCGTGCTCGGGTTTCACTGCTCGTCTCTGCACGCTCATTCGCGGTTTCAATCTGCTCCACGGGTTCGGAGGAAATCCGACTGTGTAGTTATCAGTGGGGTTTGTTACTGAGGGCTTATCTGCACATATCTTTGTGTTTTCTTTTTTTTTTTATCTGCAAATATCTGACGTGTCCATCTGCAGCTGGTACGAACTCCTCACCTCCTGCGCACGTCTCCAGTGAGCACATGTTAAGGGGAAGCCACTCTTCTGAGACTACCATGACAAACCTTTGATTTATTCATTACCAGAAATGTTCTTAGCAGAAATAAGAACTAAAATAGAAATAAAATGAGTGATGAAAAAAAATAAAAGCAAAACAAAACCCACGTCTTTGATACATCATCATTGGATAACTAATTCTTTAGTGCTGTCCAAACAGATCGTACGAGGCCTTCGGCTGGTTAAGAAAAAGTGCATCCAGGACAGCCCATACTTATCCGGTTTTAGCTTTTCTTCTCGGGGTCCCTAACAGTCAAAATTCCGGGCTTACTTTATTTCATGCGTCCCGAGAACAGGGCCGCTGTCCTGCAGGTTTTACAGGTTTCCCGGCTTCTACGCACCTGATCGAGATTAAATGGATCAGTTCTAAAGATTTTTCAGCTCTGCACGGCTGTAAATCAGTTGGGTTGAAGCGGGGAAACCCGACTTAACGAGCACTGACTATGTGGACCGCAGGAGGAAAGCTTCAGGGCATCTCCTGCATCCAAATGTACCCGCTGCAAATCAAAGTAAACCAGAATCCACTGCAGACATTTTTTAGCTCTCTCTGTGACTTCGTCAGCTGATGCTGGTCATATAATTTTTCTTTTTTTTTTTTTTTTTAAATTGGGATTTTATCAGAGGAGAGAGACTATCCGGAAATCTCTGGCCTTAGCGGGATGACATTTAAAGATATTTATAAAAAACTATGCAAATAAGAGCAACTCTTTGAGAATTCAGCGTGTATATACATGGGAAATAGTGATAGGAAAAAGTGACTAGCTCTTGATAGGCAAATACAAAGAGGTCTATGTCTGGTATCATGGATTCGGCTGATTTAATCCCAAACTGCAAAGACTAGTTTGGAGAGACCCCGATTTTAGTCCAACTGATGCGTTTACTTTCATTCTAAAAAAGTCTGCTTTGTTTGGAAATTCTTTAAAAAGTATGACTAACCCTTTACATTACATTAAAGGTTGTATTGCATACACTTTATGCCAACATCTATCATCTCAGAGTTGAGAAATTACAGCGAATGAACTGGCTCTGATCACCTCTCAGTACACTTAGAAGCACGATGGATATGCCCTCCTGCCACAGAGGAAGGGTGTCCAAAGGTTGTGGGTTAAGAACGTCTCAGTGGAAAGACGAGAACCGAATTTGCAAGTATAGTCCATACTGACTAGTGGTTAATTCAGTAGCCAATTGGCAGCCATGACTGGACCTGCAACCTAGTTGAAACACTCCAGGCAGCATCATGCGTGTGCAGAGCTGATACGAACAGGTGACAGTGAAGTGTCCACCACATCCTCTGTGAAAGCCACAGAGTGTGCTTCACCGAACACTTGTCACTCTCGTGCATCTTATTTCTCGTTCAAGGGGTAGCTCCAAATTCTGGAGGGCTCTGTTTACCATCTGCCCTCATGTTGGACCATTTGTTATTATGCCTGAGTGCTGTTTGTTGATTCAGTGGGATAACACAGATGAGGGTCACACGTTTTACTTTTCCCCTAACATACTTATCCAAGAAATCATATCTTAATTGCTATTGGAACACCGTTTTTGTTTATTTTTTTTTAGGACAGACATGTATATCTATCTATTATTTCAGAGATTAAAAAGGTTCAGTCCCCCCCCACAATACATCAGCTGCGAGAGAAGACATTATTTCCTTCCGGTTGAGTCATCATAAATCAATTCGAAGACGAGGACGTTTGTTCGGGGATTACAGAACCGTGTTAGACGGCAGAAGCATCATTTTTATGCCGTTAATAAAATGTTTTTTGTGTATTCCGTTTACTACTACTGTGGTAAAAAAATATCGCTGGCTGTTTTAAAAAACACTAAGGCCTTTTTAGAATTTTTTTTTTTTTTTTTTTTACACCTCTTCCTACTTCAACACACCTGTCCTCTGAATCCATCCGACTGAGCGGCTCTCCATCCGACGAGGTCAGCTCCAGGCTGGCCGGCCTCTTGCTGCCGTGCTCGGCTTTCTCGGCCGCCTTTGTGGGGTCGGCCGGCGGCGAACTGGACACGTTTCCCCCCACTCTTTGTTCTTGTTTGAGCACCCGGGAGCCCTCTTGCGCGAAGTCCGTGCCGCTCGCCAAACTCCCCTGAACGGGACTTCGCTCCGGCTCGTCGAGTTTACCGCCGGCTCCGGCGTCGAGGCTGTCCGGTTCGCCGCCAGGCGCGGGAGTTTGGTCGTCCTCTCCGGGACGAGGGCTCGTGTTTTGGAAGCGTCCCTCTGCGGTACAACGGCCACTGCTCGCGTCTGCTCTGCCCTCGTTATCGTCGCCCGGTTCCTGTTTGAGGTCCGGCACGGCCTGTCCCTCAACGCCGGTTCCTGTCGTTTTGCCGGTGCCGTGTTGCGCTGAAGACGGCGGGGAGTCTTGTTCCGTTCCTTCGGCCATTTTCAAACAGGCCTAAAATGTATTTTTCTGTGGTGTTTCTCTGGAAAACTTGGCCTCGGGCTGTCCTTCCACTCACACTGTAGTTGGAGCGCAGCGCAGCAGGGGGTTCGCGTGACGTCGTCTCCTCGCGTGGTCAAAGCTCGTATATTGTGAAGACGCGTCTCTCTCTTTTCCACGCACGTACACAGAGTGACACTTTTGTAGATTGCCTTTTGAAAAGTAAACACACAATGCAGTAAGAGGACACGCGTTCACTATAAAAAAATCAAAATATGCAAAAGCAATAACACAAAACTGATTGAATATATATAAGAAAGCAATGCTTCTTTCAAAGCCCCGATAAACATCGATAATTACTTTGCAAGACCTCCCCATATTAGAACGCGGAAAACAATTTTTACTTTCCAAAATAAAGAGACAGCAATTTTCAAGATATCTCCAACTATGTATGAGTTTTACTTCTGAATCAGGGCATTTCGATCAGTGTGAGTGGCTGTACTGGCGGACTAAATTAGCTTCTTACCGAGTGGCTCATCGAACCACAAATACACGATCTACGGCATTGTGGCTCTTTACTCCACGTGTTCCAACAAACAGAGAAAGGACCCAACTGAAGGAGTGGTGAAAAGGCTTATGCTCATCTGATCCAAGGACAGCGCGGCTGGATCAACCTGGGCCTCGTGGAGCCTCTGTTATCTTTCAGGAATCATACTGATTCAATCTTAAAACTCACTATACGTGTTTCTTACATAATGGGAACCAGGTTAGCCGGTTGACCCGAGTGATGAATTGGGGCAGCTGGTATGGTGCCTGCAGGACAGATAAAATAAACCATAGATGATAACCACAATAAGCATGGCAGAAAAAGTAGTTATAACTTTGATAATCACAATTAATTATTCCTTAACAAGAAAATAAAATAAAAACGAACATTATCTCAAAATCAGATAAGAGAAAAAATACATGCTTATAGGGTTTTGGCTGACTTTTATACATTTGAACTCAGAATTAGCAGTAACCCAGAAAATACATAGCATATTAAAATTATGTTTTATTATTATTATTATTAGTATTTATTATATGTTTTATTAAAAACATACAATTTGATATACACACACACACAGTGTTATAAAAAGTAACAACAACCTTAAGGAATGGGGAAAAGCTTTTTTGTTTCCCACTTAAATAAAGGAAAGGAAAACAGAAGACAGCCTCCAAGAAGGTTTTAAGAACATCAACATTTATTTCACATGATATAAAACAGATGCAGTATGAACTTTTTGCATATTGACTAATAATATTATTTCTTATAATCACTCTTATTTTCAGTGTGTACATAAATTATGCTTTCTTCTATTTATTTTTTAAATATCTTTTCCCCTTACATATACATCTCTTAAATTTCTTTTATGCCTGAAGCTCCAAAGTCCGACTTATTGCTTCATACATGTGCTATACTCCAATTCCTCACCATCTAGGACAGATTCAAACACAGGATCCGCACCCTGAATAATCTTTATCATAAATCTGCTAAGTTATGTAAACCGAGAGGAAGGAAATTGAAAAAGACACAGACTGCAAAATCAGACACGAATCCAAAGCATTCAAATACTCGTGAGTGTTCGACAGACTTCAGGAGATTCATATCACCCACTTATATAATCCAAAAAAATCATTCCTGTAAAAAAGAGAAAAAACAGCAGCATGAAGTGGCACCTTATTGAAGTAAAAATTGGCTTTATGGTCATATATATTTATACTTTTTATATATTTATATATGCATATCAAATGAACGACAACTGGTTATGTAGCAGTTGCAAAATAAATGACAATGGAGGAAGCCTCCAGTCTCAAAGGAAAATCTAAGAGCTTAAGTGGTCACTTGGGGTCAAAGTAAAGCACTGCATGTATGTTGGGTTTTGGTGCTTAGCCCATCTGAGGTGAGACTCCTCGTGCTCTTATATACAGCTGTACACTTGCTTCTGACAATCCAAGAACAGCTAACAAACCCTTTCACCAGATCCTCCACCCACTCTCACTTTAATATAATTATATTAAGATGTCTGTAATACTTAGGTATCAAAAGCTATGTATACTGATGTGTGTGTAAATGGATTTGGCAGCACATTTCTATGGTGCTAATGACTCCCAAAACAAGTCATAAATGGAGACAGGACTGTGAAATGGTTTGGTTTTTATCACGGGGTCTAATACTCTTTTGCACGGAAACATTCTTTAAAATGAAAGTTGAGTTTATAACACTGTTATCTCACCGCTATGAGATTTTGAGTTTGCATGTGCTCCATGTATCTGCGTGGGTGCTCTACAGCCATAAGAGTCCAAATAGATACCCACTTTAGGTGAGCTCCGATAGTGTGGGCATGTGTAGCTGTCTTTGTTTTCTATTTCCTCTATTTTTCAGCTACTGTCAACTGGAATAGGTTCCAGGTCTATACAAATGTTTATTACATGGAATAATGGATGCCTTAACAGCATAGCTGCTCCCATTGTACTATACTGCAATTGTAAAATAATAAGTTTGACTCCATGATCTATAGTGTAATTGAATAATGTTTGCTTATTGTGCATTTGTTAACGACTCAGATTCTGACAGTAACTGGAGTTAGATTTACTATATTCTATTTTAAAACTGTCATTATGTGGAGAACCAGTAGGAACGTTTGCTACCAATTATGGCTTGAGAGGTCTAAACCACCAGATGTAAATACAGGCTATGTTAACATAACTGGTAAAACAGGTGTAGGTCACAGTCTTTATACAGCAAGTCTTCCAGATAACTCAGCTCTACCTTGGCCAACAAGTCCCTTCTTTCACATCCACAATCCCATTGTGTGTGTTTAACACTGTGAATGACCCCACAGAGACTGTTATCTCCGGCTTTAAACAACACCCCCATTGTGTCCTTTTGACACTACTTTCAAGTGAGGTATTTTGGATCAGCTATTCTTTTTTATGTGGACATCTTTTGAACTGGATTTTGATGGACCATAATTCTACATTTTAAGGTAATCTGAAGCCCAAAATGCCTGAGATCCCCTCCTTAGGTGATCAATGTGAACATTGTTCATCCTATTGGTCTTCTTAAAAGAGATTTTGACCATGAAACAAGGGACAACGTTGTTTTTCTTTCTGCCGAGATTACGGATTAAAACCTGAAATGAAGGTGACATATTCTAAAAGGAAAAATGTCTGTGCTATTTTTCTATGAAGCCTGTTTAAAAATGCACATCGGTGGCAGCGATGAGTAAAAGTTGTACAAGTCACCTTCAACAATTGCCTTAATCTCAAATACGATGTGCTGCTACGCTTTTCTCCTAAGCCCAGTTAAAAAGGAAATTATAATGTGCAAGATACAAAGCTGAAAACAGCAGCAGACACAAAAGGGGAGACTGTAAGAGGGCGAACGTCACTGAACAGGGACGTCCTGGCAGTTCTAAAAAGCTTTGGAAGAATTCAAAATTTGAACAAAAGCAGTCAAGAAGCTGAAGATAGCCAGCTGAGTTCTTGTATTAGTAATATAAGTGATGGGTTTAATTAGAATTTTTGATTAATTTCTGAGTCCAAACATGTAATCTCTAACCATTTCACAGTCTTTTTCTTTGTAGACATGTTTTGGGGTCAGTAGGAGGACCATAGATTCTTTGTTTTGGTCAGGTCTAAATGGTAAGCTACTGAAGATAAAATACATCTGCCTTTGCCTCCCGTCTTGCTGTTGGTCGTCTCTCTCTGTCAGCAAGGCCGTTGTACTTAGTGTCAGTCTCCGTTTTGGGCATGTAACAGTAGTATCAAAGGAGTTCGGTTGTAAACGCAGGAAGCCATGGAGCATGCTCTGTGCGGGCCGGCTACATTTGGGCTCTACGGGATGCCAGTGTGTGTGCGTCGAGGCTGGCATCGCTCACGTGTCACTGCTCACCAAGGTGAATGTCTGAGCTGCAGGCAGGAGAAAAAAAGGGAGAATGAATAGATATGTTAGAGGAGTTCATCTTTTTCTTGTTCTCCAACTCACTGCAAATGTTTATGTAGACTTGCTTTCCACATTTTTGTTGGGGGAAAAGGATAACATAAAAGATGAGAGGAATTCTTCATACATTGTCTGTTTGGAGATTGTGATTCTAATCCAATGTTCTCTACTTTGTAGTAGTGATTTTCCTATCATTACAAAGATACACGGACAAAAATGCACTCACAAGGGGATTGTTAACTGTCCACAGCACAGCCTGATTTAAAGGAAATGAATCCAAAGAGATCCACAAGTGGCAGAGATTTGAATACTAGTTTTAAGAAATATTTACTTTCTATTTGAAGATAAGATAAAATAACTGATACTGATATTAGTATCAGTTATAAAGAGTGGAAGCATTGCAACACATCAGCAGTTCAATAACTCCTGAATGTGAGTAAAACTTTAAATTTCAAAGCTGCAATTGTATGATTATCCCTCTAGTTTTACGCCAGTAGGTGGCGATAACGTGCCTGCTATGACTCAATTCTTCTCCATTTTGTTTAGTTTGAAAATAAAAATGCAGAATATTTCTTTTTGTAATGGCAGCAAAAGAAAAGAAAACAACAAGAACACGAAGACAGAATAGACCTAAGTATAGTAAACATAAATGGTAATAATCATATTCTTGCTGTTACAAGACTCTCAGATGTTACATATTTGAAATTACAATAGAAAAGAAATTCTAATCTATATATAAGGTGGTTTGAACATTTAGTAAAATACTATTTTGTCTATCTACTAATAGTTCAAATTCAGGTTTCCAAAACGAGGGAAATCTCTGGAATCTCTAGCAGCTGAAATACAATTGCTCACTGTGATACTATTAAATTATGTATGAGGAACTCAGAACAAGATTCTACATATGACATTTCAGTCGTAATACTTACAGGCCAACATGTTATTATTATTGTGTTTCTTGTTGTCCGTTGTTAGATGGTTATATGATTCCAGGCTCTTCTCCAGGTTTTCCTGTTGGTTCATTTGCTGGCTCACGTCCTTTTCCTCCTCCTTGGGTTCGGGGCTTGGTGTCTGAAAGCTACAAAAAACAAAAGAAGCACATCTAGTTACACTGCTACAAAACATAGCAATTTGTCAATCATACCTTAGGTATGTCATGCTACCAGATAGTAAACTGGGAATTGGAAATCACATGTCCTGGGTAAATAAAATTCCCAATGGGATGGATATGTGCTAAATGTAGCTATTGTAAAAAACAGCTTGAATGAGTGTGTTGCCACTTTGCATTTGAGATATTTTGCTCTGTCGGACTGTCTGTGGTCCAGCGGGGCGCACTAATGCACCTACAGGCATTGGTCCCCCCCCCCTGCTGTGGCTTGTAGTCTTAATTGGATTTCAGGAGTGATCCGGTCAAACGCACAACATAGAACAACAGTGATACAATTAGTTTAAGAGCATACAATAACACTCTCCTTACAACATCCCACAAATCCCCCTGTTGTGGCCATTTAAGTGAACTTTTTGTCATTCACTTGATCTGTTTAATTTTAAATAGTTACAAAATATATGTTTCAGTTTGCACAGAACCATTTGGAATTTAATTGTTAGGATTTATTTGGTCATTTTCCAAGCTCCTCCCATTAATTTGGAAGAGTTAAAACAGCTAGGGGTTGTTGTTTGGGGGAAAAAATGTCAGGTGTGATGACGGGAGGTTGGCAGACAAAGATTTTTTGACCACGCTCCTCGCTATACTTTTGTTTAACCTTTTGGATCACCTTTGTTACTTTTTTGTTTGCAACAAAGTTATAATGGAATTTTGTTTGTTATTTCCTCATAATTTTACAAAGAAATAAAGCCAAGTGCGTCAAAATCAAAACCCACCTGTTGCCACAGACGGCCTTTTTTTGTTGGAAGAATTTGGTTAAGAAAAATTAAAAGGCCGTGACACCCCCCTTTGAGGGTCTGCCAGTCTGTGACAATTGTCTACAAGGTACACAAATTGAAAAAAACACAGGTACGCACCTGTTTTCAGTGGTGGTGTTCGTGGGGGAGCTGGTCAGATCTGGCTCTCTGCCATCGTCATCCACAAAAGGTTGGAAGTTCACAATCTCCACACGCTGTGGCTCCGTGCCTAGGTCCAGAATCACCACCCTCCGGCTTTCGCATGGCTGAAAAACCCACACAGGATAGGGTCACTCGGCAAAACTTGTCTCAATCGTGGCCACTGAATGCCAACGCCTCCTGCCTGTGATCATTTCACAGCACCACAGCTCCCCTATTTGTAACAGATCAACACCAAAGTGGGTTCCACTTATGGACAGTCTTGCTGCCAAATTATTCTTCCTGCTTCCTATTGTTTTGCACCGTCTTTATTTACTGTGTTAAATTGGGCAGAGCAGTTTCTAACCAGATTATCTATAGATATACCACCATTCCTTTTCTAGTCTGACAATCCTTCCTATGTGACCCAGTTTAGATATGCATTAGGATGAGCTGCTGTAGCTGTTGTTAACCCGTTAAAATCTACATTTAGAGAAACCTTAAAAGATTTTTTGCATTAAAAAAACATTTTTGGAGCAATACTAACTTTCATCTATGTTTTTTTCCACAGATAATTTGGGGTGACACTTTATGGTAAAACACTTTATATTGACATTCTATTAGAGAAATGTCATAAGTCATGTTTACTTTAGGCATCATATACCTAAACTTAATATTAGAGCAAGTTTAGGTGAGTCCACGTCCTCCAATATATCCTCTGAGATAAATTTGCTCGACCAAATGGTTGAGCAGAACATCAAATGGTTAAGGACCACAGGCTGTGATGTATTCTTTGATTCTTCCCCTTTTTCTTTATCTCTATATCAGTGTACAGGCAGTGGAGTTTGTCTTTCAGTTATTGAAAGATATTGCTGATGTTATGTTTTGCTTACTTTCTCATTCTCCTGTCAGGTCTTTACATAACTTATTCATGACAATATTGACAATAAAAAGCAACTGAAATTGTGTTGTTGTCATGAACTGTTTATTGGTACATCCATAAACAATGTACTGTAGGGTATTTCCGTTTACATGTGTGCTGTCCTTTAATTATTCATTCACAAATAGCTCCATTAGGAATGCCCACATGAGCAGATTCATAGTTCCAATCCAAATATTTGATGTGAAGCAGAGAGAAGCTCTACTTTTGTATTCAAGACTTTTAACTCTGACAACATCCTCCAAACACCAGAGAATTCTTACCATCTCAATCATAAAGTAGCAAAAAAACACTTAAAAAATTGTCGTCACTTATGTTGTGCATACTGTCTATAAGCATACTGAATATATTATTTATGTAACAAGCTTGAGAGGAAATATTGTCTTTTAACTTAAGGCTTGAAAATGATTTGGGGTTTACAAAACACACTGTAAAGCGAGAAAAGGGCAGATTTATCCAAACCGCATTACCTCATTGTCTATACTGTTGGTCCCAGCCTGCTTTTCCCTCTTCTGTTGTACCTCTTCACACTTGGAATTTGCCTGTTCCTCTGCATTCTGCATCCCCTGCATATTGGAAAGGATTCAGACCATTATACGATCATATTGTTTTTGTTTTTTTCCATAGAGTGAGAGAGAGAATTATTGAAATGTCACAGTAAAAACTTAACGCAGCAGTCTGACTCTTTGCCGGCACCACAAGATGGCGGACTCTGCGATAGCTTATCGGAACAATGCGCAGGCAAACAAGGTGCCATGATGGAAGCAAAATGGAATCTGAAAATTTTGTTTCTCCACACTGTATTTGAAGATCCATCCATCCATTATTTTTTCAGCTTATTTCCCAAGAACACAGAGACAAATAACCACACACACTCACATTCATTCCAAAGGGCAATTTAGAGTGTCAAATTGACCCAACATGCACGTTTTGGGACAAATTTGAAGACAATTTATATAAAAGTAATCACTTGAACTCTCAAAATGAATACATTTAGCCTGAAATAAGTACTTGCATTGAATGTGAAAGTAACGGATTATTGTTTAATGGTGGTTAACTGGCCGCTTGAATTTGGAAAGAGCGTGGTACGTAAGTCATGTAATAGTTGCACCTGGGGTGAGGAGGGTGCTTCCTCTACGTGAGCTTCTGCAGCCTCTGCCTCTGCCCTGGTTTGCGTCATGGCGGCCACCTTCAGCTGCTGCAGGGCTGCCTCCAGCTCCACGGGATCCGGACAGGACCCTTCGGCCGGGGTACGATTCTGCACACATAGAGGGCATCTACATTAAAAATGTCTCCACGCCTCCCCCAATCGTGATTAATTCCCCGACTGAACGTATCTGAAGATTTAATAGGTAGATAAACACATTCTGTTTCAGGCTTATGTGTGTGCGTGTGGATGAGATCACCTGCAGGATATGAAAGGGTTTGTCTTTGTTGAAAGAGGGTGAGCGAGAGGGGGTTTCTCTCCTCTTCTCACGGAGCGACGAGGCCTCCTGGTTTCTCCTTATCCTCTCCAGCTGCTCCTCCACGCTCATCCTTGTTCTGCCAACCTCCCGCTCCCCGAATCCCATCTGATCCACTGCACTCCTGGGACGATCCTGCACAGCAAAACGCTCAGTGTTATACTTCCTTTAAGCCATGGCTTTATTTATACCTTCTGGCATTTGTGTACTGGCAAACAGTGACTTAAATCTTCTATACAATTCTGGATTCATATTTTCTGGAGGTAGGATGCTCTTTGGAGTATAGCAGTTTCAGTTTATTTTGTGCATACTGTCACTTTTTATATAAATATACATATATAAAATGGATGTTATTTAAAAGTGACATACAAAGGAAATGCTCCCATAATAATGACATCTTATAGTCCAGCAGTATTGCGCTCGCAACATCTTCACATATTCAGCTGGTTAGTGTAACTAATGTTACACATTATGTAATGAATGGGTTTTACAAATAAACAGTGATAGGTATATAACTGATCAGCATCTTCTATTCTATTTCTCACAAAAAAGAACGGACTATAACTAGAATAATCAACTATTGTTTTAAGTCGTGAAAATGTGGACTGGTCTGGCTTCATGTTTACAGACAGATTATTCTAAATGCAGGATTTTAATTTTAAATCCCCAATATGTTTCTGCAGCTGAAAAGAAACAATATAAATCTCTTGTTTACAGCATTTTCTCTATCCGCACGTCTGGCCAAAACATAAAAATAGATCGCATGACAAGTAGCACCAAAAATGTGTAACACCTCTTTGACAGTTTGTGCCTTTTGTTTAAAAAAACAAACATTTTAAGTGATGGTTTTACCCCTTTTGGCCAAGACATTCAGACAAGAAGGGCTGCCAGGCTGAAACTGTGTTTCAAACTAGGTGAAAACATGTACTGCTTTTATATAAAATCTCTAATTAGCTGCTGTGTCAGAAAACTAAAACCAAGCACAAAAAGCTGTAAAATGCAATACCACTGAGGTTGCCTGGGATGGGTTCCAAACATCTTGGCTCCATTAGACTTACATACAACATACCAACTGCTCTAATGAAATATCAAGCCAAGAAAGTTTTCTCACAAGTCATTCTGGCATATTTAACAAAATTTCCCTCTGATCAGCTGAAATAATTTTTATTGGTAAGTTGGATATCGGGCCTCTACAAGGATACATGACATGTGTGGTAGTTTATGGGAATGAAAGAATTAATCTGAGGGAAATGCATTGTTAGAACATATGAGCATCTCTCTTTGAGCTGGTTTGTCAGTGATCAGCACATTTACTGCTGTTATTTTGGCATCGCCAAGACTAAGTTCCCCATAATTATCATTGTTTGGTTAAATGAACCAATAGAAAATGTTTTATTATTTTTCTTACAACAAATAACTTCTTGTTTTCTAATGTTTTTCCATCTATTGCGTACCATATCCCAACATCTTATGCTAAGATGTGTTTTTCACAAATTAATATTGTTTTCATTGTTAATATCTTTTTAAATGAATGTTTAGTGTAATTTTTTAATCGTCCAGGGTGTACCCCGCCTCTCGCCAAATGACTACTGGGATAGGCTCCAGTCACCCCGCAACCCCAATAGGGAATAAGCGGTTACAAAAATGGATGGATGTAATTTTTTGAGATCTGAAGAAGAGCTCTGGATATTTGTTGTGGACACTAATAAATGGTAAATAATTTCTATTCGCATTGAACTGCTGTTTGTTTACCTGTCGACTTCTGCCCAAAGTTAAACCAAACAAACCAACAATCTAAAACACTGAATTCAAACATAGAACAACATCATGTGTCCAAGTGTCAGTGAAAAACAAGAGCTCCTGTCCTCAGCTGTTGTTGTCTCTTTCTTGGTGCTAAGAGCGAGACTTACACATCTGGGTTCTGGTTTCTTGGTCTTTCTTAGGGTGACGTAGGAAGCAATGGTGGAAGACTCGGGAGGATTCATGGAGGATTTGGTCCTGGGAGGGACAATGCCCACTGGGTAAGGGGGTGCTGCTGGAGAAACAGGAATGCAATCATTTTCACATCAACAACTGAACCCTTAACAGCCACCCTGTTTCTAAAAATACAAAGTAGTGGGGAATAAAAAAATGAAAAATGTATCTTAATCTGCCTTAGACTTGAATCTTGACCTAATTTTGATGGCATCCAGTTAAATGGGCCATCTTAAAGTTTGGAGACTTTTAAAACAAACTTTGTCCGTAATATTGAGGCTCTCGCTCTTTTCAGATACATATTTCTATACAAAATGTGGCATTCCTCCAACATATGAAATGTGTACGTGGTACTGTCATCCACCTGACTGATTGTTAATCCAAATACACTACCTGGACATACACAGACAACCTGCACGAGGCCCAGATTCGCATGATTACACTGATTCTTTTCCGAGTGGTTTGATATGGCTCTAAACAGAAACCCAACAATGACAAAAGCAGAAAGAACACAAGACAGACAGGATTTCCTTCTCAAGCCAGTGTTGCTGGACTCAGTGTTGCATAAACTTGAGGCTGCTGAGGGCACTGTGACTCTGCCAGGGTTGACTGAAGACGGTACTGCCCTGTGGCTTGCTGTGGTCACTTTAATCATCGCTGTGAATATATGTGCTGGAATCTGGCGCGGGTTTTGATTGAAAACCTCTCTGTATGCTTGCTGGCTGCAGTGCACACATGTCAACAGAAAACGGGTCCTCCCTGATGCTCCAGAAATGTGTACTGATGCGTTCACACAATCAAATGGACACGGAATCTTGCTTTGCCCGAGCTGGCTGTGTGAGGTGGAGTGGTACTAAATGCAAATAGCTGTGCTCACCAACACACACAGCATGGGCACTGCGGGCTGGACTGTCTCGCACTCGCTCTCTTGAGAAGCCCAGAAGGGGAGAAGTGTCAGCCAGTCAAGGGGAAACTTGGAAGCTCCCCGTTGAGTGCCTGAGTGAGTTTTCTTCAGTAAGCAAGATTGTCGCAGAGCAGACATTCTGAAAGTTCTGACTTCTATTTGCACATGAGCATTGACCTGCAGCTCGGATTACCAATCATTTTTGGAGTCTCCGAGTGGTGTCATAGAAGGGTTGCTTTTAAGGATTTCTTTGTTTTTCTTGGAGACTTGAATGTCTATATGAGCATGACGATGTGACTTAGAAGAGCGTGATTGGAATTATTGGCCTCCCAGATCTAAATCTATGCTGTGCTTTGTCTTTGATGTTAGTAGTGTCTTTTATGGTTCTGGAGCTTTGGAGTCTGGATCTCTTGTTGGGAGTCTCCTTCTGCCCCTGTGAACCTACTCTGCTACAATTACAACTTATGTTCCCAGTCCTTTTGCTATTATTAGTGCTAGCGTTATCATTAACATTACTATCAATATCTGTACCATTTTATATCCAGTCTATGGCAACACTACCTTTACTTGTCTGTACCTCTATGTGTTACAGTGTAGGCTGCCTCCCTCCGCTCCATCTGTCTTTCTCTCCCTCTCTTTTGCCCTCTCTCTCTCTCACCCCCAACATGCTGAGGCAGATGACTGCCCACCCTGAGCCATGGTTCTGCTTGAGGTTTCTGCCTGTTAAAAGGAAGTTTTTCCTCGCCTGTGTCGCCTAGTGCTTGCTCTTGGTGGGAATTGTTGGGCTCCTGTAAATAACTTCAGAGTAGGGTCTGACCTGCTCTGATTGGCAAGCGCTCTGAGATAACTGTTGCTGTGTTTTGGCTCTATATAAATAAAATTGAAATGAATTGAATTTCACTAAAACCATGTTTGAGCATAAGGTGCACCACGCACCAACACTAAAGGTTGAATACAGACTTTGTAGTTGTATCAGACGGACAGTATTCAAGTCAGAGCTGTCAACCGGTACAGGCAATGCAACCCTGGTACCAAAGGGTAGCATTATGCTTGGCCATGGACAGGGACATTTGGTTGCCCTAAAACATATTCAATATTCAATTTGGCGAATTGAATAGCTGGGTATGTTCCAGATTGTGCACATTGCAGAATTGCAGAAGCACCTGAAGTACTTCCTCAATATGGCTTCCGTTGAGACGACAGAGTTTGACTTTTTATCATCTTCGCAGAGATCACTAAGGTAGTTGAAAATCTTCCTGGCACTAAGGAACTGTTGTGTTAAAGTGTTGAAGGATCTGGACACTTTGGGGTTGTCTGGGATCAAGCATATCTTCAATGTTGCTCTGAGGTGGGGACCAATAACTAGGGGTGGTAGGTAGACCAGGGTGTTGGTTCCTCCTTTCAGAGAGTGGGTTTCAATCATTGGGGGTCAGTTACTCTACTCAGCCTACTTGAGAAAGTTTTCTCCTGGTTATTTGGGGGAGGGCCCAACCAACAGCCTCTGAGTTGGGAGTTTGAGTATCCAGATATGCGTCCACTGAGGTTGTCTGCACATCTGATTACAATGGAAATTGTTTGATCATGACCCAACCCATAAGGGGGAGATTATGTAAGGATGTACACCCATATGCTTTTATCATGAGCTTCAGATTTGAACTATATGGCTGTATAGAAAATCTTAGTCTCAAGGATTAGTTGTGGATATTTGTTTTAACACATTTTAGGCCTATAAAAGTAATTAATTCTATGTAGATACCTTTTGAGGTTGTAGTGTCTTTACTTTCGGCTGATGTCTCAGTCTTGTCCTCACCATTGGCCTCGTCCACTTCCTCCTTCACTGTGGTAAGCTCAGGCTCACTCTTATACAGCCGATAATCTGGATTTTGCTAAGAGAGCAAGGTAAAGTTAAGGGTTACAGTGCTTACAGAGTAGCAGCTATTGGGCAAATATGCACAGACAAACACACACATACACTCGCAGTTCAATGGAAAAGTTATCCATCCATGCTGTTCTATTGATGTGATGTGCTGTATAGCTTTGAGATTTTTTTTCTCAATCTATGACATATCAAATAATGATGACTCAAAGCTAACTTGCTCTTCTAGCTAGAAGCAAGTCGTTGCATAAATCTCAGTAGTCTGTGTGATACATTCTTTGACTGAGTGTTAGCATTGTTGATTTACATTATTTTTTAATGCTGTTATTGGTAGAAAACGTAATAGAAACATATTAAAAAACATAAACACATGCAGCTAGTTGTGCTCTCAAAAGCTACCACCATGCTAGCTACAATTTAACAACATGTATTGTTAATATTATAAAAGAACACTATCTCCAAAATCATGCATTCTTTATTAAAGATTTTGCTTTCTAAAATCTCTCATTGCATTCAGAACTAGAACATTTGCAAGGCAAATGCAGCATCATGAAGATTTTACTCAACTGCCGAGTGTAAAACCTTAGGTCAACAATCAATATCACCATCATCTATACCCTGCAGCAGAATAGGATAATGTCTTTTTCTGCCTCTATAAATGGAATCTTTTATAATGTCCCCATACACGCACACACAGAGAAAAAAACGAAGCCATGAGAACCTAAAATAAATCTGACACGATCCAGGATGATTGAGAATGTCAAGAGGAAGCGTAGATGAGTGACGGGGATGGATTGATGAGGAAAGGGCCGCGGAAAGTTTGCAATGAATGACTGTTACTCCAAAGTAGGCATGTTGAGCTCATGGGACGGAGCTCAGGCGTGGAAATGCTGGAGATCGGATGTAAAAGGGGGTCGGTGGTGGGTCATAGCACGCCGAGGATATGGCGGGGGGGGGGGAGGGGGGGGGGCTCCTTACAGAGTGCGCTCCGTTCCTGGAGCTGGCCTTGCGCTCTTCGGGACGGTGGGAGTGGGGAGGCCGACTGCCGGGATGTGAGTGGAGGGGGGGCACGTGGAGAGGGAGCTCTGTTGAGTCGTAGTACTGAGGGAGGGGCGGACGTGGGGGCACATTGTTACCCTCCTTTAGAGGACTGAGGGGCAGCATCGTCACTGCCTGTTGACAGTTAACAGAGCAAGCGTCATTCTCAGGAGTTCACTTCCTGCCATCGCATAAGCTTCCCTAATCCTAACCATAAGTTAAGATGGGGACACAGTCACGGAGCGTTCAAACTAAATGGGAAATGTAATCGCACGTAGTGTATTTCTGTGTATAAAGTAAGGTGAAGATACCTCAACACGCTTGGTGTATTAGCTCATTTGAAAAAAATCTTAAGGTCTTCAGTTAAGTGTCACAAAGGTGGACTTGGCAAAATCACTGTGGCATTAAATAAACAGCACTCATTAACAGAGTGAGGCACACTAAATGTACATAAGCTAACCAATGTACACCCCAAAAAAAGGTCAAAAAACGACTTCTCTTCTGTCCTGTTTGGATCCACAGTATTTTTTTAAGAAAGTATTTCTTCAAACAATATTTTGACTGAAGTAGGAAAAAAGACAGAGTCGAGATCCATCATTTCTGATCAGAGAGCCTTCAGATTTGAACCAGGCAAGTCACATAAAAGACGGCTTTGAGCTTAACCGATGGTAGTGGAAACCTCCCTATTTGATCCTCTAAAGGTTCTTTCAACGAGTAGTTCGCTGTTAAAGTAGTAGATGGTGTACAGTATTTACTGAACATTAACGAAAGCAACAACAATAGGTTGATCGGTGGTGTATAGCTCAGAAAATACAACTGTGCATCGCATTAAGTCTAAATACACCTCGGGATCATTCGTGTTAAGTACGCAGCACCACTGTTTTAAAGACAAAGGATAAAGAACAAAATCCAATGTAAATCACAAATCTATCAAACAAAGTATAATGTTGAAATCATAAATATATGAATAAAATTGATTACTATCAACAAACAGACTGCTGGAACATCTACTTCATACTTGTAGTGTTTGAAAAGCTACTAGTGTCAAAACATACTTTTTAACAAAACTGCAAAACATATAATTCCGCTCAAAGAATATACAAAATGTATAAAAGTGTTAACAAACAGACTGCATTCAGACATACAGACATTTAATATACAGGAATAAATCTAACAGCTATAAAACCCATGTTATTCATGCAAGCAAATTAGTAATTTGCACGTCATTTGGAGCCATTTAACTGTGACTGATAGAGATTTGAATCAGATATGGGATTGTGAAATGTAGGTTCCTACCTCATTCTTCTGCTGGCTGGAGAGAGGCTTGTTACCTGGAAGACCTGCTTCACACAGAGATAAGGACGTCACACGCACAGAATTTGTGACTGCAATGTAATGTGAGATCCATGCTCTGTGCGTTTTTTTTCCTGTTCTGGAAATTTTCCCTTCACAGGTTCCAAAAATATTTTATTTCTCCCTTCTGAATATATCAGTTTGAAGTAGGATACATAAAGAAAAAGTTGCATGGCACAGTAGAGAGAAGATAACAATGATGAAGAAGGTGAGTAAAATTTGATAAATAAAGTTTTCAGTCTTACTGCTTTCTGTGCTCCGCTGGGGTTTATTTTTAGACAGAGCCTCCATCACGTCCTGGATCCTCCACAGTTCCTTTTGGATCTGGATGTGCCGCTGACTGGGAGGCTCTGTCTAAGAGACACAACACGGCACGTGTGAACAACGTCAGACATACGCTGCTGGACCTTAATCGACTGTAAAGAGTGTTGCTGTGTTGGTTCCATCTGTCCTTCTCTCGCCCTCTCTCTCTTGCCCTCTCTTTCCCTCACCCCCAACCAGCCGAGGCAGATGACCGCCCACCCTGAGCCATGGTTCTGCTCGAGGTTTCTGCCTGTTAAAAGGAAGTTTTTCCTTTCCTGTGTCGCCTAGTGCTTGCTCATTGTGGGAATTGTTGGGCTTCTGTAAATAACTTCAGAGTAGGGTCTGACCTGCTCTGTTTGGAAAGCGCTGTGAGACAACTGTTGTTGTGATGTAGCGCTATATAAATAAAATTGATTTGAATTGAATTAAAGAGTGCACGTGTGTGCGCTACCTGCGGGCTGCCCAGGGCCTCCAGCTGCTCCAACAAGTTGGACTTGGCCAAAGTGACATCTGCCTCCAACCGGTCATACTCCCTCCAGGAACGCTCCAGCTCCTAAAGGTAAGACATCAGCAAACAACTTGGTCAGTGTGTGTGTGTGTGTCTTCTGGTTTCGATCATAAGGAAAGAATGGGCTCCCTCTCCTTACTTATAAACACTTAAAGATTTATTTTTAACAAGAATACATTTTCCAAAAAAGAGTGCTTGTCCTTTAGATGTTTCTGTATTATTTGGTTTCCATTTTCCTTTAAAATGTTGTCTTATAGGTGAATTTCACAGTCTCTAATTTTCAGATTTTATGTTTTTTTCTATCTATTAAAGAAACCTTCAAGACTTTCTGCCAGATTTGCTCTTTTAGTCCTACATCTTGGTCTGCTTGTTCAACCAGTTCTGACAGTCACACACAGATGCGTGCAGTAGTCTTGCAAGATTACCATTAAAAAAAAAAAAACAAGTACCCACACAGGCGAACCAACCGGAGTGGATTACAGGCCTTATCGACTTTATGATAAAAGCCTACGAACTAACATCAGCACATTTCCAGCCACCACAGCTGTGCTGAAATAAGCACTGAAGGGCTGCATTTTTAACTCTGTTTTATTTTTTTCAGGCAACGTTTAAATATTTCTGCCTCACGGGGAAGAATTGTTGTAATTTGATTTCTGACTGATATCTTATTGTAAAAGTATAAACTCAAAAACTGAATAATGGAGAAGCGATGGAGAAAATAGCTTTTCTATTGATGTTACAAAAAAAAACCTCACTGGAATATCTTATGTGCTGAACGATTAAACTCTGATCAAACATTGTAGTCCTTTTATTTTTCGTAGCATCTGACATATATTTGTGAGGAAATACTGCACATAGTGTAAAACTATTTTAAAAGTGTTAGAGGATAAAACATTGGAGGTTGTTGTAGGACCACAAAAATCAGAATGAACTTAAGCAAACCTTTTTCCCAATTACTGATATGAAAATAAAGTCAAATCAAAGTAGCTGGAATCTAACTACAGGTACAGTGTGATGGATAGCTGTGTGTTTGCGCTCACCGTGTTGACTCGGGACAGCTCTCTGCAGGTGCTGAGCAGGCCGCTCTGCAGCACGTCTCTCTGCTGGACCAGACTTTGCGTTGCCGCGGCATCCGAGACGCTCTGCTCGCTCAGTTCCTGACTCGCAGACAGCAGGGCCGTCTCCAAAGTGTGCTGCACGGCATACGCACACCCGGTTAGGCAACTTGAAACTCATGACGGACAAACACGCACAGTCTGCCGTACCTTCTCCCTGTGCAGCTGCTGGAGTTTCTCCTCCTGCATCCTCACCGTCTTGTCCTGCTCACACAGTCTGCTGAGCTTGGTCTGACACACACAAACACACACACACACACACATCAGGTACACTTTCCGTTGAGATACAGTGGGGAAAATAAGTATTTGACCCCTTGCTGATTTCGCGGGTTTGCCCACTTACAAAGAATGCAACAATCTATAACTTTAATCATATGTACATTCTAACAGTGAAAGACAGAATCCCAAAGAAAATTCCAGAAAAATCACATCATATGAATTTATCAAAATTGATAACCATCTGATGAGGAAAAATAAGCATTCTCTGTAAGTGGGAAAACCTGCAAAATCAGCAAGGGGTCAAATACTTATTTCCCCCACTGTATGTTGACCACGTAAGGTGAGAGCAAACCTTTCTTACATCTGTGTCGGCCTCCTCGGTGTGCTGGGCGAGGGTCCCGTCTTTGAAGTTGTCCGGCGTGACCTGGAAAAGGAGGCATATTCAGATATGGACAGCAGGGGGCAGCAACAGTCAATATGTCAAATTTCCCCCCAAAAAACATGCATTTTTGTTTGACGCTTAAGTTGTCTATCCAAAGTTTTGCAGGGGATGACAGACGTGGTGTCTTGTGATGTGATTTTTTATGTAAAACCTCATCAAAATAAAGATGAATGTGACCAAAAGTTAAGGAGAGATGCTTATATACTGAAGGTTCCTGTTGTTGGCATCACATAACAGGGTGAGAAGATAAAGGGATGAGAGCTTTGTGCATATTTACTAGCTCTGCCTCATTTCCCTGGAAGCTGTTTGCCCAGGTGTTATTATGCATGAGGTGGTTGCGCATTGGGATGCAGAGAAAGACAGTCAGAGGAGTGGCCTCATTTGCAATGCTTCCTTTTTATTCTGATGTCCCCTTGTTTCAGGCTATTGGGCTTTGTAGATCCTCCTCCAGCACTACGACTGATCACAAACAAAGCTCAAGAATGTCAGGGCATGTAAACACTGCTCTCCTTCTCCACTGCAAGTTTTTAAGAGAACAGTTGTACTTTTAGCTAGAAGGAACAAGTACAAAGGGGGATATATGTGAGATTTTCTGTATGAATAAAACTGGAATCTGTCTAAGCCAAACCACACTAAATAAGAGGGAGGAGTATTTACTGCTCTATTTCCTGCTGCCAGTTGCTGTTGAAATATAACTTCACATTAACCTCACCTGGCATCAGACAAGTTAAGAAAAAAGAAAAAAATCATGTACTTAAATAGGTTTTCCTTAAAAGTTACCCTATAAGAATTTGACGAGCAGCTTATGCCAAACCAACTTTATTTGTATTTCACCCTCACCGCCTTGATAATCGGTTGGTTAAGACAGGATCAAGAATATACGAGGAAGAGGTTGGGCTATACTAACGACTAACATTGACTTTTTAATGTAGCCAACCAACAATCGTAGCATCCTAACTATAACGTCTAGCTATAACACCTAAATGCTGACTATAAGGACATAATTAAATTTTTATCCCATGTTTTTAACCTCAACAGCCTTGTTATAAGATGGATATTAACATCTATTTAGTGGCTTAACAAAACTAATGCGAGTAGTAAAATGTATAGATTAAGTATACACTTCATGTATGGAGGTTAGCTGTTAAATACATGTAGGTGCATTTTCTTAGAGGCCATAGTAGTTCTTTCAAGAGGGTTCTTTCCATCTCAAAAAGTTCATGCATATGTTTCAGAGTATGCTGCAGTATTATGTAACAGCCTGTAAATTGCACTGTGCAAAGCACAGCCTTAAATTGACTGATGCATTACTATGCACTTTTGGAATATTGTCTCATATGGTAACGGCCATAAAGTGCAAACTATGGATAATTCACATTTTGGTCTCACTGAGGTGCTTCACAGAACCTTTCATTTGTTTGAAACAGATGTGTGTTTCTGTAAACGGGAGCACCACACACTTACGTGCTCATAATTTCAAATACAGACCAAATCCAATATTATTCTTTATGATAGTATTAGCAGTAATAATAATAATAATCATTACTAATGATCTAAAAGCCAGGCTATTCTAATTTCAGCCCTTGCAGTACATTTAGTAGTAATACTGCAAACATTTACACGTGGTATCCAAGCATGTATAGACAAAACGACTAAATCAAATTCAGGATTTGCTCCAGTCTGGTTGTTTTATTGGCAGAATCCATTTTTACTAGCTGGATTTAAACAAATATAATAATATGCTGATCTTGACTGAATTGAACTGGACTATCTTAAACTTCACCTGTAGGCCGTGACAAGTCTTTTGTTGTGAACTGGTGACATACAAATCCAGTTAAAAAAAACAGATTACATAATGATTCCCTAATCTAGACACCTTCTGGAAACCAACAAAACAGCAATAGTGCTGTTAGCAGAGAGCTTCATTGGTTGAATTAAAAAAAAGCTGCCATTTGAAAATAATTTGACCCTGTTTACTTACTCTAGTAAATACCAAAAGTATAAAAAGCACATAGGCAATTACGACTTAAAATAGAGAATCTTTAGGATGAAGACATTTAAACAGTGCAAGCATTTTTCAAGGGAGTTTGAAACAATGAGTGGTGGCGTTTGAAGACCGATGATGAGAGGAGCCATGTGACAGTGGACCGTACGACATGCTCAATTGCTGTGACTTCCAAAAACATCAACACGGCAAAGCCAGAAAATTTCATTTATACATCAACTGGTGTTGGGGGTAAAAAGCTATCGACGGATAGGCTGACTGCGACCATGGGGAGGCACAAAGGGATGATGATGATGATGATGATGATGATGGTGATGATGGAGAGGAACCTGTGGAAACACGGCGTTTGTGCTGCCATGGCAAAGGTCTGGCTTGAGTCTGCTTCACATCAGTCCATCTCATTTATGGAGACTGGCTGATATACTTTCTACGCTACGTTCAAGAAAGTCCACACCCTAAAACGCTGGACATTTGGTTTTGAGATAGAACTACTCACCTTCAGCCATAGTTAGAAGGGAGATTTTTCTTTTTAAACCAAAACTAAACAATTCTTACAGAAAAAACGAAACTAAACTAAACTACATGTTACAACGACGGAATATTAGGGCCACATTAATGAATTGTAAATTAATTACAAGTTTAAAGTTGTTATTAAATATGGTGAAAATAAATTACGAGAATAAATAAATAAATGTTCTATCCTGTTTTAGAGGAGGAAATTTGATAAAATGAGGTCCGTGGAGCATTTCATGGAAATGTTTTTTAGAATTGGTTTCACAAACAACGAGATACTTCAAATTTGGGCACATCACCATCAGATAATTATCAGGACGTCAAAAAGAATATACAGGAAATGAATCTTTTTCAGGGAAAGAAACAGTTGGACTTCTCACCGTATTTAATAACAACTTTAATCTCGTTATTCATTCTCGCCATATTCAATAACGGTTTAGATCTCGTAATTAATTCTCGCCATATTTAATAACGACTTTAATCTCAAAACAAATTCCCCAATTTTTTTTCTTTAAATGTGGCCCTTATACTCCGTTGTATGTTACCTGTGCTACTCAACTGATGAATAACTCTTAGAAAATTGATTTAACTGAGCCTCAGTCTGCTAAAATAAAAAGAAGGTCCACCCACTGACTCAAGCCAGAGCCTTCTAAAGACCTTACTTGCTGGTAGAGTTGCGGCCTTGGCGCCGAGTTCTCGATCATAGTGTGAATCATGAAGATTAGAGGTTCATTCTCCTTCGTCTAGCGCATTGCCGTGGAGGAAGAGGACACAGTGGTGTAATAAGACATCTGCTACCACAGGGATCAGACATCGTTCAGCTCATAGAGACACGCAGTCTTTCCTGTCTTTGCACAGCACAGAACTCAGGATGCAGTGCCAAAGGTTTCCGTTTCTTCTTTTCAAAGCCCCCTCAGACCTTAGTTTATATTTAGCAAAGTCTTCTAAAACCTGAAACGTCAAACTGTTCACTGACACCTTTTCATTCTCTGTCTCTGATTGTGACACAAAACCGCTCTGAGGGGTAGAAATGTCAGATGAATTCTATCAGCATTCCAGACCCCACAAAAAAAAGACGCTTGTAAATTGATGTGCAGGTACATAATTCGCACAAAAAAATGTGTAAAAACACACTCATGTGGCATGAATGGGCACATCAACCTCAGTCTTTTCACGTCAGTCTCAACTATACAACCTCAATGTTGAACATGACAGCTTGCAACTAATTCAAATTTACCCTTCGAAACACTTCTACAGACACTTTTTACAAAGTGACTGGAAGAAAAGCCTCATGGAAAACAGTTGCTAACGATGACAAAAGGCTCAAACCGGTCCAGGAATGGGTTATTTTATATGACTGGCCCAGGGGAAGCGAGGCCTGTTAGCCATCCATTTTCTTATTGTAGTAAAACTGTTCAATCAATTTAGGTATTCATGTCAATTTGGGGATGGTTTGAAATATGCCTTTTGCAGCTGAGCCAGGAATCCTAAAAGCTTTCTGAATGAGTAGCAAATCCTGGATGTGGACTGAAGTGTCTTCATGAACCGCTTCAAAATAACAACATATTCATGTGTGTTGCTGCATTTTTCTTTTAATGACAGTGGTGTTACACTCCAAAATTCTCTCCTGCTACTTTGACAAAACCTCCACCTGGCCACTTTAATTTTTTACTCTTGAAATGATTAATCATTGATTATTTAGTCATTATCTTGAGCCTGAGCATGTAGTGGTATGATGATAATAACGCCCTAGGGGCCATGTACACAGGCTCACCAGATGAAATCCAATCATTTGTCCAACCTCTTACCTGTTTTTTTTTCAAAAATGCTCCTACTAAAAATGGAATTTTGACTTCCAAGCACTTCCTTCAGTTTGTTTTCCCGAATTGTTCTTGTCAAGGGACTACAAGACTGACATTTAAAAGCAGTCGGACAGGTAAAGTGTTAAGTAATCATAAATATGGCTCTGAGTTATACCTAATACAACATGAAATTAGGAGCACAGCATTAAATCTCAAATGCATCAGGCTAATGTTTGCCCTCTAACAGAAAACAGCCGATGGATTTGTTTATAGATTTGTAGGTACAACCTACAGTACAATATCTACAGTTCCTTGCAGGTATTCCTTCTGTTTTTGAGAGGGTTACAAGGCTTAAGTGCCTCAAGAAACAGCTGACTCAGCTGTTATCTAACAGAAAAGCGCATGACAGTCCAAGAGGATGAGCTTAGAAGTCCTCACCTGGCTGTCAAGGTAAACAAGGTTCCGCTGGAGGTGGTGAGAGAGAACATCTGTCTGCAGTAGCCACAGAAGAAGGAAAACACGAGGCATGAAAAGCCAATTTGAATAGTTTTGTAGACAAAGACGAACAAAGGTAAAGAAAAGAGAGGACAAAAGGAAAGCAAGGAAAAATACTGATCAAATGAAGTGATGACAAAAAGAAGGGGAAGCCCATCACAATTAGGTTGTAAAATGGAGGATGTTACAAAAGGTTGGCTTTAATTGTTTGGTGACGACAGAACAGAAAACGATATATGGGGATTACACAATGACAGTTAGCTTTCACTGATGAACAGAGCCTATTTTCTGCTTCTGAGATCACTCACATTTATATATTTTGATACAAGCATCTTGTGCAGCGTCTTTATGCAGAAAGTAAGGCGCATAGCAGCTAAAGTCTGTAATAATTTTAGACCAAAGTTACAACCCAGCTCCCTGTAAAAGTGTCAACATAATGATAAAATGTAGAGGCTTAATATGAATAGCTTATTCTTGTAGTTCCAGATATACTACTTTACTTTTCATATACCATCATCATATAATCTAGTCCTACTGAATGCATGTTAGGTCCAACAGAAAATGTCATTTGTCCAACTTGATAAAATCAGTTCAAGAGACACAGAACTTGTTAAATTATAATTCTGTATAGAAAAATGTTGAATTCTAAACACCAAAATGCAAAAAAATGCATATTATTGATGCATGATAAAATCAAATAACTTTTTCAAAGCGGTAGTTGACTTATTAGCAGATATTAAATTTGTCTGGTTAAAACAAATTGAACTTATAAAATAAAACTGATGTTACTTCCTGATGCATCAGCTCTGATGCATCCGTGCTCCCCGGGTTTCACAACTGCTGGCATGCAAGGATGGAAGACTCACAAACACGACCCAAAATAAAAAACTCAACCCTGTGCGTAATGTTATTAGCAGCACAATACTCCGAGAAACAGCGCCCTCAATATGAGACAAATAAAACGTGAAAAAAACAACATATGCCACTGCTTGACCCTTAATTGTTCACGTTGCAAATTTGCTTGAAATTATGGAAGAATAATAATGCAGAGGATAAATTAGTAAGGGGTTAATTAGCATCAGGAGGCCACCACTTTAGAATTTCGTCCACTATTGTCCCAGAAAAGTACTCTGTATTAGGTCATCCACCATGATGTTTGTGAGATCTTACATTAAAAAAGCAATAAGGAAGGACTTTATTAGATGGAGTGGCAGATTTTGATTCAATTGAGGATGTTGCTAAATACTAGACAAATAAACAAAGATACCAGACATTATTATCAGAACAATACGATCACTAGAAATTTAATGTCCAAGCTGCTCTTTAAACCCTGTAATGCCAAATGTATCATATTTGATATATGCGGTTTCTGAAATGTTTTGCGTCTGACACCTTTTGCATAATTTAATGGTAAAAACTTTGCTCAAAATCCTATTGTACACAATCAGATAAACCTGATAACAGGGGGCAGAAGACTACACAAAAAATAATCTTGACTTATCGCATAGTAATAAATAATTAAAATCAAAGATGTATTTCTGTTTTTTCTTTTGACATATTTAGTTAAAACGCCAAATAAAGACTTCAAACCAAAAAAAAAGTAATTTTCTATTTTGTTTTATTCTTGGATCGGGCTTTAAAGGGTTAAGGGAGGTTGGATCACCAATGATCCATTCCTAATACTCAATTCATACTACTAGTCCTAACCAGAATTTTATTTTTAAACATTGTGATGGACAATTTGAGCTGATGTTACCATCTTTAAAATGTACGATTTTTGTCAGTGATAATTTGTGCACTAAGCCTTATGTGAACGTGCCAAAATCTGCTTAAGGGGGAGAGAACTGCGTCACACCGGGAGCGTCTCGCAGACACACAAACACACACAAAAAAAAAACTGCGTTTCTCACTACTTGCCGGGGGGGAAGCAAAACATGCGCGCATGCACACTCAAGACGTACACACTCGGGGCTGACCTTGGCGTTGGGCCCCTCCAAACCCAGGGCCATTAGCTGAGCTACTGTGTGCTCCCGCAGGCTGTTGAGCTCCGCCTGCTGCCGGCGGAGCTTGATCAGCAACAATGTCAGCTCCTCAGGCTGCACAGAGCAACACACAAGAGCAGAAGAAACAACCACCGCTATCATTTTTTTGTGCGATAAAATAGCGGCTCGTCGGACGGGTTCACACTCTAAAGCTACGGGATGGTGCATTCAAATCAATGACTGACATAGTTAATTGTTTTACACACATATGATCGACCGATGTGTGTTAAACAGCTGCAACAGACAGTTCAGCTCCACACTTTCCCGGTAACACAATATGAAGTAAAATTTAGAATGGCGATCCGTAAAGAACAACTCCATTCACGACATTTAAGACAAAGCATGTCGAATGGAGGGGGGGGTGTTGCAGTTTCTCGATGATTTCTGATTTCAGGATGCTAGGGATTTTCACATAACGGGAATTTAAACTAATCTTTATGACCCGGATAAATGTTGGCGGACTTAAATCTGGCTGTTGGGAAAAATGGCCATCCACCACCGTTTGCCAAGCTCCAAAGAGATCATTTGTGACGCTTACATCATGTGAATAAGAGCAATGCTGATGTTCTAGAGCAGTCGAGAGTGAAAAAGCTGTAAGTGAGACTTCAGCGAGGAGGAGATGCAGCTACAGACAGCGCAGGAAAAAAGGTCAGGTGACCCAAGCACGGGGGTGGACCCCAAAAAGGAGAGCAAAACGCGTGAAGACTACAAGGCAGAATGTGCTGACTCACAAGATACAGCAGAATTTGAAGACATTTTGGCACGAGCAGTAAATTTCTACTCGATGTCAGAACTCACACTCTCCCCTTGAAACAGACTGAATCACCAGAAGAAGAACGCGTTGCATGTTGCAGCTTTATTGTAAAACTATTTTCACAATGTGCCATATAAAAGACAATCTTCTTAGCTCTTTATACATTGGCCAGAGGAGCTCAGTGCTGTATTGTGAGTCCGTGGTGCCCGATTTTGGGGTTGGTATCATCTTCTCCTGTCACAATCCATCCTCCTCCAAGATAAACTGAACCCCCCCCACCCCTTCCCAGTTCGGCCTCAAACTTTCACACACGGCGTGATGCGTGTAACAAAAGGCGCGCGAGTCCCGGCTTCAAAAGGAATTTGTGAAAGAGGCTGTGGAGAGAGACTTGTCTGCGTGACAGCTGTAAATACTTGACAGATCAGGCAGACGAGTCTGGGGTTCGGTCTGGAGTTAAATCTCGTTGTGTGCAAGGCTCCTGCTGCGGACCAGCCATGTAGTTTGAACACACCACAACTTTACAAGTCCTGCACACAAGAGACAAACGGTGTGTACAGTGAACAATGCGACGATCCCATGGCGCTGAAACGTTTTTTTTTTTTTTTTTAAGTCTTTATGAGGCTTTCAGTCATCGCCGTCTGAGAGCTCCTGGGTAATCTACTGTTTCACGGATGGACAAACATACACAAACACAAGACAGCGGACACTTACACAAATACAGGTACGCACACACATAAAACACACATAAATACAAGAACATTTGTGTCGAGACGGTAAATTGCAAAAGTCCCTGTGGAAAATTCTTCTCGTCAAGTTTCCCGAGCCGTCGACGGCCGCACAACAACCGCAAAATACTCAGTTTTCGGCTTCAAACAGTTACACAAGTCCTCCCTCTTAACTGTGTTTACTTTTACTTGAGAGAAAATGCATTCATCAGTGTGTGGACGCGTAAAAAAAGCAAACAGTGGAAATAAACCTCGGCATCAGGCAGCTGGGAAACATGATCTCTGAAATACAGGCGCGCGTTGTGTTTCGGTGATTGTGCGCGCGATTTATTGTCGGACGACACTCACCGTCTTGCCTTGCAGGGACTGCGGGGTGATGGTCTGAGGAGGGACACTGGCCGCTATGGAACGCCGGTCAGACGGGTATCCGTACTGCTGGGAAAGGGTGAGAATGTCAACTATACTGTAAGTGATTCCAATCGGGAAGAAAGATATAAACATTTTATTGTGAAATGCATTGTGTCATTAACACTTAAAAACACTCACACTCATCACTTTGCTAATTCATTACTGAACTCAATCAGAACAGATGGAATGAAATCTAGCTAATGTGATTAATACATATCCTACTCAAGTAAAGCTATGTGGAATAAAGATACAAAATCAAACAAAAGTAAAAATGTTGACCTAAAATGTATGAAACATAACTGAATTTCTTTCAAGGAAAAGAGCTGGCCTGGATCTCAAGACCCCCCCAGGGCCCTGAGTTTTCCTGGGTGTACTCCAGATTTTTAAATCCTTTACTCATAATGATAATATAACAGTGGAGGCGACAGGTTTGATTCGGGGTCAGCAAATGATTTTTCCTTGGTAATGTTTGAGGCAATGATGTGCTCAAATGATGCTGCAGTTGATATGTATTTCTCAAAATAGTTTGAAGTGCAAAATAGTAAAGACATTTCTGATAAATCCTGCAATACATATTAGCTTTCAATCTGTGTTTGTCTTACAAAGCCGTAACCAGCATGTAGCCATCCACCTGTCTTAAAGAGAGCAACGTCTCACTTCCAGCTCTACTCTTCGAAGATACAAATATAATGTGGAACATAAATTGCCTGGGCTTTCCAGGTGAGCTGTAAAGTATGTTAAGCAAGATCTTATGGTGAGTTGAGGAATTACGGAAGTCCACAGTGTCTGGGCAAGGGCTGGATCTGGTAGTGGACTCAGCCACTTACTCTCTAATACTGCCAAATAATACTAATAATAATAATAATCTAATACTGCAGGTTCCACATCCACAATATGTCCGAGCCAAGTTATCTGGTTTATGTTTTAGGAATATTTAAATGGACTACCATCCTTGTCCCAGTATACACGAACAAGAGCAGAATCCAGTTGACTGAAATAAGACTGACATCGCTGTTGATTTTGTAAGAGAAGATTTAAGGAATTCTGCTGCCTTTGACTTTCTCCATGGGAAACCACAGTTCATGCAAGCATGGCTGACATCGTGAAACGAGTTGAGAGGTGAGAGAAGAGAAGTGTTTCTCTGATGAAGATTCTTCTAAAAAATCTGAATTTATAGGAGCAAAGGGACAGTCTAGAAACGCTTTATGTGACTGGCAGTTGACATACAAACTGACTTTTAATTAGTTTTGGGCACATTTAGTTATTATTTTATATTATATTATGCAAATAATAGGATCTTTTTGGGGAATTCAGCTGTATTACTATAAAATTACAGTAAACTCATGTTTACAAGTAAAAATCAAGCTTAGATAAGTGTTTACATAAGGATTAAATAGATCCTAAAACGTATTATCTGTGTGTGAGTTTATACTTCATGTTTCAGTCAAACTAACTTGTTATTTGTATTCTTTTCCTGTGTTTTTTATCCAATAAAGAAACGATCCTCCTTGTTATTAAGTGGTCAGAGGACATATTTTGTTTACTTTTCAGAGTCTACAATCATCTTGCAGCAAATCTTTGTGCTGTTATATTAGAATACAAAAATGCATGACATGGCTAGACTTCTAAGAAGTACTACCAAGTAAACATGGTTGTCAACGCTGATTTTGGAATAATATTTGGTGGTTGGAAGAATCTTGTAGCATATATTGGTTGATGGACTTATGACAGTGAAACTGAGGTTCTAAAATCTCCAAGCAAGACCCCACTTAATGTACTGGTCGCAAAAAATAACAAATGTTTTCTCTTTATTTAGCATATTCCTGAGTCATCTCAGTAATCTGCTGTGCTTTCCATTACTCAGAGCAAAGCCCTTTACCTTGGAGACGTGAGCCCTGTGCCGGCGATCCAACGTCCCGTCCCCCCTGAGGACTGGCGAGGACACCTCCGACGGCGTGCTGCTGGGGTTGTGAGCAACCTGCTGGCGCGGAGGGGAGAAGGTGCTGTAGAGCGCCAGGGCTCCGTGAGACGGCGAGGTCGGGATGGATTGCGTCATTGTGTGTTCGGAGATGTTTCCCATGGTCTTTGTGTTCGGCAGGGTGCCATAATGACCCACGGCTTGAGACAAAGAAACAAAGTCACAGTGGAGTCAGGATTGTTGTTGTTAGAATTAAAATGACACCTCCAAACAAAAAGAAGACTTGCCTGTACGATACAAATAAAACCTAATTCTAACGATATATATATATATATATATATTGTTCTCAGGTTAACTAATGAAAAGCTTTGATAGGCCCCTGCTTCCCTAAAACACACAAATGTATTAAGGGCTTTTAAAATGGATGAACGTTAGCAACCATAAAAGTAAGGTAGTTTACATTTTCTAGGCAGGCCATATTTATGCAAATAAATCAAGTGTCAGGCAGCAAACACATTAACAAAGAGCTACCTGTAGTAATCAAACATAAAAGGTGGCTTATAGAAAGAACTACTTCCCCAACCAGTTTTCTCACCTTTGTTATGTTGAGACACAGCCCAAACCTCTAAGAAAGGACCCTCTCCAGATAGAAACAAATTAAGCAAATATATCTACTAATAGACCAGGTAAATCAACTAAAAAATCAACACTGTAATATGTGATGTGATATTTAACTACATAGACCAGAGCTTGCATGAATAGTTGATTAAGGATCTTTGCTTTTTGTGGAGATGTGAAGAGTAAGAAATACTAAGAAAAAGGCTTAGAACTATCATCATGACATTGGTATTAATCTATGTTCCTTTGAAGGAATAAGTACACTGCTTTAGGCCTGCTTTTAGAAATAATCAGCTGCTAACTGCTTCTGATCATTTTAAAGACACAACAAGAGTCCTTTGAAGTTTTTAGAGACTAGTCTGCTCACGTACCAGCTTCTTATATGAATATCACCATTACTGCAACCTTTTCTCATTGTCAAACCAGATCACATTAAGAAATGCTCAAGAGATGTCCATTTGATATAAATCATTTTGTTTTTACTTCCCCTTTCATCAAGCTTAGACATCAGATTTTAATCATTAGGATAATAGCTTACCTAAATACTTATCAAGGCAAGATAAAGCAATAAGGCTGACTACAAAATAATAGACTATTTTAGACCTTTGGAGTGATTTAGAGGACCATGATGGCTGTCAGCACACATCCCATCTCTTACCTGATGGCCTCTGTGGACCTGAATAGGGTGGAGTGGGTTAAGTTTAAAGAACAGCTTATACTACAAGAAAGCAAAGCTTTTTCCTTTAGTTCCAACTAGAACTGTAAGCAATGGTGAGCTATTTAGCTTCTTTCAGGTATCCCATCGGGTATATGAAGCTTACTTCTATGCCACAGTCTAAAACTATTGCTTACACAACCAAAAGCACAGATTAAATCATCGGAAAGAATAATCAGTCCATAAGAAATTTAACATGAGCATATTGTACAGGTTGTTTAACAGGCATTTTCCTTGCCTGTGTCGCCTAGTGCTTGCTTATGGTGGGAATTGTTGGGTTTCTGTAATTAACTTCAGAGTAGGGTCTGACCTGCTCTGTTTGGAAAGCGCTGTGAGACAACTGTTGTTGTGATGTGGCGCTATATAAATAAAATTGAATTGAATTAAATTGAATTGTATTAATCCATGCCATAAATGTCCCACCAGCCTTCAGTTTAGGACGTGTACCTGTCGGTTGGGCCAGACTCTGCCTGGAGAAGGCTTGCCTCTGTTGCCACTCATACAGCTGCCACATGGTGTCGTCCCTCATGGACCTCCTCTTCTCCGCTGAGCTGACGGTGGCGGAGCAGACCGGGCGGAGCGCCCGGTCGTAGACGGAGCCGGCCACGCTGGAGATGCTGTCGGGCCGCATCACCGCGTTGCGCGGCAGCGTCCGGTAGCCTTCAGGGTAGCGAGGCACCATGTGTGGACGGTGACTAGGCATGTTCCTGGGCAAGGTCTGGTAGGACGTTACACTGGAAGCGACAAACGAAACAAATTGGGACGCGAGTATTGGTTAATCGTCACACATCAAGGGCTATTGTTTTCCCGCATTACAAACATATCATCCTTTAATTTTCCTTCAGATAACATCTGCTGAAATTAGATGAATTGGAGAAGACTGCGCTGTTAGCCAAACTGCTGTGTGAAAAAAGCTTTTTTTTTAAAGCTTATGTATGAGAAATCAACAATATAACATACCTAAACTAGTGAAATAACTGGATGATACCCAGAAAAACCCAAAGTGCGCACCCTTATTTCAGCAAGCCATTGTAATCATTGTGTAACATTGAATCTTTATTAAAAAAAAGTTTGACAGTGGATTATCAACACCACCACACAGACTCCAGTGGGTCTAAGCAAAGAAGCCACAAACAACTGTAAGAAATTAGCACCTGTCAATCCATCCAGGTTCATGACCAGACATGACCCTATCGTCAATTGGGTGAGCGGTGAGGTGCCTACATCCTGTCCAGATTTCCAGTCCATCACAAGGCCACAAGGGGCCAAACAATCGTGCACAATCCTATTACTACCTGGCAGATCTGACAGAAACACCAGCTACATCGGCTACATTATGGCAGCCAGTGAATCAAGTGGCTTTAATCATGATTTACTGAACAGGAACCAGCCTTATTAGCTGTGTCCGTGTGTGATTCTTGACATGTACGGTGTGCTTGACTGAGTTTAATTATCTTGTTGCTTTTATCAGCAGACTCTGGCTTCACTTTGGCATTGCACATTAAGTAATTAGAAGAGCGTTATCATTTCACCCATTACTGGCTAATTGAATGCGTGAAATGAACTTCTTTCTCAACACCCTACCCTATAATCCCATGACCTGAATTCTACCATCTTTAGATCTCACAGTTGAGCAAAAGTACTGGTACAGTTTGACTTGACTTTGTCATTTACTGGAAGATCATCCATTTGCCAGTCCACCATCACAGTATTAAAGTTAAGAATCAAGTACATCTTATGCTATGGACTGTGTGAGGAAACGTTCTTCTGTTTCCAACTGTGTATGTGTGAGATCATGCCACAAATAAACAAATGAAAATGCTTCAAGTGTTCATGAGTTGAAAGAGTTAATGGGTTGATTTTTCCATCTGGGTTCCTGACCCTTTTCGCTTACCATTTCAACAGAAGGGATGTTTAGAGTAGCTAAACAACCTTTGAAAATGTCAACTAAAGATTCCAGATGATGTAAATGTAAAGCAAGGGCAAGACAGATAAACAGATGGATGAAGTTAAGACCAGATCTTTCCTTGATATTGATGAATAATGTCCGCTAATTAACAGTTAACATGGATGAACTTGGAACCCTCCAAAGACAGACAGGAATACCTAAGAATATTGACAATTCAGTATCATTTCTCTCACTGAGACATCCAAGACCTTAAAAATAGGTTGCTTGAAGATGTCTCAACATACTAAGAGAAGTCCAGTTTTGAAAAATGTTTCAAGCTCAAACGATTGCCATAATCGGAATGACTGAAAATCCACACCAACGCATTTACGGTGACTTGGCCCAAGGAGCATATACCATACCTAAATGTTTGCATATCCAGCTTAAGCACAGAAGAAGTAGTGCTACAAATAAAGGAGAAACCCTTCAGAGATGGCGAAATGGAGTTACTGAGGACTGCTAAAATGGAAGATGTCAGAAATAAATGTCTTAACGAAAGAAAAAAAACATAGATAGCAAACTCCAGCAAACCAAGTTGACAGATGTGTGGTCAGGGATGACCAATGACATCCGGATCAGACCTTTAGAAAGCTGGAAAAGTGTTTCAGTAAGTTCAGCTCAGATCAATACTCAAGATCAGATCAATACATTTTCCTCACCCGTCTTCAGCAAACATGCCTGATAGTCCTACCTGCACCTCTACCTTCCCTGTCTTTTGTCTAAAGTGTCACTCTGGACATTACGGATCTTAACACATGCTCACCGACATCTCATCTCACATCAGGACCAAAGAGACCTTTTCTGCTACCTGCCTTTAGACTTTCTCCCTCATTCTGAAATCCCATCCGTCTGTCTTCAGCGACAACAGACCAATTGCTCTAAAATGCCACATCAAAAAGCTTTTAAGCGGCTGCTATTAGCTTATCAACGCTTATTTTCAACCCACTGCAGCTTGCTACCATCCATGGGTTGCATGTTTTCTACCAGTCTGTGACGAAGAGTGCCATCTGCTTTGCGGCCATCTGTTGGAGCAGCACCATCAGAGCTAGCAACTCAGAAAAAAGTGATCAAAGTGATAAAAAATGCTGGCTATGCGCTGAGGGCTACCCTAGAGTCCCTGAAACTGACTTCAAATGAAAAAATGATGCACAAGTTAATGAATATAATAGCATATTATAACAATTTTTAGTCTACGTCTGACCCTTTCTCTGACATGAGGTGATGCAATTCAGTAATTCCCTCTTCGGTAGCCCTTATTTCAGTTTACGCACTTCAAGTTGGAAAAGTATTGAAAGATTGAAATCCTACATGTGTTAAACTTGGTCTCTGAACGCCTGAGACTGCTAAAGTTGGGCAAAGAATATATTTGCACAGCATGTATCTATATCTGTTTGTGTTCAAACACTCTACTCTGTGTTTCTACTAGTTCATGCAAAATACTGTACCATTACCAATTTAATTTCTTTTTTTTACATTTCTGAATGGAGTTTTCTATTTCAAGCTTAAAAGTAGAATCCTGTTATTGAGCCTCAGGATATTCTTGTTGGACTAACGCAATTATCTCCCACTTTCTCCTTTGGTATCTGCTGACTCATCTTCATTATTTTACAATAACATTAGATTTGGGAGCTAAAACATATAATTTCTTGGCAACCGTCCTTGAAAATGTGCATGCGGTAAAAGGTACAGAATAGTTTTTTTGTTGAGAATTTGTCCTTTTTTTAGTGTACTCACAGACACTGGAAAGTAATAACTCAGACACACAACACATATTGTGTTGCCATGTGCGCTGCCATGCTCAGACTAGCAATACAATGGCTGTTAGCAACGTTTGAACGGTATAATCCAAACAATAGAATTCTATCACATATATTAGACAAACTGAATATAACATATCCAATATTGTCCTGTGAATGCCTGGTGAGTTGTCCTAGCTCTTGCCCAATCACAGCTGGAATAATTTCAATTCAATTCAATTTTATTTATATAGCGCCACATCACAACAACAGTTGTCTCACAGCGCTTTACAAACAGAGCAGGTCAGACCCTACTCTGAAGTTAATTACAGAAACCCAACAGTTCCCACCATGAGCAAGCACTAGGCGACACAGGCAAGGAAAAACTTCCTTTAAGAGGCAGAAACCTCGAGCAGAACCGTGGCTCAGGGTGGGCGGTCATCTGCCTCGGCCGGTTGGGGGTGAGAGAAAGACAGGGCAAGAGAGAGAGGGCGAGAGAAGGACAGAAGAAGCAGAGAGAGGAATAAGATTCACCCCCCCACCCAAAGTAACCATACCTGAATTGGTGGGAACAGAATTTTGGCATTTGTGTATCAAAAATTGTTGGGTTTCTGTAATTAACTTCAGAGTAGGGTCTGACCTGCTCTGTTCGGAAAGCGCTGTGAGACAACTGTTGTTGTGATGTTCAATGAAATTGAATTGAATTGAATTCATTCTAATTTTGTAATGTCATTGTCTGAACGTGTGTTTGGACTGATTTTGTATTTTGTGATTTTGTGCTGTTCGGTCTTCCTGCCTCAGGACGACAGATGTAAACTAGCAACTATGCTATAATCTGGCTCATTTACAATCTGTATGAGATTTTTCATTAATGTGCACTGTCCTGATTAAATAAATAAATACATTTTAAAAAAGCCAGCTGAAAAAATGATATCGTGGGCCTCACCTTCTCGTGTCATCATCCAGTGCTTTCGTCCGGTGTGTGTGAGCCCACTGCTCCAGCTGCTGTGTGGAGCCCGTCCTGGACAGGCCACTGTCCGGCTCCTGGACTACGGCCGGCGGCTTGGCCGGAGCCTTGACCGGACAGACGTTCGCGTTGGCCGGGGCGCCGTCCCCCTGTTGTTGCTCCGCCGGGCCCGGGCCGCTGACCTGCGCGGGCCTCTGGGGGTGGAGGTGGGCCTGGTTCTGGCGCGACGCCGACACGGCGGCCGCGATGGCCGCGGCCTGGGCCGGCTGCAGCTTGATGCTGCTGATTTTACCCACAGGCCGCTCCGAGCTGGGGTCTCTCTGGAAGCAGTACTTACTCCCGTCTCGGATCGTGGCGTACTTCTCGGCGTCCGTCAAGGCGGCGTACCTTTCCCCCTCTCGTAGCGTGCTGTACTTCCTCACTTCCTTCAGCGTACCGTATTTGTCCACGACGTGGATGGTGCCGTACTTGTTCCCCATCTCCCTCATCGTGCTGTACCTGTCCGTCTCTTTTAGCGAAAGCTGCCTCTTTACTTCCTTTTGGGGGAAATACTTTTGCCCGTCTTTTTGGAGCGTGTGCCTATCGCCCACTTTCTGAAGTGCATACTTTTCTCCATCTTTTGTGAGCAGGTACTTCTCTTGGTCTTTAGAAGGAGCGTATTTCTCCTCAGTCGGAGCCACCGTGTACTTGTTGTCCACTTTCTGAACTTTCTCCAGGTCCCTGTGAATGGCATACACCTCTCCGTCTTTCTGCAGGGAGTACTTCTCCCCATCTCGTCGCAATAGATACCGCTCTCCATCTTTGTGAAGAAGATACCTCTCTCCGTCCTTTTGAAGCATGTAGCTGACTCCATCTTTCTTCAGCGAGTACCTCTCGCCGTCTCTCTGTAGGGTGTAGTACTCCCGCTCCCTCTGGCTGTTTTGCTGCTCCCCGTCTTTCTGCCATTTGTCGTCGGCCCTCGAGAGGGAGTTCTGTCGCACGGGCTCTCTGTTACGCTCGTTGTTTTGGATCTCGGGCCGCGTCAGCACTCTGTGGTTGAGCAAGTTATTCAACTCCTGAGGCGTTCGCTGGTCCACTTTCAACTTGTCCAGTCTATGGCAAAAAAAAAGAAAAAAGATTAGAACCCAACATGAAGGGGCCAATATGGTAAAGAATAAAAATAATCTTTTCATTCTGTTGATGTAAACCCCCGTCTGAATGTACGATGTAATTTCTCCCGGTCTTCGAAGGAAGAATACTGACACTATAAGCGACATAAAGGAGCTGTGGAAGTTTGTGTCTCATGACAGGCGTAAGGGGGAACGACTCTGCAGCGAGCACCGACCTCCTGACAGGTTCCGTGTGGACAAGAGCAGCGTCCGTCATGACTTTCATCCAGGACTCCATCTCTTTGGCTGTGTCGGTGCAGAAGTAATATGTCCGCATGTTCGGATGAGTGGCCTGGCGGGAACAGGGAGCGTGGAGGGAGAGAGAGGTAAACACAGAAAAAAGGGGTTGAGGATATATGCAAACAGGGAGGACCCCTATACAATAGATTTATTGTCTATTCTTTTGGGATTTTTAGAGATAAAGAACTTAATATATATATATATATATATATATATATATATATAATCTTTTGCTATCAATAGTTAGACATATATTGTTTATTGGTATAAATGATTTATCATATGAAAACAAGAAAATGAATTTATGGAAATATTTAGTGAATTTACTGAAATTGTTTATTTCAAATATCTTTTCAGTGTTACATAACATTTATATGTAAAATATTTTCTTAAGAATAATTCTTTAATTTCAGTGAAAGGTAATGTCCTGTTGAATTATAAGGTTCTTATGCGTTACAAATTCTTTGTTTGTTTTCTTGCTCAAATCATAGATATATATATATATATTCATTTTCTTTTGCATGGCATTTTTAAAAAAAAAAAAAAAAGATAGAAAAATAGACTTACTGTGCCAAATAAAAAAAATCTAAACATCAATAAGATGAGTTCTTTGTCAGTGTTTTTAATGTTGTTACCGAAGTATATTTCATAACAAGCATTACAGAGTCAGAAAATCAGTACTCTTTATACATATTCTTTATGTTTCAGTTACCTACATGGAATAATCAAGACAATCTCTGCAAAAAGATAATTTCAGTGAGGTCAGTACATGATTTCTTTCAGATTTCCCACCTGCTGCGGTGACCTTTAAACCAGATGATCATGTTTACCTTGAAGGCATACTTCCTGCTGATGTGGTCGTCCACTGACAACATCGAGATGTGAAAGCTGGGCAGCAGGATGCTTCCCAGAATGTTGTCCTCTTTCTCATCTGCAACGGTGGGAGAGAAAAGTCGGAAATGTTGGCAGGCGATTAGTGTCCAGGGGTCATGTTGACCCTATCAAGCTCGTGGTGAGCATAGCAGACAGTAAGGATCCATCAGGTTGAAATTGGGCTTTACATCAAACAAACCTTTTGTTTCACCAAAGGCTTGACTGTGAAAAAATGCAAAACTATGCCATAAAAATGTTTAGATGGAGAAAATGCAAAGGTTAATAATTTCATGGGTGTTAAGGTCTATACAAAGATTCTGTTCTTATTGAGAACTCTAAGGATCAGAGCAGTCAGGATTTTCTTTTAACAAAGGTTCCTGTATTTTACTATGTGAAATATGAATGCTTGGGTTTGTGACTGACAAACGCTGAACAATAACAGCTGAAAGTTATCACACCGTGACACACGGAAGCCAAGCATGGCAACCGAATGCCTGCTTTTTGTGTCAGGAGCAGGTCTTCTTTACCTGACTGTGTAAAAAACACACCCACCGCAGAGGATAGAGACCGAACGCTGCTCTATTTTTTCTCTGTGTTTCAGCACCGAAGGCGTAGGGTGCATGTTTTGGGCACATCTACTGCACTAACTGAAGTTAAAACCCACACAGCCTCCAGCTTTGGCTGAGCCCCGCAGCTCCCCCTGGCCTCATCCGTGCTGAATTATTGACACACACATACAGAAAGGACGAGCGAGAGAGTAAGAATAAGTAAGCAGAAATGTGGTTTGCAGTGCGAGGGAAGCGGGTGTGTTTCTTTCAACTGTGTCTCTTTTAAACAACCACTGTTTCAAAATTCTACCCCTGGATCACAAAGCGTTGTAGAGGCTATGCATTCAGTTGTTTTGTTGATGATGGACACCTTCGATGATTGTTATAATTCGGATTTCAAAGATTTTTAGGTTTCACTGATGGATAATTCTGTTTTTCACAATTCTGAATTTATTTGTAGTGTTCTCTCTGAGACCTATAGACAATAAGACAAGAAACGGCATAGAATGGGTGATGATAGGAACAAAGAAAAACCCTTTAAGTCATAGTTGCCTCAGTAATGGATATAGTCATATTGTTTTTAAAAACATGTATACTTTCAACATAAAAATCACATTCTTGAAAGGTGGCCTGAGGCAAAAGTAAATGACACAGATGAAAGATGTTTCAATCATTCAAAATGAAAGCAGAAGGTGGAACACAACAATTGTTCTTAATTTCATGCTTCGAGTTTAGACAGTTGTAACGTTTAAAAAGCTCCAGAAGACATCTTTCACTAAGACCTTTATTCCAATTGGGTCAAGGCCTGGATAAACACATAAAGCGACCTGCTCTATGTTCAGCAAATAATGGATCCCCCCAAATAACACAACACAGAGAGGCTGTTATATATTAGATGAGTATCTCAACAGTCAGGACACCACATTCTAGGTCAATAAGTCTGAGATATAACAGTGGCCTTTTAGGGCAGAGAGATTTTAAAATCAATAACAAATCCAAATGGAGTCTGTGCAGGAAGGCTAGTCTTCACCTACACTATTAAGCCAGTAAGAAGCTACTACATTAACAACACAGACACTTGGTTAAGACTTTTTGTGCAAAGGGTGTAATAAAAATGGACTGTAGTGATTTTCCTACTGGGACTTAAGTGATGACTATTTTTCCTCTTGTTTTGCTTAACGTCACTCGAAACAATGGATAAACAACATGCAGGATCCATATGTCCAAAACCAGTGAAAGAAGCTAATAAAGGAGTGAACATGCAATGTCCTTCTTCAGATCACCCACATTAAATAGAAGGCATTGATGGTGGCAGACCACAATTTATCACCCAATCATTTATATAGCTAACTGATAGGATTATGGAAATCAAATCAAAGACCTTCTTGTTAATGCTTGCCTCAAGTATTCCTGGAATAAATCAGTAGGATCATTCTGAAACTCTTTAAGTTTTAAAATGATTCCTTGCTCTTTATATCTTCTCAAAATTGGCACCAATTAATGTTTTCTTCTTCGAAAAAGTGAAAGAAGCACAAAAAACACTTTTTGCTCAACGCCTCTATTGTCACCACAACAATAAATTAACAGAAAGATTAGTATCGAAATCAGTGGTCAGGCTGTCAGCGTGTGGCAGATTTTGTCAGATGATCAGTGTGAAAAGACAGCTATCTGTCACTACCTGAATCTTGTGACCTTAAATGAAGATTAGAGCAAAGATGAGTCAGTGGATCAGTAGCATGATGAGGTCTTTAGATGTCTGTCCATCTCTCATTCCAACTTTCTATCATTATTATACAAGATAATAAAATATCTAAATTTCTCAAGGAAGCAAAGACCCACGGCCTTCCTTTTTTTTTTTAAGTGAACACTGTATGTAGTGAACATCGGTCTAATGAACAATGATAAATTCAATATCTTGAAAAGGTTATTTTCATTATAGTCACAGTGACAAACACAGCCTCTATTTTAAGATGTAACTAGCAGATAAAAGAATCTAAAAATGGTCACAGTAAAAAACTAATAAATCCAGATGAGTCTAGCAGAGAAAAAAAAAGCAAGCTTCGTACCCAAGATGGTGCAACTAATTAAAACTTTTTCTTCACAAAAGCTCATCTGTCTGTCCTTTGCGGCTCCTAAACCCTTTGGAAGGATTTTTCCATCTCCGCAAATTGACAAATTAGCTGCTACCAGAGCGTAATCAGCAGCCACTTTCATGACAAACCCTGGGGGAATTGGATGTTTCTTTGCTTAGCCAGTCCGAGACTAAAGGGAAGAGGTATCTTCAGGAAGGACACTGACAAACTTGGCTTTTTTTTAACATTTCTCCTACCTGTTCTTTCTTTTTCTCTAAGTGCCTTCTGTCACTCAAATTGGTCGTGACCGCAGATTTCAAAGATGTCGTGTTTAGATCCCTGCTTTTGGAGATTAAAAATAATGGTCGCTCTGACGAAATGCATCTTTATTATTTAATTCACTGCATTAAATTACAATGTGATCATCCTGTTATCTAACAACCTGAGATAATACACACATAATGGCAGCTATCATGTGAACAACTAAAGCCATCTATAATTGTAACGTATGAAGATACAGATTTGTACGATAAATAGCCCCCATTCCCTATAGTCCCCCAGTCTGACAGTAATGGGTCCTATTTAGCACATTTTGAGGGTTTTGCTTTTACACAACAAGCCACAATCGCAGAAACCACAGTCTCCCCTGTGAATGAACCCAAGAACACTTCGACATGAGGGTCAGGGAAGCCGGATTAATGGCAGATACTAACATTACTTTGTGAGGAACAGATGTCTCTAAAGCGTCCCGGTGTAAGTACGACTTTTCATTTAGTTGTAAAACTGTTATTGTACAAAAGTCCAGGATCTATACACTCCAGGATACACAGATTTTCCCACACCCTAACTGGTCGAAGCTCTACTCTCTACAGGCTGAGTATTTAAAAGGTTATAGCTGACTGGTGGAGGATTATAGCCTCTGCGGAAGATAGTACCCTCCAGGTATTTCTTATTTTGATAAATCAACACATTTAATGAAACTGCCTGATACCATCTAAGATAAGCTTGTCATTGTGTGTATGTGTGTGTGTTTGTGTGTGTGGGGTCCTCACCGCGATAGTAGAAGAGGCACATGTCAGACAGAACAAACCACCTCTTCTTCCACAGCTTCATGCCACTGCTGTCCTGCAAGAGTCAAAGGTCACAGATCTTCAGACGATCGGTCACTACAGAAATGACACACTTGTTTGGACCTTTCTCCTCTCTGTGGATCTACCCTCCCGATAGCACCTCGACATGTCCTCCTCCGGCTTAATCCCGTAAAACAACCTCAATCTCCACCTCTGAGACAAATTGCTGAATTTGATCTCTTCATAAGGTTGTGACAAATTTGTTTGCATATCGCCAGTAAAGCCGCCACGGCTTTACTGACAATGAGCTGTTTTTCAAAACTAGTCACTCACTTTTACAACTGGTAATGAATCACACTTGGCCATTGATCTTGAGGCAAGAAGCTTTGCTTAGACATTGATGACATCCCTCAGATAGGAGACACCTGGTCTGATGGTCAGTATGGAAAGGTGGGAGGTTTTTTTGCCAGTGGGAATCGATTCAAACGGTGCAAAGCGATGGGATGCTAAGGGGAGGTTATTGGCACTAAATGTAGCAAGGTGAATTGTCCTTTGTGAGGGTGTCCTTATGGGAAGCTTCCATGGTCAGTTGTCCACTAGCTCACTCCAGAAATCTGTGGAACGATCTGTGTTGTAAAAATATTGCCCGTCTTCTGGTAAATGGGTGGAAAACAGTATAAAAAAGAACAAGCTGAGTCTCCTGTTGAGTTAGCTAATCATCACTGAACCCCTGTAGCAGCAGGATGAAGTAATTATAAGAGAAGGATTACAAGCGTTGAGCTTCAGCCGGAGAAAAATGTGAACCTTAACCCACTGCTTATGGCTGTAGACACTGACCTCTTTTAGTTGTAATGTCTGCAAAAACTATTTGTGGCAGTAGAATATTTCCATTCATTAACCGATCACGATTTCCTTTTTTATAACCAATAGCTGCCCTTCTTACTTCTGAGTAAAACCAAAACATCCCTTCACACAGAAGACAAATTCAATTGTGACTTTTGTAAAAACACACGTGCCTAACTCTAAATCCATTCTCAGTCTTGGAACTGTTTCAACAAAAAAAAAATCGAGACTGAACAAAATGGTCAGGCTGGCCAAAATTGATCAGAATACTGGCCAACATCAGGAGAACAGCAAGTCTTTGGACAGTGATAAGCAGCTCATTTGGATGATAACTCAAATATAACCTTTACATGTCGAGGAGTTTTTTTTTATCACCTCTACATTACTGGAATTGAATAAAGTTACTGCCCTCCATATACAAGAAAATAAAACACAATCCATAATCCTAAAAAAAAAGCTGTGGCATGAAGATTAATTTTCAATGATTAAAACATAAAACACACTGGTAATATCAAACAAATAAAAGAAAATGTGCAGTTTAAACCAATGAGAGCCTTTCTAATTTTTTCAATCCCAGATTTATTTCACAAATTCCTACCTCAAACACTTTTAAATGGCCTTTGCACAGTACCTGTTTGTAGAGCCAGTTGCTCTTGATCACAGGAGCACCGAGGCTCCTCTTGATGGAATTGGACCTCTTTCCAAAGTTGTGGACTTTTTTAGATGACCTTGATGGCTGTAGAGAGACATCAACATATCATAGCAGAATTAATAGATTTATTTCTAAGGACATGTTTCAAATGGAGGAAAATATTTGAAATACCTATTCTTCTAAATCAATTACACAAAAAAATGACTCTTGCCCATACTCGTTTCCACTATCTTGTCTTCTAAGATTATAAGATTCTCAATTAGTTTATTCATAAAATATTCAAATAATCTTTCCAGGACCAACAAATAAGGAATGAGGATTGGTTGATTCATGTTTTCTTCAACATTTACTCATTCATTGCTGGGCCTATTCATGCTGACACTGTCCGAGAGACGGTACACCCTGGATAAGTTGCCTGGGCCATCACGGTGACACACACATACACACACACACATACGGGGAAAACATGCAAACTCTACACAGAAAGGCCCCTGGCTCCCAGGAAATTTTCCCTTAAAACAGTCTTTAAAAAGTGAGCAGAATGTGTGACCTTCCCTCTAATTGTGTTTTAAAATAAAGAGATGAGTTCTGTCAGATACGATTAATCTTCTGTACCACCGTCCTCTGGTGATTTTGAGCCCATGACGCATGTCTAATGTTTGTCTGATAAATCTCTACACACTGTTCATAATACCCTTTACTGGAAACGTGGGAGTTGGGACCATGGATTCAATAAAAAGAGGAGAAATTGATCAAACTGAACACCTTTAACTCCTTACAACTGCATTAGCTCATGTCCTAAAATACATCCACGGAAGGTCTGTGTGGTCCTGACAAAATGTTTGTCATGTGAAGCACGGACCTGGACTCCAACAGTTGTTATAAATAATGGCCGCTCATGAATACACAAAGATACGTAGTGTTTTACTTTCTTTTGCCTGGTGTAAGAAGAAGTAAGGCATCACTTATTCATAAAAGCACCGAAACCTCTGATCTCCCATAAATATTTATGCCCTGAGTGTTTGTGTGGTTTTTAACCATTTATAAAAGTACACCCTATTCAGTCAGCACTGATGACTCACTCACTGCTAACACAGCTGTTAGCAAGCATGTCCCGCTAAGTCCACTCCTGCAGGTTAAGATGAGAGGTAATGACATATAAAGGACACATCTCAGAATGGAGAGAGATGTTGGTTGTAAATGATTGGAGGTCGATTAACACAACACTACAGGAGTCAAGCAAACTAAAGCTTGAACAATGAAACGAGACAAAAATAGGCAAAGAAACAAGAGCAAGGACAGTTCTTTTTTTATTTATTGCAATACTAGTTTTATGTTGAGGGAGAACAAGTCTCTTAAAATGGAGGCAAAGATGATGATAAGGGCAAATGTGACTCAGTGTCATGGTGTGGTATTTGTAGTTTAGGTACTAGCAAACTACAAAAACACCTCAGAGGATATTGGGTATATCCATCTATGCATCCAATACTGTTACTGCTTAGTCCCTAATGGGTTTTGGGGACAACTGGAGCCTATCCCAGTGGTCAATGGGCGAGAAGCGGGGTACACCCTGGATGGGACGCCACTCCATCGCAGGGCAACACAGAGACACACAAGGACCAACAACCAAACACACTCAAACTCACTCATAAGGGCAATTTGGAATGTCAAATCAACTTAACATGCAGGTTTTAGGATGGTGAACCCACACAGACACAGTGACAACATGCTAACTCCAGACAAAAAGGTCCTGGTTCCCCCGGGGACTCAAACCCAGAACCCACTTGCTGTAAGGCGATAGTGCTAACCACCACACCACCGTGCCGTCCTATTGGGTATATATTTCTTTTAAAGTGCAAAAAACCCCAAACATTAATCACTAAACTTTAAAAGCTGGGTGTTAGTGCAGCTCAAATGTTTCAACATAACCATCTGTATGTGGTTACAGAATGCAATCAGTGGTCAGCTTCTAATCTTAGACGGCATCTCGTTTCGGAAGGACATAAAGAATTCATGCCAATTCAGTGTCAAGAGAAAAAGTTGGTTCTGTAAGAGTGCTCATAAATGGCTGTGGCGACCACACATGACTTATTTGTCTTGCTCTAAATCTAATAAAGAAGGCTCAGATACTCATAAAAAGGAGCCTGAGGAAGAAAAGCATCTGGTAATGAAGCAAAGTGCTGAAAGGAGTGCCGAGCACTTAAAGTGGATGCTTATACTTGTGTCCTTACAATTATTGGAGGTAACAGTGTTGTTCATCATTATTCATAATAAAAACAGTAATGGTGGAACTAAATGAGAAGTCGCAGAATCATCTTTAATAATTATATTTGACCAAGATGGCGGAGACACATCTGGTTATGGAGATCTGCTGAATCCAAAGTCAGAGTACTGTGTAATTCACCCTCTTATGATAATGAGCGAGCAAAAGAATTCTGTTTAATTTGTCTTAGAAAACACTGATGTCATAACCACATATTCCAGTTTACTTATTAGAATCATCTTCACAGAATCATCTTTAATAATTATATTTTACCAAGATGGCGCACACATATCTGGTTATGGAAATCTGCTGAATCCAATGTCAGTGTACTGTGTAATTCACTCTCTTACGAGCAAAAGAATTCAATTTAATTTGTCTTAGAAAAACACCGATGTCGTAACCACATATTCCAGTTTACTTATTAGAAAATACTGAGTGACCGGGGCGGTGTTTTGAGAAAAAGACTGACCCTTGCGGAGGAGGTGGACGTGGTTGTGGCAGTTGTGACGGTGGTGGCCGGGCTGCCCGGGAAGGTGCTGTAATCGGAGCCGCCGGTGTAGTTCGAGGCCTCACTCATGGTGCTCGTGGGACGTTCCTTCTTGTCGGTGCTGCTTCCCTGGTCGGACGAAGCCTTCGGAGCCGGCCTGGGCAGAGAGAGAGATCGGTCAAGCGGACATTCGACCGGTTCGGCTCCACACACTGGCAAAAGCAAAAGCTGCGGGCGGATGAAACGGGTGCTAAAAGTGCGTGGGACTGTGCGCAGCCCAAACTTCAAGTATTCCATTATTACTTATTTATTTATTTATTTATTTAATCAGGACAGTACACATTAATGAACAATCTCATACAGATTGTAAATGAGCCAGATTATAGCATAGTTGCTAGTTTACATCTGTCGTCCTGAGGCAGGAAGACCAAACAACACAAAATCACAAAATGCAAAATCAGTCCAAACACACGTTCAGACAATGACATTACAAAATGAAAATGAATTCAATTCAATTCGATTTCATTTATATAGCGCCACATCACAACAACAGTTGTCTCACAGCGCTTTCCAAACAGAGCAGGTCAGACCCTACTCTGAAGTTAATTACAGAAACCCAACAATTCCCACCATGAGCAAGCACTAGGCGACACAGGCAAGGAAAAACTTCCTTTTAACAGGCAAAAACCTTGAGCAGAACCATGGCTCAGGGTGGGCGGTCATCTACCTTACAGGTCACCTCTTTGTAAAAATAGGACTTTGAGCCAGTTCACAGGGTTTATGATCAGGACAGATGCTAATGCCAAATAGCTAGGTAACTATCGTCAGCTTTTAGGATGTCAGCCTATTCCCGAGTTGTTTTTCAGAATCAGAATCAGAAATACTTTAATAATCCCAGAGGGAAATTATTTTCCGTCTGTCTGTTTGTATTGCTTGACTTATTATGTGGATTATTTCCATGAACGGACTTTGGATTTAAAATTTGTTGAGGGACAAACAGGAACATCCCGTTTGATGACCTCAAACATAATGAGCTTTGAAGAGAAAAAAAGCTCCCAGTACATCACAGGGATTATACTTACAACAGCAAAAAAACTGCAGGGGTGGAAGTTTGTATATTCGCATTAACGTAAAATGGACTATGAGGATGAGCAGGATAGCAAATGAGCATAGATAAACTAGCATAGCGCCTGTAATTAAAGATGCTTAATGCTTAAATAAACAGGAGTGAATACGAGCAAGCAACTCTGCGTTGAAAACAAGTCGTAACTCTCGCCAGACTCTTACTTCACTCTTAATATCACTTTGTCTGGGTGTCTCTGTGTGGGCCATTATAACAGAAAATATGAGAGTGAGAGAGGGGGCGAGTCTCTGGAATAAACACAAGCAGGGAAAAGCGATAAAGAAGAGAGCTGGTGAGACAGAGATACAAAATGTGAGCCAGAGGGAATGGACTTTGTGACTGAATCAAGGCTTTTTTTTTTTTTCTCTGGCCATAACCTCACATATTCACCCCTGTGTCCAAGCAGTATTAAAAAAAGCATGCTAAAGTGGTGTGACAATATGGAGACTCAAAGTGTTTTTTTTTTGTGCTCTGTCTGGCTATCAGGCACCAAAGTAGACACAAAGAACATGAAAACTGTTTTTAACAAATAAGAGCAAATTTAGTTTTCATTATTCTGGCTTCCAGTAAAGCCATCCTTAATAATGAAGGCCTCCCAAGGAAAACACTGGGTAGTTGACTAAAATTCTACTTATTTCTGAATCTTTCTTACAATGCTTCAACACAACTGATTCAAACAAATGATAAAATGACTGTCCTTACATGCTGCTTTTCTCATCTAGCTGAAAGTTCTTTTATTCATATTCAACTCAGTTCTATTTATAAGCGGCAAACAATAAATGTCTCAAGACACTCGAAAGATACAGACCAGTTCGAGCCAATTAGATAGAGAGCTCGAATTTATACAAAATCAAACAAACAAAAAACGGCAAGGCGACTGCAAAAAAAAACAACTTTTAATAGAGATTACCCCACTGTCCAATCAGATGAAGGACGTAAGGCCATGTGACACGACACAGTCAATCAACTGGATGGCTGGAACTGCATATTTGACTGGATGTTGGTTTGCAGGCATTGAGAAATAACCTATGTTCTCTTGTGCAATATCCTAATTTTAATTAGCCAAACGGTGGCAGTGGAAATGAAAAAAAATGGACAGTCAGTCACCCTGACTTTTTTAAATTTTACTTTGAATAACCACTTGATAGGTAACAAGTTATTTAAAATTACTGTAAGAAAAGGCTTCACTGATGAGGAGAGGTGCATTTTAGGGAAGAAAACAAGCTTAAATGTGCTTTTATTATCAGACAGTATCGTTAAAAAACACTGACATGCAATAATACGAATGTAACCTTGAAATAAGTAGTGTATTTAGGACAAAATAGTTATCTGGGTTCCAATTTCAAGTAAAAAAAACTTGTAGTTAAATCTGCAGTCTGCATGTTTATTTGCAGTCTCTATTTTAGAGGTATACACAGATCCACTGTGTTTGAGGGTTTAGATAAACGCATTGATTTGTTCCACGCTGTGGATCAGTCCCCTTTTTGCAGCTGCTTGTCTAATTATGTCTTTATCATTTCCCTCCTCATCCAGAATCTGTGCATCTACGGTGCATGGAAAAGCAGCCGATCACATGCAATCACCATTACGAGCTGAGCCACAGCTCCCCACTGACACTCATGCCATGTCATTTTGAAGAGCTGCAGTGCAGAGGGACTTTGTTTAAATTCCACACGGTTCCGACTCTAATGCTGGCTGTTAATAATACATAGCCCATCAAAGCCAAATGAAAAAACATAATCTCTATCATACATAGCAGGGTGGATGTTCTCAAATGAATCAACTTTATCAGCTACACATTTTTCAACAATCAAAGGCATAAGATCATGAATTTTTAAAGAAAATTCTTCAGAATACTTGATACAACAGACACCATTTTTTTTCAGTTTGGTAACATCACTTTAGGCAAGTTCGCTTGGTACATTTATTACTTAGCATATCAAAGGGAATAACTGATTACCATTAACTGAGGAAGATGTAGTGGGGAATTGCTGCTCTAGTTAATTATGCCTTTTTAGAGTAGTATAGAGTTAACATAAACGGGTGACAAACTCTGGAGTTATGACTCTTGCCAGGCAGAGGAAGTAGGGTAATTGTTCTGGTATCAGGAAGGGACATTCCAACAAAGAAGCAGCCTGGAACAATAAGACAAAGACCCTTCAACCTTCAGAAGTGTGGTCTTTTAAACAGAATGATAACAGGAATTGGACCTTAAAACAAAAATCCAATTTATAAAGCAAACAAATGGCAATATAACATTTAATTGCCAAATAACGCAGTAAATATGGAGGGAAGTATTCCAAATTGCAATTTAAGTTTGAGTATTTTGATTGGATAGAGAATACATATACTGTACATATATAGAAATCCTAAACTCTATCAACTCCTGTGATGTAATGGAGATGTAATGGAGTCTGCCAATCAGAATATATCAATTATGTTTATTAACATGAACCAAAATTGTGTGAACAGTGTCTGGAACTCAAAGCATTTTGTCCTTATGTTCAGAAACTGCTCCCATTATGAGCTTCTGACAACAAAAACTGACTTCTGGCACCATCATTTTTACAGAAGGCCACCACTTTCCTCTAAAAGCGCGTCTTTTGAAGATAGGTACCTAATACACACATACAAAAACATGTCAAACGGCCCACTGATAACATGGAGGATCCATTTTTCCCCCTCTTCAGTCCCTCGCGCTGTCTTATCTCCTCTGCCTTTTCGTATTTCAGTCGCTGTTATTAACCTTTTCCCCTATATATCCTCCTCCTGCTGTTGCTTTCCATCCAAACGGGATCAGAAAGCTCTACATAGAAATATAACGTTTTTTTTTCCCTCCTGAATTGTTTGTTTGCAGCACGGATGCTTCTGTGTTTGTTGTAAATGAGTGTGACTGAAACCACTGTTGATTCGCTGTGGAACACTTCCTTTCTCTGTGTTTTTTCCCTCCACTAAACAGAGAAAATAGCAGATTTTTTTTTTGTAGAATCATAAAACTGGTACCTGCTTTTTTTTCCAGCTTGCAGTTTGACTGAGATGGGGATAGAAAAGAACCGTAACACCAAAAAAAGTTGCAAAAGAGTCGCATTATTGGCCAAATGTGAAATCACATGCTTCTCTGAGAAGTACGAGTATGATCATATTCACGGGGGGAAAGATAAGATAAGATAGAAGCAGTGTTCCTTTCTATGTTGCTACAAACTGACAAAGATAGTAACATCCCTATTTTCAGTATATTAAGCAGTCATTTCTAAACTAATGATACAGGCTTCATACAGTATGTGAGAGTGTTTTTGTTCATTACCAAAATGCCATCCATTTCCAGTGATCCTCTTGAATTAAAATCAGTTATCAGACATAGTGATCAACATGCTGACCCATCTTAGTGAAAAATGAGTTACATCTACTGCATCAGTTTCCTGGTTTCGTTGTGAATTAATTGGACTCTCTAAACCGCAGTTAGTGAGATAAGGTCCGGATGTTCTCCAATAATGTTTTATTCAGAGGGAAACCTTCAGAGTTCAAAGAACTTTTCTGTTCAATGCAAGATTTTCTTATTTCATCTTTTACAGTTTTTATATCTGAATCTTACAGGACAACAGGACTTTAAAAAAAATAAGAAATGTATATATTATTTTATATATATATATTTAATTCTATTATATGTTATATTATTATTTTAAAAACTTTAATCTGCTCTTATTTAAATAACAGTAACGTACAAATATTAATTGTCAACAGTCTAGTTTGGTATAAATTCTTCTTATCATATTGCTTTTTTTTTACTTCCTCTGAATATGTTCTAACCACTTGCAGGGATGTTTAGTGCAAATGTACTGATGATTAAAGGTGTTTTCTGTAGTGACTTCAACATTTAGCATGATGCATAACAATAATAATACTAAAGTGGAGGTTGTTAATGTGTGTTAGCGGCAGAGGGGCTTTATTTAATATTTTAAAGTCTGACAAATCCTTGACACAGGACCTCAAAGTCACAACTCAGTTGGAGAAGGGTTGTATGGAAGAAGGCCAGGGCCAAACCTATAAGGAAGGAGGAGCCATTCCGAGAGACTGTCACAGAGGAGGAGAGATTACTGGCAGGTATATATACTTGAAGAACTCTCAAGGACACATTGCAAGTTTCAGGGAAGCAGTATCATGCGTTTCGCAGGGAAATGTGATGCTTTTGGACTTTATAGGAACACCGAGGCTGCAGATATGTAGATAACAGGGAGGGAGGAGGGATTATGGGGTTTCTTAACAACAGATGGTGTGATGCTGGACATAGCAGCCAGGTGTTGGACATCTGGCTGTGAGTTTCTGACTATGTAATTCGCTAATTGAGCTCACCCGCGCAATCCTTCGACAATCTGCGTGACATCACTTGATCAGCTGTTGAAGCTGGGGCCCAATTAGGACGAACACAAATGCACAGGTTGTGCGTTTTTCCGAAATCCAATAACCTTTTAATATATCTCTCTTTGGATAAAAGCATCTGCTAAATGCATAAACATAAACATCATCAATTATTTGGATTATATGACAGAGATTAAATACATTTTGATAGAAGAAAAAGGGAAATAAAACATGTCACTGTGCTCACTAGTCCATATGTGAGTGCAATGTGGAAGCATTTTTCTGAGTCTGTTCAGCACAGTGGGAAAGGAAGGGAATTTAAAGTGATTGAGGTGAGCCTCCTGAATAGTTTCGAGTGTTTGAACTGCACAGTCAATTAAATTCTGCAAATGTTGGTTTGTACGGTCCATTTATCAAGCTACCTCCTATAAAAGAGTGTGTACCTATATCACCCTTCTACTGAGACACCACTCCCCCGGCAGTTTTTTTCTTCATTTATTTTTTTTAACCACTGCCATTTTATTTTATACAGTATGACAAAGTTGAAGTTGGACTTGGCCAGAACAAAAAACGGAGCCAAACTTTTGAAAACATGTCCCTCAGCATTAAAAACACGTGAAGTTTGACATTTCATTTGGTTTAATTGTGTAAAAACGTTTTTAAAAATCCCATTTTTAAGTGAAAAATACTCGTTTTTTGCTTGAATAATTGAATTATGTTGCCTTTATAGGAGACAAAGAAGATTAATCATCAACACCACTGCACAGGGCCCATTGATCTAATTGACTCGAGGTTAAAATAATGGTAGCATCAGCGTGAGCAGAGGCAGAAGTATTGGAAGTATTGTTGAGCAGGGGATAAAGCAGAGAATGAAAGCTTTCTGGAAGTACACGCTTCTTATTAGTCAGTTATAGGTTATGTGGCTGGAAAAGGAGTAAGAGCACCGGTTGTTGACTAAAATACAAAGTTCTGCAGAAATTACAGGAACAGATGGAGTGGTGAGTTTTCTTACAGTCACATGAGAAGATCTAGATTAGAGGGTGAGCTTTTATATTTATGTTAGCAGTTTGTGAGTAAGCATCAGCATGCCATATCAATTCAGTTACTTAGGGCCAGATCATAGAAAATGTCTTCTCTGATACGATATACATTCCAGGCCTATTAGAATCCAAATCATTGTGATACAATCGCAATCCAGTCTCGCCATTGTGGGATATATTCAGCCTTAGTTTTTTTATTTCAAGTTAAACTGCCACTTAATATGTTAACAACTGGCCCGAGTTATTTTGTCACACTAAATGTTGGGAACCAAAGGCACATAAGCATTGACTGATCCAAAGTGGTAAGCTGTTGCTACAGTCATGCTGCTCTATTGAACATCAGCTCTGTTTGGTTTACTGATGCCTTACTCATCTCGGCCCCTTTATAAATGCTGTGATGTTTGCTTTTAGACAGGCCTCTGTTGAGATGAATGCAAAAAAAAAACTGTTGATGGCATGAAATGACTTTCCAAACACCTTTCATGATCTTCCACGTGTCACACTTGAGACTTTATGCTAAGTGCGTGAAGTGATGTAATTTTCAAAGAGCCTTGAAACTGCTGCAAGGGCAACATGACTTGAAGCTTTTATCAGAGATTATAACCAGTTGTATCAATGTTCAGAGAGAGAGAGTGGAAAAATTATACTCCAAAAAAAGTGACAAACAGATTGAGAACCTATTAGACGATAATGTTTTTGCCATATTCACGTACTACCAACGCTGTTTTGCAGGATCTACCGATGTTGACGCTGATCATTTCATGTGACTGGTCGGGAGTCGTGTTTATTTGAACAATGCCAGGAGTTAAAATATTCTGCATGTATGAGCATCAGAATTGGGCATCGATGTTAACGAAAAAAAAGGCATCGAAGCAGAGAAAGAAGCTTAAGCCAAAGCAATTCCTCCCGTAAGACAAGGGGTCGTTACCTGGTGAGAGCCTCTTTGTCGGCATGGACAAACGTTCCACAATTCACACTAGAAACAGGACAAGAATGACAAAAATCATGTGAAACCAATTGGTGACTCAAGAATGAATCCTAAACATGCTTCTGAAAATGACAAAATCAGCAATAGGAGTGAAAGACAAGACAAAACACAGAATGAAGAATGAAATAAATTAAAAACACATTTGTATTCAAATGATTAAGTCTTTGTTTTTCCTAAACATCAACGTATCAGCGCCTCTCTGCAGCTATTAGATTATAAATGTACTCTTTTATCAGCTCTCCCAGATATTGCTTAATCAGCCTACTAGACGGAATATGGCCACATCTCATTTTTTCCTTTCTCTTTAAAATATTCAGTCAGTCTCACATGTCTATTGTCATATTTAATTATTTTCACATATTCTTTTGGTTTCTTTTGTAAACAGACAATTGGATTACATGCAAAAAAAGGATCTGTCATATTCTGATGACAGATCTTTACAAACAGGTTATCTGCATCTACGTCTGTTAGAAGGAGACAACAGAAGAATATTAGCAAAAATCTGAGAGGCAAAGAAAATTATTGGCATTCGAATAGGAAAGAAAAGTTTAAACCAAAGGCATTAATAAATGTCAGTTGCAAAAAGGTGTATGATACATTCTGATGAGATGAGAGGAGGGAGACTTCCCTCAGGGGAAAATGTCTACCTTCTGGATATGGGGTTTTTGGAAATTTCTAAATTCAAACATTTCCTTAGTGCGAGGCAGATGAATTTGTGAAGAATTGGGTCTCATTAAAAAGATTCTGACGGAGCACGAGAGCAGATCGAATGGTGATTTAGGATAGTACTATCAGGATGTGAGAGATGATTAAGGATGAAAGGGAAGAAAGTGAAATCTAATTCCATTGAAAGCCACTTTCTATCCCAACCAAAAGCAACATACTGGATGTGCACCTTTATAATCTAAGAGGTGTATGTGTGTGTGTGTGTGTGTGTGTATAAAAAATTAATAAACATTAAAAACATCAGATTTTGGCCCAACCAGTGCAACTACTTTTTTTATTATCTTTTCTTGTTTTTTCAAAGGCTGACAAGTAAAAGATGGTATTTTCTTAAAAGGTTATCATGTTTTACGAGACTATCTTAAACAGAGGGTCAGGCCTAAAATAATTATCTTTGGAAGTCACAGACAAAATGTTAGGTTAAAAACGATTTTGGCCATAGGCATCGAGACAACAACAAATTAAGGCAGGACGGTCCTTAAAGACGATGGGCTGATAAACCATCCAGTAGGTGGAACAAAAAGATGAGGCAAATGAAGGATGGCAAAGATTCATGGTCACTTTAACAGCGTCATTAGTTAAGGCAGTTTCTTCTTGTTGGATGTAAGATTGCCATGTTAGCAGATTAGATTTAATTGGCGTGAATATGAATGTAGTTGCAAATTGAATATTTTCTTGAACAATTGCGCTTGGAAATCAAAAACCTACCTGAGATGTTTTACACAGTTTCTCTTTTTTACAATTCTCATATAACTTACAATGTGTTAGCTGATTGGCATATGAGACTAACAAAATGTCATTATAAAAAATCAAAGATTTCCCTGTCAGCTGAGTGTAGCAAATTCTTCACTATTAATGTAATTCATAGAAAAGTAAACAACGATGTAAAAAATGTTGACTAGAAAAAGTGTACAACATGAGGTTAACTAATTGTTTTCTTTCTAGAGAAAGGAGACAAGTAAGTATCAATACCTTAGAGAAAAATGTATTAATTTTGCTCATAGATCAAGTTAGATAAATGATGCTAAGTGTTCTGTCTGTGATATTCTTTTACATTAGAACTGTGTTTGTAGGCGTTTTTGTGTGCTTTTTGAAAAACTCCTTATGTAACTGTGAGCACAAGATCATTGTGTCATTGCAGGCAAAGTGCGATGTTGATTGAACCGACTCCCAGATACCAAGTACACATATTATCAAATAAAATTATAACTAAATATACAAACATGAACAAGTATATAAGTTAAGAAATAAATGGCGATGAATAAAACTGAACAATTACAGATATAAGTGGCTGAATAAATGACCAATTGACTATTGCATTGAGGGCAGGGGAAAGACATAAAGAAGCTAATGTTAACAGTTTATTACACTACAAGTTATTAGCAGTTGTAAGTAAGATCAACTGTGTCTGAGGCTGATAATAAATTAAGCAGCTCCTCATGAGCACCACTCGAGAATCAAAGACAACGGAAGCCCTTTCTTCTTTTCTTCCTTTTGTCTCGTGATAGATTAACAAGGGAGGTGCACATTTCCACCTACAGAACCAGAGGTACTTCCATTTGACATAAACTACAAAAAGCAAAAAGTATGCATTGTTTTAAGCTTTTAAAAGCAGCGTTTCGGTGGTAATGAAAGATTAGATTTCTATGTAAGTAAAACTTTTGCTATAGCAAATAAAACAGTACAACAAAACTTTAAAACAATCATTCCTGCAAAAGTTTGCAAAGATTCAGTCACATAATTTTTCCCACATTTATCTGTGTCAGACACACTTGAGTTGAGCTTATGCACGTCTTATTTCTTGTATTTAATCAGGATGATGTAAAACTGTCATGAGCTCCGAAAGCTCATACATTCTGTGTTCCTACTGACTGATCTAATGTCTCTAACAAGCAGTTACAGAGCGCGTGTTTTAATCTCGCCTGTAACGTTTGTGGTGTGAACTTTAAAGCAGACATTTTTGCTTTCACCGTCACGCCAGCCCAGGCGGAACAGGATGAAAGTGTCACCGTGAGCCGCACGGCACTTTAACACCTTTTGTTAGTCATGACTTCTTCGTTACCTCGACTCTGCTCAGCAAGTTTAAAAATACAAACCACATGCGCCTCATTTACATAGCTTAAATACATGCACGGGATGGGTGTGACTGAGGCGATAATTGGGATGGGAGAGGAATAAAGTGTGCGACATAGAGAACGAGAGAAGTGGTTAAAGGGAAAGTAACTGTGTGAATTTGCGAACATTTATTTGAAGCAAAGCAGGTTGTTGGAGTTGGTGATATGAAATTCAAGGAAGAGAAAAAAAATCCCGACATCTTTTTAGTTTTTACACCGACACTCCCTGATACTTTCATTCTAAATGACTTTGATTACAGACTTGTCATCCTGATTTCTCACTTTCTTCACTTTCCACTTTATCTCCACTAAACCTGAAAAAATATTTCTAAGACTCTCAAGTCAAGTTGACAACAAACAGGCAGGATGATTATGTGAGAGTCTGTAGCACAGCAGGCACAATCAAACTTCATAGAGCAGCGAATCCAGATAACATAGAAAGGATGTATACAACATGCAGTTCATTATTGTGTAATGGTGAAATCAATGACTACATACCGATAAACCCACTGAGCGACATATCCTTTCAAAACTGAAAAAAGACCAAGGGTTTCTCCACAGGGTCAGTAATAACAGTCTTAACATTCTGGCCTGAACCCAGAAAAAATGCCTACAGGGAAACACAGACCCCTTTTTCTCCAATAGACAACAAATTTGACGCAAGGATGATTTGTGTTTATTTAATCGCGTAAAGCTGGATTATGTCTAATTACACACCACGATCCTACGAATCCCTTTAGAGTTATATTTTTCCTTCAAGGATTAATGAATAAAATAGAAGTACATGTCGTGTGAGAAGTGTGCGTCCTTAATTCGGTCTGTGTCGCAGCGCCATGGCGATGGTATGTCCCAGTTTGTGGGACATATTCATCATCAGAAGAGAGGATCTAACAACCTGAAACTGGAAAACTATGCTCCCAAAGTTTACGGCGGGCTCGACACAACCCTTAATCGAGTTCTTCAAATGACAGAGGGTAGGTCTAGATGCTTGTTTACAGAGCCCTGTGTAATCAATCTGCAGAGGAATGGAGGAAATAAATGACTGCAGATGAGGGAATGTCCTGCAAAAGACCCCACAAAGAGAATAATATGTTACCCGGAAGGAGAATGAATAATTACAGAACAGAAAAAGACCTGCATACATTTCGAGATGTTCAACATCTTTTTTCTTTGCATTGTGAAAACACTTATTGAATCTCTGGAGTTTGTTAAGGACCACCTAAGTGTTCACAATAGCTGTTCTACATGGAGTAAAAATTCAAAGTAGCGAAAAAACAACAAAAATAAACCGTACAAAACTGCATCATCACCACACCTTCAATGGAAAGAATGAGGCCTCATTATTTTTGGGGCTGTCTTACTATCTCAGGACAGAATAATTTCGCATTTCTGTAGAAACATATAACTTAAGATATGTTTTTGCACGTCTCGGAATAAATTCTGAGAATATCTTTAGAAAATCTGTTGCTATAGTTGAATTGGTCCTACAATTTGATCCAAATTAAGAGCTTTTTTAGTTTTTCTCTGATGGCACTTTCACTGACAACAGAGGTAAGGACAACCTGCCCATTACAACTGTTTTAAAACGTACCTATTTTTCCAATTAGGAGTCCAGGTTTAATTCTCACGCTTGAAATGCTGAAACCTTTTTTCAGCTTGTCTTTGCAACATCATCAGGGAGTCTCACAAAGCTCTGCCAGGAATTGAACATACTTTCCTTTCCCCTTCAAATAGTCTTCCTGTGTCTTTTTTGTTGATTTGGGGTGCCGAGCTCCAAATCTAAATCATTAAAACGAATGTGGGTCTGACTGAAAAGCCTCTTGTTAGTAGTTTGTAGAAATATTAACGACCTCGCTCAAAACTCTTCACAGCACAAACATGCTGGCATTTGTCAGAGAAAGGCTTCTTTTGTTATTACCCGTTTTTACTTTTACTGTTAATAAAAGTACTGTGCATCAGGTAGCAAAAAATACACAATGTTGTTTTATATTTGTTTGGAGGATACCCTATGGAAATGTCTACTTTAACCCTCTGATGCATGAATTATGAAAGCTTGAGTCCCAAATTTTTTGGAGTATACCCTATGGAAATGTCTACTTTAAATAGATCAGGATATGTCTGTTCTTCAATACCCGACATTTGTCTGAAATGTATCTACACTAATCGAATTTGTAGGATTTGATTATGTTTTAGAAAGAAGCTATAGTGCAAATAATAGGAAACTACTTTAAATCTTTAGTCAATGAGCAACACTGTTGGTTATGTTACTTGTCTCAGGCCTTTCAGACAGTGGGTCAACAGGAAAGAATCGTCTTTTGGGGATATTTGAAGAGCTCTTGTTTTACACTTTGCCAGCAAATGAAGCAGTGGTTTCCCCTTTAGATCACAGCAGGACTCAAAGGAATAACAACCTGTTGAAACGTGTCACAGTGCACAAGAACTTACTGTTCATTTACGACAAAGATGCAGTTGTCTTGGGAGGGGATGCCGGACACCGGGTGCTTGCAGGTCACCTTTCGCTCATTGTGGCTGCAAGGAGACAGGGAAAGAGAGATTAAGTGATGGGTGAACGAGCTCAGGGGAAGACCGGAGCACAGGTAACTGGAAAAGGCTCTCTGTACACTCAAACAAAGCGAAAAAAAGGGCAGCACTGCATCACATCAAGCGTCCCGGCTGACCGAAAGCTTCAGCATCATGTTCGTTTAGGAATGAAAACTGTATAAAAACGTCAGAACAGTGAAGTGAGAGCGGTTCCAGCACCCCGAATTTCCTCCCCCTGCTGTCCTCATGTCACTTTTCAACATCTATGTGTGTGTCTAACCCTATAACCCAGAAAAACTGGACCTCCAGAGGCGATTTTGGAAAAAATGAACGAATTGAACGAAAATGAACGAAAAAATGAACGAAAAAATGAATTAAAGCCTGATCCAAAAATAAAACAAAACAGAAAATTACTTTTTTTTTTGTTTGAATTCCTTATGTGGCCTTTTAACAAAATATGTAAAAAGAAAAAACAGAAATACTTTTTAAATATTAATAATCTATTACTATGCGATACGTCAAGATAATTTTTTGTGTAGTTTTCTGCCCCCTGTTATCAGGTATATCTGACTGTGTACAATAGCATTTTGAGCAAAGTTTTTACCATTAAATTAAGCAAAAGGTGTCAGACGCAAAACATTTCAGAAACCGTATGTATCAAATAGGATACATTTGGCTTTACAGGGTTAAAAAACACTATAACTGTGACGTTCTGGCTCCGCCCACCGGCTCATTCACTCCCTGCAATCAGCGACATTGGTCGCACCTGTCATGGTCAGTACTTAAATCCCACTCACTCACTCACCTGTGCCAGAACGTCTCTAAACCTTCCGTGTGAGTACTTCCAGCATTATTATTCTGCCTGTTACGACCTGACAGACCCTGATTTCCGAGCCTGCCTGCCCCTCGTCTGATTCTCCTGCCTCGCCTGAAGTTCTGCCTGGTCTGACTCAGTGCTCTGCCTGCCTGCCCGTGTCCCCGACCCAGCCTGCCTGACTCCGCGCCCCGCCTGTTCCACTGGACTGCTTCCCTGGCCTCGACCCCCGCTCGTTTCTGGACCACGTTTTGGATTACCCTCGGATTATTGCTGGACTGACCACACGTTGCCGACATCGCCTGCCTGACCACGCCCACAGGAGTTGCCCTTTAAATAAACCTGTTTGAACTGACCGTCTGCCTCAGGGTGTTTTTGGGTCCACAGAACCGTGCATTACAATAACAGCACTAATGCAATGGGATGATGTGGTTTTGCGTGTGTTAGCAGTTGACGGAGCGTGAGCGTGTACGACATTTTCACACCTGCATCTGGGGACGCCAGCTGTGCGGTAGATGATGGTGGGGGGGGGGATCAGCTGGAGAACGACAGGGGCGGGCTCCCCCAAAGGTCACGTATATACATACTACCGTGTGCTACCGTCTTTGAAAAAACTCTGCCTAATTTCCCCCGTGCCTGCATTGTGAAGTTCCACATCCTACTATTATTTCCTGAGCTGTATGTTGCTTTCCATTTACATAATACATACATTTAATATATACAGTAAGTTTAATAGATATCAGTATAATTTATCAATAAATCTTTATTTAAAGTGCTCGCCACGTTCAGTGTTGTCGCGGCAACTTTTTGAATAAGACAAAACCTAGGGGCATTTACAACACGTGCCCGGGCGCCGTGGAGAGGGATCAGAATAAAAACAACAAAACACAACAATTGACAGCTTGTGAATAAACCATCGCGGCACCTTTCGACAGGCTTTCGACTTAGATTTAAGGAATCTTTTCAAAATCTTTTCACTTTCAGGCTACGCGAATCAAAAACAATGGGTCGACTGAGTGGGCCGGCCGGCCATTGTTCGACTCTCACTACAATCACCGATCTGCTGCTGCACATCTATAACAGTCAGGGGGTTGCCCGAGTCACCTTGAGCCATCCAATAAACTCCTTTATCTAATGGAAAAAAACACATGTTCACACATGAGCAGCAACAGCAGCATTACAATCATAAATCATAAAGCTTACTCTTTAATTTGATGCAAACTCCGCAGAGCTATGTACATTAAAACAGGCTATCTAACAACCAAATGCGATCTCACGTGTGGTTGTGGCTACCATCTTATCAAGTTGCTTTTACTATTACGGGTAAAAGCCGTCGCTCGTGTTGAAGAGCGGTACGTTTCCTGGCATGGAACAAAGAAGCACTCAGGGACGAGAACACTCACAGACATCATGAGTCACACCGTTTGCGGTGTATGCATTATGTTGGAGTGCATACAATGTATTTCGCCGTTTGCATGAAGTCAGTCTCTGCGTCATTTGTCGTCAGTGGTGTGTTGTAGAAGTAAAGACAGAAACACAAAGTGCAACACCATCCTCCAACCTTGATCTAATGCTATTTAAAAAAAAAGGATGAAGATGAAGAGTGTTTTGGAAAGCTTTCAGTTGGATTCGATAAATTTAAATTTCACACAGCTGCATGGTGAGGTGTGTTTCAGAGTACCTTCCCCTAACTATGACCTATGATGAACAACTCTAAATGTCCTGCATTAATATTCACCAGTCAAAAACAAGCAGATATTAAAGTTTTATACTCTTTTCCCCTCTTTTTTATAGCAAGTATCTCTTCCTGGTGTTATGATGCTTATTGACTCCTCTTAATTGTCTTTTCAAACTCCACTAAGTTAAGGCAGAGAGTCAGAATTCCTGTTAACAAGGAGTTTTTCTACTCACCATCACCTTGTGCTTGCTCAGGGTGGGGTATTGTGTAAAAAAAGCACACTTTGGTGCAATCTGTTTCATTAGCATGCCTACTTTTGAGGGCTTTTTATGAACTGGACTAATTTGGAAATGATCAAAATTGGATTTGATTACAAATCGGATTAGATTTTTGACTACAAAGACAAATCATTATTAAAAAGGGCTATTATTACAAATAATTGCATTGCTTTGAATTGTAATTTGGACTGCATCTTTACCTTTACATTACATTTGTTACAATTTGGTGCTAACTGAATTGAATTTACAGATATTGATTTAATTTAATCTCCTTGTGTTTTGATTGCACCATAAGATGAAAGTAGGCTAACAATGTTGTCTTCTGGTAACAATTGTATGGACTGTTATGGGTGACTTTTTGAGTGAATCCATCTGTGGACATAAGAGAGGGCAGCAGAGTTTTCTTTGTTCAGCATTGCCATTGTTGCACAATGACCCGAATAATCTCTTTCTCAACGGAGACTGACGAAAAAAGGAGGATAAATACCAATGTCTTTAAATAGAAATTCAGGCCATTTATGCTTCACTTCACACATGCTACAATAACTTCAGGTCGATTATTCCTAACCACAAAAAACTTGTGGATGATTCAAATGGACAGGACAGGCAAAGTCTTTTTACCCAAATGCATGGCAGCTCCAGATGTTCTGAAGGAGCTGCTTAAGTGAACAAAATGTCCAATCCGAACTTCTCATGAATATTACAAGCCAGAAACATGGTATATGGTAGAATAACGTGGTCCTTGTTAACACCCATGAAGATAAGAATGGTTCTTTCATAATATTGTTTCTTGAGCTGTAAGTTGCCTTCCATTTACGTCACACATACATTAAATATATACAGTAAGTATAATAGATATCAATATAAATCAATCAATAAATCTTTTTTAATGAAGCACTTTTCATGAGAAGATCGCAATACAAAATGTTTTATATTATTAAAAGCAGCAAAAAAGTATTAATCAGTAAAAATTAAGAAAAATTGAGAAAACCCAATACCACTTCATCCATCCACTCCCCAAACCACAATCCAAGAAATTATAAATAAAATTCATATAGACATCCAAACAGACACACATGTACTCAAATTACGTTCTCTAAAGAAAACAACATCCAGACTTCATTCTTGATGTACACCAAATTAAACATTGCTATTTGTTTCACTTATTTTCATCAAAAGGGACAAATATGAGCGGGAATGACATTAAATGGTGTTCTTCTGTTTGTTTTTTTTTACATTTGCCTGTCGTCTGAAGCTCATCATAGCTAGAGTGAACTTTGTCCAAAGTGACCTCATTAGTTTTCCAAAATGCTGGTACTGGATAATTGAAGCTTTTTCATTTGAAAGTGATCCTATGCTCAGCTATTTGAAAATTCAGTATTTCACATATAAAACATACTTAAAGAAGATTTTTTTTTTCTGGTTATTCCATGTTTACAATGGTCAGCAAATAATGACTATTCTTGTTGTGCTATATTATCAAAATAAGAATGTAAATGCTATTATATTTAATGGTATATGAGGAATATGAGCAGAAAACGCTGAATCTAATGGAGCTCTAGACAATTTTTTTATTCAGTAGGCAAAGTTTTTTACTTATATTAGCACTTCCTTAAAAGAGATTCCACTCACCCAGCATGCCGCACATACACTTAAGAAACTTGATATGAATAACATCTGCAGAATGGAGCTAACCGCTGCACCACTGAGAGTTTCAGGGGCAAATTTTCCTAACGAACGACACACACTTGACACAGCAGAAGGTCCATGTTAAACGAATACACACACACACATCCACACAAACCTACCTATAAAAAATAGCTCTGTTACATCCATTTATGGGAAATGTCAGCTAATGTTTAATGTCATTAGTCCTCATTGTGGACAAACGTGCTTTGTTTTAAATACCATGCGGAAAAAGGGCGCCCTGTGGTCAGAAAAACTGTGTGTGTCGGTCATGTGGCCGCGGCTTTCCTCTCCTCCCTGCGGAGCGACTGCCATTCAGCTCCCGTCTCTCTCTGGCCAGACCACTAACCTTTCACAAAGGCCACCAGCGCTGACTGCCCTGCTCCCACCCTTTCCTTTCCTCTTCCCGTCACCGCCTTTCCCTTCAAATATTCATCTTCAATCCGATTCTTGGTTTTCTTCTTCATCTTTTTTCTTTTTACTGCTCCCACTCTGACCTTATCCTCTCATTTTGTCCTTTACCTTCTTGGGCTCTTCTCTCTATCCCCTCTGACCTTTAATTCTCTCCCCTTCCTCATCTACTTTTGGCTATTCTTCTCTCTGTCTTGAACAACCTATACTAAACCTTGTTTGCATTGGATGGCAACAAACACAGTCAATTACAGAAACTAATGAACCTCTACATCTGTGAAGGCTTAA